CGTTCTTACCGCTAAGTTCTTCGTCGTGGTCACTAGCGTCTTCATCCTCGGCTCCTCCTGCACCATCAAATAGCTCCAAATGCTCCTCAAACATCCGCTCCAAGGCAAACCACCAGAATGGGTGCTTCTCTTCAATTGAAATCAGTACTGCGTTGGACAGTATCGGCGTTTTTCTGTGCTCCAGCAGCACCGCGTGCGAGTTGTGTTCGTCGCCAAGGATGATGCCCGGCGGAGATGAAAACTGAAGACGCAATTTGTCATGCTGTTTGGCCGACGGAACTTCTGTCTCATACTGCCTGTCCTCCTTCACCTGCTCGCCGACCACATCGTCCCCAATAAAGCTGCCGCGAAGTTGTACACCCTTGCCGTTCTCCTGCCGCAACACCAATAATCCCCGCAACAAGTCTTCCAGCTTGGCAAAATTCACCAGTTCCACATCCAAATCGAGGTAAATGCCCCCGAAACAGTACAGAAGCAAGATTCGCGCAAAATCGGTTCTCGCCACCGTGGACAGGTTTTTGTTTTTCCACACTTTGTAATACCACAACTTCGGCAGGTTTTGCCTCGCTAATTGGTCCGTGTCTTCGTCAGTGTGGAGGAAGTGTTGGAAGGCGATAGTGGTCCTCCTCGAAGGTGATGAAGGAGCGGCCTGGTTCTTTCCGGCATTATACCAGCTTTTCATGAACTCCGCGAATTTCCGTGGAATTTCCTCCTTTGACCTCCAAGTCTGGTGGATTTTCACTGTATGTATTCCAGGCTGCATGATTTTTTCTTGCGGAGTAGATGTCCTCGATGCGGATGGAACAACATCCGAAGAGGATCGATCTGTCCCGCTGTTTTTATCACTTTCAGTTATCCTTATCCGCTCGTACGTTTCCTCGTAAATGGCCTGGTTTAAGGTCGCGTTAAAACATTCAGGATCATTATCTCCATCGGTACTAGAATCCTCGAGCTGTTTATGCTTTGCTTTTTCGGCGCCGTGGTCTCCTGTATTAAAACTGGAACGAGATGAAAAGGCCGAAGAGGTGGATGTCGTAGGTGTAGCTGAAGTTGTCAGTACTTTGAAAGAACCCGGAGAGGTAGTCGGCGCAGGACCACCACCACCAGCAGCTGCGCGGCACAACTTCCCCCCTTTCGCCCGCGCCTTCGCAACGAGGGATCTGCTAGAGACTTTATTTTTCGATGATGAGAATAAAGCCGACGTCGAGGGCTTTAGGTTTAATATTTTCGCATCCTTCTGCTTCTCAACAACAGGCTGCTCCTTTGGAGAAAGTGTTCCAACTTTCGATTTCTTTTCGGGAGCGACATCTTGAAGTGGCTCGTAGAACATCAATCCAGTGTCGGGCTGCCAAGACGAGGAGACGAACGCATCATAATTTTTGTCGGATGAAACAACCCTCCTCTCGAGGCTGTTTGAGAACATAAGGCCTTCCGTCGCAGGTTCACTCCGATGGATATTTCCCGCGCCATTCATCGCCACAACCTTGCTGTGGTCGTGAAGATCACTGGCGCGCTCGTCCTCGCGCTGGTGGGAGGGGGCCCTTTTCAACATCTTCGCTGCCGGAAGCACGTCACTGGTACTACTAGCGTTCTTCGAGGGGAGGGCCTTTTGTGGAATGATATCCAGGTCTGGTCGTCTCATCTGCGGATCATTAGGTTCGTTCATTGCCATTGCCACCTCTCGCTCGTGTTGCTCTAGAAGTCCTGAACTGCTCAAAGCCAAATCGAGCTTCACCTTCCGAGCCATTCGCAACACAATCTCCTCGATGGTAGCGTTGTCGAGACGCAAAGTAGTTGGAGTGGGGGTAGCTTGTTGGTGCTTTTCCAGCCGGTCAACGTCAACCTTCGTTAGGGTGGTTCTAGTGCTGCGTTGTGGCGATTCTACTTGATGGAAGTAGGGTCCTGCTGCACTACTATGAAATAAATCGACGTCGCTGACGGCATCATGAGCAACATCCGCCCGCCGCAACGGCAACTTCTCTTGGTAAAAAATTATCGGCGCAAGTTCGTGATACACAAGCAGCGACAGAATTACGACCTGCTGCAACAAGACCACGATACCGAATAGAAATAGGAGGAAGCGGAGATTTTTGTCACCACCCACAGAAATAAACCTCGCCTCCTCATTTATTCCATCAGGACGAGCGAACAACGTGTGGTCCGGATGCTGGCTACCACCCGACAGAAAGGAGCCGCGCTCCGCCGCATTTTCTCGTCTTCCTGACTGTTTTCTCGTCTTCCACCTCGTCCTGGTGCTGTCGTGCTCTTTTTCATCATCTTCTACCGGCTCATCAACATCTTCTCCTGCTGCTTCAGACACTCTTGCAAGAAGAAGAACCTCAGGCGCTTGTGAAGAACTGCGGCACGACTCGATGAATTTTTCCTCGTCTGGCTCCTGCTCGACGTACTCGCGCTCGCCTCCGGTCGAAGAGTAAACAGGCGAGGGTGGCGGGGGGTGCTGGTCGTGGTCCTCGTCAACAACACCTCCCCGAACAGAGCCATTCTTGCGATGATTATGTTCTGGCTCCCCTTTACGCATAATTATTTTGCGATGAAGAAAATATAAGAAAATTCGACGAACACGGAAAAGCTGTAAAAGGAGAAGAACTACTTCCGCATCTTAGAAAAAAAAATGGGAGAAGTCGAAGCGTCGGCGTCGCTTCATGATTTTCAAGTACACAGGAGCAGGAACATGATCTTTCTATATCTACTTTATCACGAGAACTGAACATGAAAGTGTTGCTGCTTGTGTTGCTACTGCCCCTCGTCGATGCTAGTTCCTCGGCGATTTCTGCGACAGCGACCGAAAAGCGTTACTAAAGTAGGATACACAGGAAATATAATTGACTCCTGTTGCGCAAAATCAAGAAGTAGAAGAGCGTAGAAATCTGGTGCAATAGCACACGAGAAATAATGTCTTCGATGACTACAGCGTACAGCCGAAGTTTGTGTCAAATGCTGAAAGTTTAGAAAGCCTCTGTGTCAGTCATGACGAGAGAGTGATGTGTTTAAATTAGAAATGTTCTTTCGTCATGGAAGTGGGAGTACGCAACACATGTCGGTGGAGTTCAGGATAGATAAATGCGCGGTAAAAAAGAAAACCGAAGGTGACAAGTTGTACTACATTCATACACGACACGATTGCCTTTGTAAATTTCACCGACCCATGATCGCTCCTTTGACCATTTTCATCTCCATTGTTCGCTTTCCTTGTCTCCTGCGAAAAATGAGTCCAATTTGGTGCATATGAAACGACCTGACAGAGGTTTTCTTGGGCTACTGGAACACTTTCTGCACTTCTTACCTGCTCCTTCACGAGCCAAACTATCTTCCCAGTTCCGAGGGCCAACAGTTAAAACAGATGGCACTAGCAAGCTGGCTTCCTTTGCTATTGCAGTTTTTGTGTGCAGTACGAACTTGTTCGTAAAAAAGTTTTTACCTCTGCTCATGATCGTGCAGCAACACCGACCACGAGGACAGAGCTGCTACTTAGTCCACAACGAGTTCCTTCTTAAAGAAGGAACCTTGATTTTCATCTTCTCAAATTGAGAAGATGAGTCGTGGTGCTCTAGCAGTTGTAGTTGTTTAGAAGTTGTTTCACTTTCATCCCGTTGGAGGTGGAACTTAACTACTACTAGGTCTAGGACAAGCACCGAAGTAGAAATAAAAGTCATGAGTACAATATTGATATTGCGGAAGTAGATCATGATCATGGGTCCTGCTCCAAACTTTGAACCTACAAAACCACGACTCCCGACGTTTTCCTCTACTTCATACATGGAGCGTATGGATCTCATCACCTCACCAGAGAATCATTTTTAATAGAATGCATGCCTTGGAGGATGTTCTTGTTGATAGAGAAACTCTATTCACTTGTCAAGCACTCCTACGTGCCACTATAGGCTTCGATTTGCTCAACTCCTGTGCGACGACGTAAGAAGCCGTGTAGTCAAAAGTCCTCGACCCTTTCTTCAGTTGGCATAGATCAGTCTACGCCTGATTCTGGCGTGGTGATATTCTTATAAATTTATTTCATCTTTTCTACTTTTTAATTTCAGTACATACTAGCAGCCCACTCCAGTGGCTACTACTTTGCTGTACTACCTTGTTGTAAACACTACTTTGCTGTAAACACTGCTTTGTTGTAAGCACTACTTTGTTGTAAACATCGTACAATACTTGGCTACTACTTTGTTGTAAGTAAATATTCGGACCCGCAGGAGGACCAGTTCATCCCGCGCATACGGGTTTGTGTTCGTCCATTTGCTCGCTTAGCAATACGCACAGGAAGATCACTGTGATACGCCACGCAACCAAAATTTTTCATCTCCTCGTCCTCCCGCAACCAAAATTTTTAGAAAATAACAGGCAATTATCTGGCATCCCACAAAGTAGGATAAAGACTTGCTGAACAAAAGAATGAAAATCATACAGAAATAAATAAAAACTATAGCGATGAATCGATTCGGGCGCGCATTGTACAAACCTAGGGGTGGAGAAAAATACTTTCGAAACGCCAACGCGTGAAGAAGAAGATGATGTTGCCCCTCATAACTGAGTCTGAGCTCAAGTTCTTTTAGAAAACTTCTTTTTGTAGTGCATGATCGGAAAAAATATAGTACTAAGGGTAGGTGTCATTTGACTCCTGGCGGGCTGCTTGTACGGATGCTGCTGTGCTGGAGAAAAATGAAGACGTGAAGCAAGGCCACGTTGAAAATTTGTATGTGGTAGTGCGTATATAGAACTTCTTCTTTTTTGCCGTCCCGGCGAAAGGCGCTTGACTTTGGATACTTCTGTGGAAAAAAGCTTCATAAAACAAAGTTTGCACACCCAGTGAAAAAAGGCCGGTTTTGGCAGTTTGATGTCAACAATTATGCTTGTAGACAGATCGAAATCTTCCGCCACGACTTTCAGCAGCTTTGCTACTTCTGGTCTGGTAGCTCCAATTGATCAAGCCTGCTTCCCCCCGTTATTTACAACTCAAGATCTTCTTCGCACCGCTAGTAATCGCCCTTGTGCCGCCTGCGCACGGTGACGGCCGCCTGGCCCGGGGCATGCAACACAAAATGCGAACCCTTCACAGTCCAGTGCGGCGCTTTTTCTCTCACCATCGTCGCTGAAGAGGCAGCAGTGTGCGGTCCTTCACCATGTGTGGTAGTTGCTCCTGCAGCCTGACTGAGAGTCCGGCTGGTCTTCCGCAGTTCCTTGACAATCTTCCAATTTTTCTTGACCCGGTCCACAATGCGCTGCACGACGGTCTGTTTCGCTGTGTCAAGCCGCTTTCTCTGCTCTTCCCGGTCCGCCTGGGCTTTCTTTTCCGCGGCCTGTCTTCGCTCCTCCCGCTTCTGCGCAAACTTGTTTTTCTTTTGGTCAGAAGGCGGCGCGTCAGGATGTCGCGCCGACGCTTCCGGCCGGATCTCGTTCGCCTGCTTGTTCCACTTTTGTTGCCATTCGAGCAGCTTTTGTTCCAACTTTGTCCTTTCGTCGTTGAAAACTTCTTTAAGTTTCGGCGACACTGTTTCGCCACTGAAATTGTCAATCATCTGTTCAACATGGGCAGATGCAGCTTTGGCGCGCAAGGTGAAGGAAGATTCGGCAATTTGCTCTTCGCTCCGCCTGCTCAACATCTGGTGCGCAGGCTGGCCTAACTCGTCTTCACGAAACTGCGCCACGGCACTGGCTGGTGCAGCTGGTGCTGAGGATGGCCCGGACGGAAGTTCTTGTTCTCGCAGGAGCTCTTTGCTTTTTCTCGCTTCCTCTTCAAGCGCCGAGTTCGCAGCGGCCAACTCTGCCTCTTCAATCCCCATGGCTTCCATCAACTCCTGCCGGACATGCGCGCGCGCCTGCTCTTCACTCGAAAAGGGAAAATACTCCAGGCTCGCCTGCTGTTCTTCTCGCCCATAGCTGGCGTCTTCTTGCTGCGCTCTCAATAGATTCGCCTGAATCACTTCCTCACACTCGTCTTCTGGAAGGGGCATGGAAATCGGGCGGCTGTGCAACGGAAAAAAAATATATCGAAGATTTTCATCGTTCGCTGGGTCTGTGTCTGCGAGGAGAAAGAAAGTGCTTATGTTAATGTTGACGAGTATGCAGCATGTGCATGTCGACGCTCTGTGACACAGCTTTCGCAGCTGTTCTAGTTGTCCAGCACGATTCTGTGAAGCTGCGCTGCTTGTTGCAACGCAACTGTTGAAACTTATTTACGTACACAAATACAACAAACTGACAACTTCATCTCATCAAGGAGTATTGTTAGAACCATCTTCATCTTCATGTGCGGATGTTCATTTTTTTCTATACTTGCTGCAGCCCCAGAGAAAGTAGATTGCGAATCCAAATTCGATATATCAAGTTTGCAGTTGATAAAGGGCGACGGTCAACGCCGTTTGGTTTTTTGCCACAGCGTCGCTCAGTGCCTTGTTGTTGTCGAGAATTCGCTGAAACACGGAGTGATCCTCTGGTGAAGAGAGCGTGATGAGCTCTCCGGGAATCTGGAAGCTGTCGGATAAGCCGCCGGTGAAGCTGACCACCAAAATGTAGGAACTTATACTACCGGGTCCGGGGCAAGGGGGCCAGCGTGTTCTATCTTTCACATCTAGGAATTTCCTCTCGAAGGCTTGATAGCTGCTCGTGTTCTTCAAGTTTTCCGCCTGTGCAGGCCCGAGCACGAACTGGCCAAGGACTTTCATCGCGCCCAGACTGCGGCTCTCCTCCTCTCCCAACGACGCCGGTTTTTTGTTTCTCTCCCACACCGCAAACGCCTCCCATGGGTGGATCAAGTGTAGCATCACAGCCCGCTGCTCCAGGGTCTGGCCATTCTGAAAATATATCTGCCGGTGCACGTGATTCTGGGCGGCCAGCGCGGAGGACTCTTCGTCGTTGGTTTTCGAAGGCCCCCTCGTTTGGAGATGAGTCCCAGCAACTTGTAGTTGTGGTACAGCAGGAGTGCCTGCTCGGTGAACTTCTTGTTTTGCGGTCCTCTTCGACACAGTCAAACAAGCATTAGGCGCCTCAAAAAATGAGAATGGGAAGCTGTAACTCCGACTATACTCGTCATCTCGAGTATGCATGAGCTGCACAGGTAGGAAAACAACGGTGGCGCTGTCTGCAACTGTGGCTCCGGCTGCGCCCCCCTCGTCCCGGCGCACATCACAGGAGGCACAGGGAGTTGCTGCAGCTCCCTCTAAAAATCTGTCTTGCACGACATAAATCCGAACATTAGCATCGACGTCGACCACTGTATCGCGAGTCTTCGTCTGAAACTGGTCCAAGCGGAAAAGTTGGGGCTTTCGCCACAGCAGGCGCTTCCCGATTTGCATGTTGCCGCGCAAATCTGTTACTTCCTTCCGCAACACCGGTCGCGCGAGCAGAAACAGTAACGTTTGCACGGCTTGAAGCAAAGGCCGGGTCTCGGCGTCTACTTGTGGGTTTCCCTTCCCCGCCCACGTGAAGAAGACAGTGGTCTATCCTGTGCAAAAGTATCGCACTCGTATAATTGCAGTCATGCATTTTTTCCTGGACGTAAATCCGCATTACAAATTTTATCTCTCATGCTGAGGAAATTTGTCATGCATTTATACGAATACGATACTTTTGCAGTTCATATGGTCGCCTGCATTGCGATTTGAAGCAGCACTTCTTGGTGGACGCTGTACTTGTGCTCGTCGGATATACCGTCCTCGTCGCTCTGCGGTTTTTCCGTTTGCGGACCCTGAGTTTGTTCGTTCGCTCTGCGCTTTGTTCGTTCGCTCTGCTTTGCGGTTTGTTCGTTCGTTTGCTTTGCGGGCCCTGGGTTTGTTCGTTCGCTCTGCGGTTTGTTGTTCGTTTGCTCTGCGGTTTGTTGTTCGGTTGCTGGTCTAGTCACGTTCCAGTAGGTCAGGGTTTCCACAACTATTTGGACAAACTCCTCCTCATCGGCCGTAAAAATCCCGCCTTTCTTGTCGGCCTTCACCCAATCCTTCATCCAGATCGCAACCAGCTCGTAGATTTTGCGCTCCTGCTGTTTGCTTGTTTTTGTGTTCTCGTCCGCACGGACGAACTGCTCAGGCTTAGGTAGCTTGTCATGTGCGTTGTACAAGTTTCTGCGGGATTTTATGGCTGGTCCGTACGTGTTTTGGTCCTTATTTTGAAAGAAACCCGCGAAATTTTTCGACACTTGATACAGCCGGCGAATCCAGGTGTCTGTTCCGATCAACTTGTAAAATTCCTTCTCGTCGCTGAGTTTCTTCGCATTTAGGGTCGTCTTAGCCTCCTGCCTCAACCTCTGCCGCGGGCTTGGAAAAAAGCTTTTTCCCGGCGCCCTCGGGTAGTCGTTGTCATAGTCCTCGGTGTCATCTGCAGATCCCTCACTGCTGCCACAGCTGCGGGCGAGCGTCTGGTGGCTCCTCGTCGCGATGTTCTGCACGGCCAGGGCGAGCTCGGATGATGGTTCAACACCTTGATTCGGCGGAACAGTATCTAAGTGCGTAGCAGGCGCTGCTAGTGCTTGCGATATTCCTGCTCTTGCGGGTCGTCCGGGACTCGGACTCTTGCTCCTGCTGCGACTGTTGGAGGAACGAGGAGAGTGACCACTACGACTACCGGCTGCTGCACGACAACTTCCGCGTCGCATACGGCCCTCCGGGGATGAAGATGAGAAAGAACGACTACGACCCCTTCTGCCCTTGCTAGTGCTTCTTGCAGTGGGCGAGGACGTGGTCCTTCTGCCCTTGCTAGTGCTTCTTGCAGTGGGCGAGGACGTGGTCCTTCTGCCCTTGCTAGTGCTTCTTGCAGTGGGCGAGGACGTGGTGGTGCCAGAGCCAGGTGGGGCAACTACATGCTCGTTGAACGAGGATCCCGGACGCAGCTGTAGTTCTGCGACTTCTTCGTGCCTCGACGTCCGTGCCGGCCCTGACGCTTTCGTGGGGCCCGCGGCCGCGGTGTCAGTCGTGCCCGATGGTGGTTTCGACGACAGACTAGTTTTAGTTGTACTCCACGCGGTACTAGAGCCTCCCGCGCTGCCCCCTGCAGCATTATTGCCCGGCGGCGGAGCCGCCCCCGCGGCCAATGGTGCCGTTACAGCAGTACTCGTCCTGCGACGGGCAGAAGGGGAAGGTTTCGGTTTGTCCGGGAATGAAGATGAGGTAGAACCACGACCACCCCTACTGCCCCTACTCGTGCTTCTTGCCGTGGGCGAGGACGTGGCGGTGCCAGGTCGTGGCGGATTCTCCGTGGACGACGCGGCGTTTGTTCCAGGATCATAGTCCGGGCCTCCTGACGAGGGGAGCAGGTGACGCATTTTGACTTTCCACGCCTCCAAACCTTCGGGCGTCAGTAAATTGCCCGCTTCCATGTAGTGGTATCGCGGGACGACGACCTTTTTATTATCGTCTTCAAGATCATACTCGGCATTTGGATTTGCGGCTTCTTCTAGAAATTTGCGCAACTGCTCTTCCTCAGCGGCGGTCAGAGGTGAGCCAGGTTTCTCATGAATACTAGTAAACTCATGACGGAGACCGGGCGGCTTTTCTATTTCGCACCACGACGACCTCGTATGACTAGGATCTGCCGCGGCGTCGTCCGTCGTGCTCGAGCGTTGTCCCGGAGCGGGAAGACTACTGTTAATACTACCCGAAGCGGTACTAGAACTAGAGCCTCCGGCGCAGCTACCCGCAGGATTGATATTGCCCGGCGGCGGAGCAGCCGCTCCCGCGGCCCCTGGTGCGGTAACAGCAGTACTCGTCCCGCGATGGGAACAAGGTTTGTTTAGAAATCCACGTGCAAAGCCAGGGACCTCCGGGAATGAAGATGAGGTAGAACCACGACGACCCCTGCTGCCCTTACTCGTGCTTCTTGCAGTGGGCGACGTGGCGGTGCCAGTTCGTGGGGCAACATGCTTCTTTGTTCCAGGATCGTCGTCTGATCGGGTGGGTGTACTGGGGACAGGCCCAGTTGCAAAATGAAATTGTTCAGGAATAGTGTTAGTGGGTGGGAGAGGGTTAGCCACAAACTGTTTCAGCACCCGTTCCCAGTCCTCCTCGCCACGAGAACGACGACCTTCAGGTTGTTGTTGTACTTGTGCCTTCAGCCAGTCCTTGTGGTCTGTCTCCGATCCGCGTGGTTCGGAGGCGGCAAGACTAGTTCTACTATCCGAAGCGGCACTAGAGCCTCCGGCGCAGGAGCTTCTACCCGCAGGATCAATATTGCCCGGCGGAGCCCCAGGAGCCCCCGTCCCTGGTTGTAAGGTAACAGCAGTACTTGTACTTGCGCGACGGGAAGCAGTTTTCGGTTCCTTTAGTAGAAATCCACGCGCAAGCCCGGTCTTTTGTCCTTCTGGTCGTGCGGCCTGGGCGAAGAGCAACAGTCCAAGTCCTCCTGCTCCTCCGTCTGCGCCCCGAGTCACCTGAAGATGGTGATCTTCACGCAGAAGTTGTCCCAAGAACACGTCAGACAAACTTCTGAAGTTGCCTACTTCCCGTTCCCGCACGAGGACCAGGAGGCTGCTCAGCAAAAGCAGGAGTGCAGGAGAAAGTAGAGCGGAATAAGAACAACCCAGGCCCGTCTTCATGTTGCGGGACCCCGACCACGAGGGCGACAGCCGCGCTGCATTTTTGTTTTTGGTGGTGACAACTTGCCGGGGTTCTACTTGTTGTACTTGCTCACGAACTGCTGACGCTGGCGAGACGACCACGACGCGATTAGTAATTCCGCCGTTGCCGATCATGCTGTCTTGATGAGGCCCACACGAGGGCGAGGACGAGACACGGACGGCGCGCGACATGTTCTTGCCTGGCATTGTAACAAATCTTCTGAAAAATTTCTTTACTATAAAGTCAAACTTCTTGTTGGTATGTTGGGAAGTACTTAATATGTAAAAGTTGCTTTTTTGGTTCAGCGTGTGATTCTAGTTGAGTTTAGCGTCCCTGTGGGGCGAAGAGCTTTTGCTTTCTTCAACTTGGTGTAGTACTTGATGCTTCAGAAGGAGATGAAGCCCTTTTTTTGCGTTGAATTCTTAAGTGACCAAAATGTATTTTTCTCTAAAGGGAAAAACACGAAAGCAGAGAAAAACTATATAGAAGAATTGGAGAGAGCAAGATGGAAAGAACGAAGAGCTCGAAGTAAGTCTTGGGGTAATTTTTAAAGTAGAACTCGAAGTAGCAAACAAACCAATTGATTCAGTTGCTGCTAGAGATTGTTTTTTGATGAAGTTCCTCTAACTTCCATCCGAAATTGCTTTTTTCCTCTAGATGATGCAAACGAAAAGTAGAAAGTGGTGGTTGTCTTCACAGGGGCAAAACGAAGACGAACAGATGAAATCAGGAATTTTATAAAAAGGCTCTTTTTAATACTAATAGATGCTGTTCAGATTTCCTTTTCTCCAGAACTGTGAGGAGCAACTGTTCCTGCGTAGTTTTTTTAGAAGTAGAAAATATAGTCCTCACGGACGTCGTGGACTATTTTCCGGAAAGTCTTCCAATGTTAAACCGAGCTTGTTTCGATGCACCGTCAACGTTTCATCCGCACTTGTGAGGCTCCGATTTCCAGCCGTCGAATGATGCGGTAAAAACTATAACTTCTTCATTTTGGCATTGTCGCTTGAAGATCCTCGTCGTGTGATCATTTTTTTGTTGAGCCGATCCACCGATGATCTTTCTGCTGAAATAACTTCATAAGCAGTAGATCCTACCTTTATTTAGTTCGTCCGTTGATCAATTGGTAGCGAGAACAAACACACAACTTTGATCATCTGCTGATGCCCAAAATTTAACATTTTGATCTATACCTCCACAATAGTCACCGAGTGGTCTTTATGAGTAAATGCATCAACATGTCTCGTCCTACTACCAGCTTGCTTACACACGCCACGCGACCGACCACTCGGAGGACCGAAGTTTATCAATTTATGAAGGAGGAGGAGGACCGTAAAAAGAACCGGATCTACTCGGAGCCTCAAAAATTATTGCAGGGTTGTATGATCATCACGCGTGCTGGTTCAAGATCAAATGAAGACAGGAGTTCATGCCTGAAACAAATCGCAGCCGCGGCCAGAGTTCTTGAGCATTAGGATTAGTTGTCTCTGCTGCTGCGGTCCACCTCGCGCAAGAACATTATTTATCACAGCAGCCTGCCCTCCAACAAAGAAAGCACACGGTCGTGCCATCAAATTGAGCGTGCTTGTGAGCAATAGCAACTGTAGGTGCCTACTTACATCAACCACAAAAAGAAACAATTTTGCTCTTTTCAACTGAATCTTACAACATCTTTGAGCAGGTAGAATGCGTGCATTAGTGGCGGGTAGAAGTGCCTCCTGATTTTTATCGACATGGGCGTTTCTTGATAAGGGCCGTAATTCTAGATTTTCATCAATAGGCGGGTAGGAGTAGTTTTCCATCATGTACAGATATCAATCACGACATCGCGGGAGGCAGGCCGCGCAGGATCCGTGGTTACTAGCGTCAAAAATAATAAATAGTAAGCAGGGTAGGGGAGCTACTCGAACCTGCTTCGTTATTGGTCAATGAGAATATTCGTACATCTACTGTGATCATCTATTTCCACCAGGAATCTATCTCTAACACCAACATGGTGAGTCAGAAACGTTCCGAATCATACACAAGAAAAAGTATTTATGTTATTGATTCATCGTAGGCAAATACCGAAGTATAGAAGATTTTCATTCTCTCTCAGAGTTAATAGTTGTTTTAGATGTCCAACACGAAGGAACTTGTCCATTCGAGTAATTCCACCCACGACCTTTATGGATTTTTGCGCATCATTCGGGCCAGTGGTGAGATGCTTGGCGTGCTGGAGTTGTTGTTTCCGCCCAGTTATGAACTGCAAAAGTATCGTACTCGTACGAATGCATGACAAATTTCCTCAGCATGACAAATAAAATTTGTAATGCAGATTTGCCTTGGGAACAACATTTGTAATGCAACACTTGCATTTACACGAGTAGGATACTTTTGCACAGGATACCAGTAGACTCGTTGTCGAAAAGGAACTGTTGTAGCTATTGTTGTACTGTTCTGTGCAAAAGTATCGTACTCGTAGTAATTGGGGTCATGCATTACAAATCTTTTTCATAAGGTAAATCCGCATTAGAAATTTTATTTCTCATGCTGCGGGAATTTGTCATGCATCTATACGAGTACGATACTTTTGCAATTCATATGTACTGCACCCTCTTTCCCCGTGCCACCCTCCTGGGCCGCAGATTCACCTCCGCCATTTTTTCGATGCGTTTCAAATACCCGTGCAGGTCGTCCAGAAAGTGCGGGCGCACCAGCGGGTTTTTCAGCACTCGCTCGTCGCCGTCGTAATAATCGTTCAAATCAAACGCGGGATCATTCGGGTTGATCCTCGCTTTCTTCAGGATGGCGTCGCGGATGAGCAACTTCCCGGCATGCATTACATCAAACTCGATTTCGTGCCGCCGGCGCAGGATTTCGATGGCACCCTCGAAGTAGCACTGGTCTTTCGCGCACGACTCGTACAACACGTCGGGTGGATGCGTGACTGGCTCGGACTTCGGCTCGAGGTAATGAGTATCCTGTGCAAATGTATCGCACTCGTAGTGATCGCAGTTATGCATTAAAAATTTCTTTCTCAAGTTAAATCCGCAATACAAATTTTATTTCTCATGAGGAAGTTTATCATGCAATTTATACTAGTACGATGCTTTTGCAATGCATAATGAGGCTCCTTTCCCTTTTTCTTGGCGCCGGGCCCTCCTGCTGCGCCACTCGTCCCACTAGAATTATTTGCGCCAAAGTTGCCCCCCGGCTGCTGAAAGGGAGCAGCGGTCGTGTAGACGGAGTTGGTGTCTTTCCCCGAAGTGGTAATGGCCCCCGCACCGTAGGGATTGGAGGTCGCACCACTCGCCGTGCCTTGCGGCAGGCTGAACCGGCCCGCCAGCGCCGTGCTGTTGTTCCACTTGGGCAGGTCCTTGTTGTTTTTTTCGCGCAATTTGTTGTCCCATTCCTCCCTTTATGCCATGAAAATTAACCAACCCCATCCAGTCTTTGCATAACATTAACAAGCACGGAACTTGCTACATGTTTTGCATGACAAATTGGATCAGGATGGTTAATTTTCAGGGAATACCCTTTCCAGTTCCTCCATGGCGAGCAGGGCGGCTTTCCGCTTCCTTGCAGTCACCGCAATGCAGCCGCGCTTCGCCCGCACGCAGTCGCGCCACCGCAGGTCCGGGTCCGCGGTGTAACGTTTCAAGTGATTGAACAATTCGACAAACGAGAGTCGCTCGCTCATGCACACGCAGTAGTAGACGTACGCTGGTTGCCACAGGAGCTTATCCTTGTAGAACTGGTGCGTGTTCAGCGCCGCTAAACCCTCTTCGGAACGTATCCTGAGTAAAAACGTACCCACGCCAGAGTTGTAATGCAGATTTGCAAAGACAGAAAGACTTGTAATGCGCATCCCCATGAGAGCCATTTCTAATCGTGTTTTGGAATTTGTGATGCTGTGAACAGGATGAGCAGATGAATCTGTGATGCGGCTGCACTTGCTAACCTGCACTACACTGCAGAGTGTAACTTGTCATGCGTGACTCACAAAGCCCCTAGGTTTGTGTTGCAAAATCCCCATCCTGACTCTGGTGTGGGTACGTTTTTACTCAGGATAGAACGCAGCCGCTCCCGCGCGGTTGCGGATCGCTTGTGGAAGTTGAATTTGGTCGTCAAGTCAAGCACCCTATGCATTGCAAAAGTATCGCACTAGTATAAACTGCAATACAAATTGGCTCAGCATTACAAATCAAATTTGTAATGCGGATTTCCCTTAACACCTAGATTTGTAATGCATAATTGCAATTAGTACGAGCACGATGCTTTTGCACTGAATACACCCCGTGCTGCGACAAAATGCTGGAGAACGACCTCGACAGCTCCCGCTTCCGGTTGTTGATTCCATACACTGCGGCGTGTAACGGGTTGAAAATGTTGTTGTTGTTGTGCGATGAATAATTTTGATGACCTGTGCTTGTTGTGATGTTCGTATTCAATTGTTTCGTCCTTTCCTCTTCTCGACCCTCTGGGGACAAGCTGCGTGGCGTGACCGAGTAGTCTTTCGTGTTCTCCACGGGGCTGCTACTGTTCGAAATGCGTGCCTGCTTCGCCTTCAGGATCGACTCCTCTGCCGACCTCTGGAGCTCGTCAATCGGGGACGTTTTCTTGTTGGCCACGTGTTCTTTCGAGTTCTGCTTCGCACTAGTCGACGAGGACGCGGAACTTGACGGCACAACCTCGGGGTACGCCACGATTGACGTGCCCAGGTTCAGAATCTTACTCGTCAGCCGCTGATGCGGTTTCATCGAGGACGCAGTATTGTCGTGGCTGTCCTTGTATGCACTGCAAAAGCATCGTACTAGTATAAATTGCATCACAAATTAGCTCAGCATGAAAAATTGAATTTGTCATGCTAAATTACCTAAGAAACCAGATTTGTCATGCTAGTCTGGCATTTATACGAGTGCGATACTTTTGCGCAGGATAGTACCTTGTTGTCTTTACTAGCACCTACCTCCGCGGAGCTACTCGAGGAACTACTGGAGCTGGAATTCACACGCGTGGTGGAGGACGCGTTGCAGGCTTTCTCCGTTGTGTCTTCCAAAATTTCCGGTCCGTTTTGGTGCTGATCTGTGTAGTTGTTGTCTCTGCGAAAGAAAACGTCATTGTTAGTAGTAGAGTTTCCACAACCACCCGCACCCCCACCACCTCCCGGAGCTGCGTAGTTGCTGAGTGACGTCATGCCCGACGCAGCTCCCGCTCCACCGCCCGGACTGTTGTTGCCGGAGGCGGATGGTGCACCAGAATTTTGGTTGTTCTTCTCGTGCGAAAACCAGTTGGCGCCGACCTTCTGCTCAAGACTATAGGTGTCCGCGTTTTGCCACTCCAGTAAGGGGGTCTGGAGTCGCTCGTGCACGTAGTTCAACAGTCGCAGCCTATCAAAAGGAAAAATCCGCCCTCCCCAACATACCAAACCTGAGATTTGTGTAGCATGATTTGTGGCCACAAATCCTTTTGTCATGCTAGAGGGGAAGAGATGCGTACTGTAGTGCTGGCGGGCGCAGGCAAGGCTAGCTGCTTCAGCATGACAGAGAGCAACTGGAAACGGAAAACAGCTTGACAACTCTCCTACGAACGAGGGGGCAACTGCGTCTCTTGGCCTTCTAGCAACACAAGTCGATTTGTGTACTCGAATACAGCAACACAAATTTCCTTTTCAATATGGGGAGGGGGGATTTTTCCGCACAATACAGCCGGTCGCGATTCGTGATCAAGTGTCGCCACTGCCGGTCAGTGGTCATCAGCTCCACGGAAGGGGGCCAACAGGGCTCCTCCATGATCTCCGAATTTACGCCGCGCGTGCAGTGGGTACCTGAGAGTAGGTGAAGAGTCGGTGATTTTTTATTGGTATTCTAATTATCTCTTAACATGCAAATAAACCAACACGCCCTGTAAGTGTATTAATCATGCAGAAATAATGAATCTAAATACGATGACTGCGCCGAGGTTTGACTTTGAGTGTGCTTCTGCTTTCAATCAATCTGTGGAAAAATAACCGCAAAAAAAATCTTCTCGGTGGAGAACTATAAATATACCAATCTCATGGTCCAGAATGCTGATAAACCGCTCCAGTCGGTAGACCTTGAAGTCGCTGTGCAGCGCCATGGTTTTGGTTTGCTTCGAGTAGCTACACACCAATTTCTGCTTCGGAAAGACGATGCGGATCATGTGGTCTAGGCTGTGCTTCTGCAGGTACCCAACGGCAACGTCAATGATTTTGTTGCGCAGCATCTCCTCACTGGTCACGCGCGTCAGTCTTTCCAACTTCAGAGCCTCGCTATCCTGTGCAAAAGTATCGTACTCGTGCAAATGCAAGTCTTCGTTCGTTGTGGATCGGCTCTGCCGACCGGGTAACCCATCGCCTCACATACAAATGACCGACATAGGCGAACCCCGGGAAGTCTTGCATTACAAATCTTGTGTCCAAGGCAAATCTGCATTACAAATTTTATTTCTAACGCTGAGAAAATTTGTAATGCATTTATACGAGTACGATACTTTTGCAGTTCATACTCGCTTCCCTCGCCCAATTCTTCCTCCAATTGGAAAACCTCCTTGCCGGTGCGCATACTGATTTTCAGCACGTCACAGAACCGCTTCCCGAAGATTTCGTCGGCATACGACGGCTTCTTGTTTCTATTTGTACTATTCTGCGGGTCTACCGTGGTTGATAAGGCTCCCGCTAGTTGTAGTTCCGTGTTGTAGTGGTTGCTATTGCTAAAATTATTGTTCGTGTTAGAAGCCATCATGTTCTGATTCACCGATTGAAGATACCGTTGCCCCGCGTTGTTCTGTTGTATCAAATCGGTTTCCGACAAGTTACAAATTTCGTCCTTGTAAAAGGCTCGCAGGATAATCGGGTCCTCGGGTGTCAACCGGTCCTCGTACTCCTGCTTTTGCTGTTCTAACTTTTTCCGCTTCAGCTCCTCTTCCCGCTCCTTCTGCTGGGCTTGCGCGACCGCTTCCCGCATCTCCTTCGCTGTTTGCAGCGCTTCCTCCGCAAGAAGGAGCTGCTCACTGGGGGGTGTGACCGAGGGGATTATGGGGGACCCATTTTTCGGGGTTGTGGCAGATGAACTACTGGATACAAGTTGTCTTTGCTGGGAGGCACCTCCACGCGGACCATTTAATATTCCGTTTTGTTGTTGTGCGCCATCACTATTTAAATCCACTTGCAGGTCGGGGTGCTGCTTGGTGACAAAATTAATCAGTGAGCTTTTGTTGATCTTCTTGTTGCCCGCGTCGACAAAGCTCGGGACTGCGCCTGATGTTGATAGTGAACCTTGCTCGTCCCTACTGGAAGCTGATGCCCTTCTAGACGAAGATTCTTGTCGGGCCGGTACTGTAGAAGTAGTTCCTTGCTGCTGCAGGTTCCTTTCCTGATGATCGACAAAAAGTGTCGCAGCCGTATTGAGAAGAAAGCTCCCCCCTCCCCGTATTGGAAAGGCATGTTTCCGAAAATTTACATTGCTGATTTGTGACCACAAATCAGGTCTGTCTTGCAGGAACACAAATGCAGAGGCATCCGCCCAATTGTGGAAACGATTTGGCATGCTGTTGATCGTAGAGGGTAGCCGTTTGCAATGCTGAACAACTAGACCCAAACACTCCTACCTAGGCTGCGGATCTGGCCGCAGTGCCTTACTGCAAGACAAGTCGGATTTGTGTACGCAAATCCAGCATCAGAAACTTCGCTTTGACACGTGGAGGGGGGATTTTTTCTTTTGATAAGCCGGGTTAGGATCGTTCACACAAGGGATTAGAGTGTGAAAAGGTTTGTACTCGACGCCAACGGACGGGGCTTGCACTTCTTTTTGGTCTGGATCTACTGCTACAACTCCGCCACTACTTCCGAGCGACACTACTTCCTGCCTTCTCCGTCTGCTCGAGGAAGAAGACTCCGGTCTTTTCTGTAATTTTGAAGACGACGCGGTCGAGGCGGTACTGCTGCTACTCCCCGGCGGCCTCGTGGCTGTGTTTGATGTTCCATTTTCAGCATTCGACGCAGCTCCAGCGTGGTCAGCTCCTGCCCCATCTTTGGTACTACTATTCGGAGGTTGCTGGTGCATCATAAATGGGAACAGATCTCCTGCTCCAGCGGATGACTTTTGTTTCTTTTTCTTCGAGGAACTCTGCGTTGTTCCAGACGCAGAAGACGTCCCGGATTTTTTCTTCAGCTTCTTCTTTTTCTTGACCCCGGATGAATTATTTACCACCTGTGCAGCTCCCGGTGCCATCTCGTCCCCCGTGAGCAGGCCAGCACTACTATCAAAAGCAAAAATCCCCCCTCCCCATATCGAAAAGGTATGCTTCCGAAAATTTGTGTTGCTGATTTGAGGTCTCAAATCACATTTGTATTGCAAGAAGACAAGGGCAGAAGCTTCCGCCCCCCTATGGAAGCGATTTGTCATGCTGTCGGGTCTAAAGGGGAGCCGCTTGCCATGCTGAACAACTAGACGCATACGCCCCTACCTAGCCTGGGGATCTGACTGCAATGCTTTCCTGCAATACAAACCTGATTTGTGTACTCAAATCCAGCATCAGAAATTTCCTTTTGATATGGGGAGGGGGGATTTTTCATTTTGATAACTACAAGTCGCGGAGCTGCTCGCCGAGGGGGTTCTCCGGTCCAATAGGTTCGTAATGCTGGATATGGATGTGTCAGAGTTGAAATCGACAAAGTTGAAATAATTTGTCATGCATAAAATGGATGCCAGTTGGAACCCAGTTTCCAAGTGGCGCATGACAAATTTCGGTGGTCCCTAAATCCAGTTTGTCATGCTGTTTAGGCAAAGGAGAGCGATTTTCTCATGCTACTTTAGCAGCTCGAGCTGTAACCCCAGACAGGCTTACAATCGGCCTCACTTGCCTGCTCTGCAACACACGTACCTCGGGTCATGCATTTTATGCATTACAAATTATTTCAACTTTGACGATTTCAGACCTGACGCTTCCATACTGGATGAACTCGCAGCACTGCCGCGTTTCGAGCCGGCATTGGCGGAACTTTTTTTCTTCATTGTTCCGTCGTTCCCTGTGACCGAATCGGTGGCGGAGCTGGAACCTACATCGGTTTCCAATTCCTCGCACGCAGCATTTGTCGTGCAGAATTTCAAGTCCACGTTTTCGACCTGGTTCTTGATGAGTTTCGCGAAGGAAGAGGAACTGGGCTTCGGGGGCTTCGAAGCAGCTGCAGCTGCGCCTGGTGCAGAACGTGTAGCAGGAGCCGCCACGTCAGGTGCGTTTGCGTTTGCATTTGCATGTCGTATCATTCCGTCGCTATTGATTTCGCTTTTCAACAACGGTTCTTGCTGCTGTTCGCATTGCTGTTGCTGCGACCCCGACGTTTTGTGAAGTAGGAGGTCATCATGGTCTTCTGGATTACAGTCTTGCTCCTCTTCGCTCGATGAAGAACTGCTGGAGCTTGCCGTGGGCGTCACCGAGGAGCACGCGATCGGCGCGTGCAAGGGTGCGTGGCTCGGGCGTTGCTGGACGTGCGCCAACCGCAAGGGTTGCTTGCTAATGTTCAGAAAGCTGTGCGGTGGGTTTTTGTTTCGCAGAGAGCTGGACGACGCGTTATTGGAATTAGTGCCACCGCCTCCACCTCCAGAAGAACTGTTGTACCCACCTCCGCTGCTGTCGTTGTTGCGATCGTCCGTGTACAGATCTGCCAGCCCGAAGGACCTCCCGGGGAGGTTTCGTACAATGTCCCGGCCCGCGTTCATGGCTTTGCGGACCGTGGTATGACTGTGCACAACTCCCCCTCTCCCTCATTTGTGTTGCATGAACAGCAACAGCACAAGCGCCGGCAAAGATGCAGCTTTTGCATGGCAAATTCCTAGAGGATTGTAGTGCTGCTTTGGCTTTCGGAATCTGTCATGCAACCAGTGCTAACGGGCAAAAGGTAGATTTGGGGTTTTGCATGACAAATGAGGGGGAAAGGGAGTTGCGCCCTTTCATACGTCGTCTCCCTTCTGTGCTCCTTTTCCCGTTCCCGCTGCTCCATCGGGGGAGAAACGGAGGGCGAAATCGATTTCTCTTTTCCCAAGGCGCCCATGCCGAAATCGTTCGCCACGCCCTGCAGAATCAGGTTCTTCAGACTTTCCGCCCGCTGGTCAACGATCTGTGGGGGGTTGATCTGCTCCGCTGGGGGCGCAGTGGAGACTAACGGGGTTGCGGAGTTTGGACTGCCGGAAATGTGCAACTGATGGGGGAGGTTGTGGCTGTTCAAGTTCATCTGGTGATGGGGACGAGAGGAAAGCGAAGGGGACGATGATCCTCTGGATGGACGAAGAAGCTCGGCTGCCGTATCCACGGAAACGCAGCCACGCACCCCCATGATCCAACTTGTCATGCAAATCATGCATAAGCTGCAGAGTTTGTGTAGCAAAAAATGGATGCTGGGGATGGGTGCTTTTTCCTGGATATGCCGGGGGTTCATTCTCCACTTCCTCACCGTCATGTAGCGAAGACGAGCCGTCATCTTCCTCTTCGGAGTTGTCTCCTGCATCGTTCCTGCTTGACGAGGCAACAACATTTCTTCCTGGCACTGCTCCGCCTCCTTTTGGGGCGATAGAACTTGCAGCAGTACCACTACCGCCAGTACTAGTTGTACTGCTTTGTCCTGCCCCAGAAGTTACAGCAGCACCTCCCCCACCCAGCGGCGCCCAACTGCTCAAGTCCGGCTTCACGAAAGGAGTACTAGAACTTCCTGTGCCTATCTCATTCGCCTGTGAGACGACCTGGACCACCTGCTTCCTGGATTGCGTTTTGCGCAACAATTCCTGGATGTTTAACGCCGGCGCGGTTGGATATCCTGTGCAAAAGTATCGTACTCGTAGAAGTAAGTAATCGCATTTATGCATGACAAATCTCTTTTTCAAGGTAAATCAGCATGAGAAATTTCGTTTGTCATGTTGAGCAAATTTGTAATGCGATTACTAGTAGTACGATGCTTTTGCAATTCATATTGGATCATTTTGATCGATTTCAAACAAGCGCCCGCTCTATCCTGTGCAAAACAAGTATCGCACTCGTATAAAAAATGCATTACAAATTTCCTCAGCATGAGAAATAAAATTTGTAATGCTGATTTACCTTTAAAAAAAATTTTGTACTTAATGCATGATTGCAATACGAGTACGATACTTTTGCAATTCATACGCTCTTCCTGCCCCCCGTGGCCTTCATCACACTGCCGTTGGACATGTATGGATTGCAAAAGTGTCTGGGTCTGGAAGATTGCAGCTTGTCATGCTAAATCCGAACCATGCAAAAATCTGTGTTGCGTTAGTACCAAAAGCTGTCCACTTTCGAAGAACTTGGGAGGGGGTTTCTCATGCAGGATAGGCATGACAGAGACCTCACAGACTCTGTTGTGCTAGGTCTCGCATTCCAGACCTCACGGGTCATGGAAAACCTGCATGACAAGTTTACACTCTTCCAGACCCAGACATATTTGCAGTTGATAACATGGATTTCGACGCATTTGTCGGCTGGTTCTGCTGGTCCAGAGCGCTAGAGTTGTGGTGGACGAGGTGATATCCACAGTAAATTTCCCGTACACGTACAAATGCTGTCTCTGCATGGCAAAACTGACCTTCAATCTTAGTCAGCGTGACAAGTTTGACACTCAAAGTTAGCGAAATTTGTCATGCATTTTGTACATGTACGAGAAATTTGTATTGCATAGATGAGAAGCAGCAACGGCGCTGGTCGAAGACGATGAAGAACTACTCGCTGACTCGATGGAGATCGAGTCTCCGCGGTGTAGTACGAGTGTGCTGGACGATTGCTGGGAAGTAGAACTACTGCCCGCAGGTGGATGTTGCACTACAGCAGCTGCTCCGACAAGTGAAGATGAACCTCCAACCCCGTCTGATGCAGTAGTTGATACGGCATTGCCAAACGCGTTGAAACTGTTCCTACGGCTGTTGTTGCCCGAGGCATTATTGTTGCCCGTTCCACCTGAAGACGAGGACTGCTGCAACAATCGGTCTCTTAAACTGCTTCTTCCACCGGTGGAGGAGGTTGTGTTGCTATTATTGCTCTCGATCATGAGATCGACTGCGCTGCTGGTCGCGGAACTCGGAGCTTGCGAGGACTGCAGAACGGAAGTCGCCACCGCCAAAGATGAAGCTGATGTTGTGCCGGAATTGAGCGAACTCAAAGACAGCTCCGAGTTGCTCTGCGCAACAGAAGGCGGATGGCGCTTCGATTTCAGGTAGTTCCCCGGGAAAAGCCCCGGATGCACCATGGCCGTGTTGGTGCTCAGGGCGTTGGTACTTGATGCTGTACCGCTCTTTAATATCGCGGATGATCTGCTGTGATGTTCTGTGCCGTTAGCTGCACTATCTGGCTCCACATTCATCGCAGGGGTGAGGTTTTGGAGCGTCAAGTTTACGACGTTCGCGTTTGTCGGGACAGGAGGGATGAGCTCGTCTGAGGTGGTCACGAGGTTGGATGTTGGTGCAGAAGCTTTCTTGTTCGTCGCACCGTTCATATTATCGGCAGCAGTTGTTCTATTGTTGCTCACACTTGTTCCAGATCCACCTGTCAGCAACCCGGGCCCGCGTGGTGGCGGAACCTTAGAAGAGTTCATGACCGGGATCATCATGGAAGCAGAATTCGTGTTGTCGTCAAACGCCCACTATCCTGTGCAAAAGTATCGTACTCGTATTGTAATCATGCATTACAGATCCTGTCCTTAAGGAAAATTAGCATTACAAATTCTATTTCTCATGCTGAGGAAATAATTTGTGATGCATTTATACGAGTACGATACTTTTGCAATGCATACCCGTGCGTCCAAATCTGGGCTGGTAATCGCCATCTGCAACACCGTCGGTGTGGCCGTCTTGCTGGTCGTTACACTGGTACTGGAGAGTGTCAGTTTGTTGTTTGACGGCGTCTTGTCGACGTTGGTACTGAGGGTGGCCGAGGACGCCAGCTCGTGTTTGATCTGAGATGATGATGCATCTACTCTGCTTACGACTTGTTCTTTCGTGCTTTGTATGCCGACCACTTGCAAGGCGCCCGGTCGTGTTCCTCCAGTTTCCTGATGCTCTCCCTTTCCCGTACTACCCGTTCCCCCCGCTTCGGAATTTGACTTCGAAGAAATCACGATCTCCCCGCCTATTAACCTTATCGACTCACCGATAGAAGGAGAGCCTTGTTTGTGCACCCCTTCCAAAAGGCCGTACTCCTTTATGGAACTGTCAGGATTGAAATTGACAAAGTTGAAAAATTTGTGATGCATAAAATCGATACCAGTTGGAAGCCCAATTTCTAAGCGGTGCATGACAAATTTAGGCACCGTATAAATCCAGTTTGTCATGCTGTTTAGCGAAAGAAGTCGTCTTTTGTCATGCTACTTTAGCAGCTCTATCCCAAACCCGAAACAGGCTCACAATTGGCCTCGCTTGCAATCCCTGCAAGACAGTCACCTCGTGCCTTGCATTTTACGCATCACAGATTATTTCAACTTTGTCGATTTCAATCCTGACACTCCCATATCCTTCAGCCGCTGAAGCTCCTGCAACACAGTCACCTGCTCCCGGTCCTTTTTCTCCTTCGCCTATCCTACAGAAAAGCTCACCATTAGTCCCAGAAAGCAATAACTTTGATTGTGCTCCTGCGGTTGTCGTTTTTGGTGATGTCTTTTTCATCTGGCAGTTGTTCAGCATGACAAGCTTTTTTGGTGCCAGTGCCTCTCAGTCTGTGGCTAGCGTTACAAAAACAAACTCAAACTGCATTGTGCATGACAAAAAATTGCGTCTTCTTGGTCTCTACGTTACAGAGTTTTCATATGACAGGATGAATGCAGCAACACAAGTTGAAATTCCTTTATTTTCTGGTATAATATATGGGTGTACTTTTCTCAAGGATATCGCCTCGCGTTCGATGGCCTCTGCCGCGCGGGCCAAGCACCGCAGCGTGCGCGGGGAATCCAAATACTCCATCGACTTCGTCACTTGCCCATAACTATGCATTGCAAAATTATCGCACCCACTCGTTACTCGTAGTGGTTGGGGTTGCAGTCATGCATTACAAATCTCTTCCTTAAGGCAAATCTGCACTACAAATTGCATTTCTCACGCTGAGGAATTTGTCATGCGATTTATACTAGCACGATGTCGATGCTTTTGCACAGGATAGTAACTGCTTCCCCCGTTGGGGTGGAGGAGTTTAATATCAAAGAAAAAAACATTGTAGGTGTAAGAGGCCGTACGATTAATGGGCCCCCTTTTCGGTACCGAAAAGGGGGGGGTAGGTGCGGTCGGTCATCTGGCCGCATTCAAAAATGGTCGTGTCCCTCCGGACCCGACCGATTTTTTGAATTCAAAAATCAAAAACGCGAATGCGTAACTCCCCCAACCCGGCAAAATAAGTTCTCTTTTGTTTTCTGCGGCTGCTCAGCGGTTATCTCTGCTGCTGCGGTTCCTGCAGCGACGTGGCTGAAAGTAGAACAGAACGAAACAGAACAGCATAAGTTTCGTGGGGCGCACGCAGCGCGTGCGTGGATTGACTTATGTTTGCAACAACGCAAGAAGCTTCGGGCGCACGACGTGCGCGCGCAAACTGGAAAAAAGAAAAATGCAGCGCGCGCCGCGCGCGCGCGGCGAAGAGCATGCGTCGTGCGTGGCTATGTCAGGACGCTGCGAAGCATTTGCACGCAGCTGGAGCTGGCTACGTGCAGTTCGATGCACTTCTTCTTCTGTTTGAGCAGGCCCACTGCAAATGATAAAGAAAGAAGCAGCCGCAGCACAAAGAAAGAGCCTTGGAGTAATTTACTAGGGCCTTAGAGCCTTAGGCAGCAGTATGAAAAAAACAACTCTAGAAAAAAGAGGGCCCACACAGCAGGGCAGATCGGGCTTCGTGTTGAATGAAGTACTTTGAAAAGAAGAAGGCGCTCCCCCGCGGCAAAAAAAACATTTTTAGTGCAGAACTATGTTCCGGGCTTGCAAAGATATCGGCGCGCCCCCGTGGTTGAAGTGGCCACCTCAACTTTTCCACAAATTAATTGGAAGAACTGAGATGGCCGCTTCAACAGCCCGAGGGCGGGTGTGCGGTCCTGCGCTGCAAATTGCTGCCTCCTCGTGATCTACTGCGCGGTAGTTTTTTTTGTGCAATGCATAGAGCTGCTTCGCAGTAAAAGAAGCGCCGCAATGATGTGCTGTAGCTGTTGCGCAGTGACAGCGTCTCTGTTTTTGAGCAGGAGAGCTACTTTTTAGTGGATCATCTACAACGAACTGCGCCGAAGCTACTGCGAAGCAGCTCTGTGTCTGCGCAGTAGATCCACGGCCTACAACGTCCTAAACTAGGCGGCAGTTGCGCTGCAGATGATTTACTCCGAGGCAGCTGCGCTGCTGCTTTCTGAAAGACAGCCGAGCCCTCTGGCTTGGGAGAGCAGCCGCGGTAGCCGCCTTTATTTTGAGAACCAGAAAGCGGGTCGCTTTGCTTGCCTTGTGGCGAGCGGAATAACACCGGGGCCTGCTGCTGCTCTAAAAAAAGAAAAAACTAAAAATCTCGGCCATAGCATCGGCACCGTGTTGTACTTTGCGCGCTTGCCACTATAGTGGTGCGCCCTGCAGTCGAAGATGGGCGCCGCCTGTTGCTGTGTTTTTCGAAAGGCGTGAAACACGCCGCTCCGCCGTGATTCAAATTCGCGATAGATTTCGCAACAAGCAGTCCCCGGATTTCGAAAAGGGGGGCGTGGGGGGGTAAGCTCGTCCAGAATCGCGCTCCTACCCCCCTTTTCGGTATCGAAAAGGGGGTCGATTAATCGTGCAGCCTCTAACTTTTTTGGAGGAACAGCATTACAAATCTGTCTGGCATGACAGCAAAAACCTGTCATGCGCAGATAGTACGTGAAAACGCCCTTTAGTGGGCCCTACAATGCATGCCAAGCATGACAGACGCAATCATCTTGCATGTTCCGCATCACAAATTTACACTAACAACGTTTTTTTCTTGGATATTTAAAAGGGTCTTTGTAGTCCTCGTTTCGCTTCTCCACTACTCTGCCGTCGGCCGTAATGCTACCTATGCATTGCAAATATGTCTGGTTCTGAAAAAAAAAGTTGTCATGCTGGTCTGCCATGACTGTTAAATCTGTGATGCCTAGGGGAGAAATAATCCTCTTGCCTGTCATGCACAAATGGAGCCTGCCATGCGGAATACGCAGCACGCAGGAGCTCAAAAACTTGTCATGCTTGGTCACCTATCGCAGTGAGTTCATTATTCACAGACTTGCATATACAAGTTTCCAGACATCCAAGGATTACATTTGCGGTTGATACTACCCGGCGGAAGTTCATCCTCATCATCGACATCGTCGTGGTCGTCAATGTTCATGTTCATCCAGCTTTGCCTATGAGAGTGCACAACTCCCCCTCCCCCTCCTTTGAAGGGCATACCAAGCAATACAAGTGCTGGCATAAATGCAGCTTTTGCATGACAAATTCGCGACCGATTCTAGTGCTGTTATTTCGGCTCCCGAATAAACCTGTCATGCAAGAAGTGGCAAACAAGAGAAAAGGGCGGATTTGGTATTTTGCATGACAAATGAGGGGAAGGGGCAGTTGTGCATTGTCATATTGCCCCTGCGAGTACCCGGATTTCAAATTCGACGGCAGTTCCTCCACGTTGTCGTACCTTTCCCTGACCTCCTCGAGGATTGCCTTCGCCAAGTCGAACAGTTCGTAGGAAACGGAACCGTACTTGGAAATGTTGTTCTTCATTTTCGCCAGGCTGCAATTGTATTCGAATTTCGGTTCCTCCTTGCAGTTAGACTTGAAAAAGGCACGCTTTGCCTCCAGCAGGTTGATGGGAGTGAGCCGCGACATGGTCGTTTCTTTTTACGTACTAAAGGTCAGCTTTCTTATTTCAAAAAGTCTTACAAGACAGAAGTTCAGTACAGCGGCCTACTCGGCGTAACAAAATCCGACTCTAGTCTTACACTGACTAGAAGAGTGATTTTCATTATTTAGCGAGGATATGAATTTGCCGGTGTACTAAAAAAATTATGCGTATACAAAAATCGTAAACAGATGCTACTGCAGCTGAGAAACAGACTCAGCTCAATTCAAATTCTATGTCATCCGTTTGAAGCGCATGAGGATTGACACAAGGAAGTTCTCGTTTTACATATCATAAGAGCGCAACATAAATTGCGATGCATACATTGTAGTGCTTTAATGGGTCCTCGTAGGGCTGACGTCCAGGTGTCACGCAGCGTCAAGTAGTCAGCAGTCTTGGGAGCTCTCCTAGCCTTGTTGCCTCGCTCAATTTGAAATTTGGTACTAGTGCCCTCGAAACTAGTAGATCATACGATGACAACATCAGTGAATGAAATGGATGAAGTCACAATAACAATGCAGTAGGAAAATAATTTTAAAATTATCACTCAAGGCTGACATCTTGGATATACCGTTTAGACTGTTTTGCGCACGGAAGCACGTGCAGCTCGTCGCTCACGACATTTGAAAATGGTTCACCTCTCCAACAGCAACATCGGTCTTTCATGCACGATCTCAGTAGTGCTCTAGTTTCAGTAAAGTTCGTTCACAACAAGAACCGATCTTCGATGAGCTGCCGCGGCTTTATATTTATCCAACAACAGCTACATCACAGAATAATATCCTCCTCATAGCTTCGCGCATGGAGGTTCTTGTAGTTGTTCTGCAGCTGATAATGATATTGCGAACACAAGCAGCTCCTTTCTGCATCTTTCTCTTCTACCAGGAGACGAAGAGAGCAGAGAAATAGAGCGGTTGCCTGTCAACCACTGGGGAAAGTAGAGCAAGACAACCTATAATATGTTGGTGACCGTGACCGTGACGAGCAGGCCGCGGCCTATAATTTTACAATGCAGAGGACTGAGAAGGAGCGCAGTTCTTCGGAGGTCAAGCTCAACAGATCCAAAATCCTGGGGGGGAGAAAAGCAAACAAGTCGTGTTCATCTTCTACTTCGAGGCTTTATCTCCACGTGTACTAGTACCACCTCAGAAGCAGACAACTACTATTTCTACTGCCGGCCTTTCATCTTGAGGGCGATTTGTTTTTTTTCTGTTTATCTTTATTTTGCAAGAGCATTTTTCCAACTATTACGTCGAAGAGGACGAGCTGTTCAACTGTCGTTCGATCTTCTGAATCGCCGACATCATGTCCTCGGGATTGTGCATGAACTCCAGCAGTTCGATGGGCATCGCGTTGTACCTGTTCTTATCCGGCCGCAGGTCCGCCGCCGTTTGGCAGACACGAAATAAGTTTTTTGATGTTGTTGTCAACATCGTCGAGGACCTATTCATTTTCGGAGCAGGTCCTGCCGCGGCAACATCAGATGTTGAAACTACATCTTCATCTTCTTCGCATGTAGAAGATGTTGATCCTCCTGGTGTCGTCGAAGCAACTTCTGTTTTCGCCCTTGCTGAAAGTAGTTCTACCAGCTCCTCTCGCGTAAAAAGCCCGGTGTCGGTTTCTACGACTGCATCTTCTGTAGTACCCTCACTACCGTTTATGTTCTTCTCCATCGCGGAATCAGGCGCCCGCGCCGCAACATCCACCGGCGCCAAATCCACCAGAAAACAATCCGCGTCCTCGAATTGTGTACTTTTTTCCGGTTGCAGTTGTAAGTAGACGTCCACGGCGATGAGCTGATGGAGCTCGACTTCACTTGCGGCCTGCACGTTATTTACTTTGGCATCTATCGCCTCGGCCTGTCGCTGCGGGGAGTCGCTCGAGCTTCTTCTTGTGGCCAAATTCTTCTGAACAAGAAAGTATTCGCCAAGTTTGTCCAGAAAAGTCGAGGTTTTCTTCATTCTACTTGTTCCAGCAGTCGAGTTCATCTTTCCATCATGGAAAAAGCGCTCGATTCGTTCTCGGATCTTCTCCTGCGCATTGTTACTATTCCTGCTCTTTCTTTCAACCAGAAACTCATGCACCGCATCCAAATGCCGCTGGGTGATGGCGATCAGCTCACAGGTGATCTTGCTCTGCGCGATAGTAGAGGCAGAAGTTCTTGCAGCTTCATCTCCAGAACAAGCGCCGGCAGGAGGTTCAGTATCAGTTTGTCCCTCTCGTCGCCGTTGAAAATCTTCATTTTTCGGTCCGAAAATTCCGACAAAACACCGGAATTCCAGCGCCGGATTGAAATCAGCGTGGAAGCGGCGCTATCCTGTGCAAAAGTATCGTACTCGTATAAATGCATTACAAATTTCCTCAGCATGAGAAATAAAATTTGTAATGCAGATTTCCCTTGGAAACAAGATTTGTAATGCAAGACTTGCATTTGTACGAGTACGATATTTTTGCACAGGATAGGCGCAGGGCGAGGTGAAGAGCAGCACGATGTTGAGGACCTCCATTTTGGCCTTGCATCATCTCATCTTCGTCGTTTTCCTCGTTAAGACCATGCGTCGAGGAACAGTTGTGTTTTTCCTCCTCCTCCTCGTCTTTATTATCCAGCACTTCCGCGAGGTCAAATTCCACTACGTCCGAGGCAACGAGCAAGGAAAATACCTCCTCCGGCTCGTGGCATTCCAGCGTTTTTCCCCAGGCCATCCACTTCGCGTCTTGGGGCGCGGTGTAGTGCAGCTTCGGAAAAACGGACCCGTGGAGCCGGTCGATCTTTTGGCGGAGCTCCGCGTGTAATTCCGGGTATCGCTCTTTGAACTTAATAGTTCTACGGTGCTTCTTTCTGCCTTCAGCCCCTGGAAGATTTCTCGCGGCTAGGGCTACATCGTCCGGTTCATCTTGTCCCTGACATGATAGCCGAGCAGCCTGGTCGTGTTCTGCTACCTCTGCCTTGCCTTCTTCGACGGGTCGTGTGTCTGTTGTCGAGTCTATTTTGTACTCCTCGTCTGACTGTAGTACCTCCCTTACGGGCGGCGCAGTACAAGACGTCGAGGAGCTTATTTCTGTAACAACTTCAACATCAGTCGTTCTCGTTTCGCTTTCGTGTAGTGTCGTGTGCTTCACCCTCCCTCCACAGGAGCTCGATGTCGCTTCATTCGAAATCCCGAGACCGGCGTTACCCGCGGTGAGAATGGATTCAACCACCTCCTCGAAGAAATCACCTCCGGTTGTTGTAATTATGTTGTTGCAAGATGAAAAATCTTTACACAATGACAACTCGCTGACGTAGTCGTTGCTTTTCAGGTCGTGTTCCAAGGTACAAGAAGTAGTTGTCCCGGCGTCCTCTCCAGCAACCCAAACTCTTTGATTCTGTTTCATCTCTTGGACGATTTTGTGCTGCCCAAACTCGAAAAGCTGAGGCTCCCCATCGTGTTGTTCCTGCTTTACTTCGTGTTCGTCCTCCTCCTGCGGCCACATGTTGGACTCGCAAGGAATTGTGGCCGCGGACGGAGCTGAAGCCAGCACTTTTCCAGTAGAGCTTGCTGCTGCATTGTTACCAGTACTAGGATTTGCAGTTGACGACGAGGATGACACGTCATCTGCGATGAAGGGTTCCTTCTGTGTAGTCGAGAGACGAGCTACGCGGTCGGCTTGGTCCTTGTCCTCCACTTCTCTCGTCCCAGCAGGCGAGGTAGTAGAAATAACCTCCTCATTTACAACTTCGAGAAGTTCTTGTGCACAACAAGAAACCGTGCTGGTATCTACTGGCGACCGCTGCTCATCTTCGTCTTCTTCCTTCGCCGTAGCGCAGTCAGATGAACTCGTCTCAGCATGATCCTCGTTCGCCTCAGGCGGTGCTTCCGTCCCCGCGTCGCTGAGAGTAGTGTCGCTAGTGCCGCCTTCGACGTCGTGGTCCTCACCGGAACTAGTACCGAGGTTATGAGTACTATTATCCCCACCGTCGTCCTCCTCGTCGTCCAAATGATCGTCCCATCCTCCACTGTCGGAGGAAAAACCGCTGTTGAAGCTGTTACAGCGGTACCCCCGAGTCGTACTAGACCCTCCTTGTCCACCCTGTCTGTCCACGGCGAAACAGATCTTGATTCTTTCGCCGCAGCTGGCACTTGATGATGTTGCACGTGATACACCACGGAAAATCTCGTGGCATTGGCGCTTTGTCAGCTGCACAAACTCGGTCTCAAACGTGAACGGTTTGAAGTGCTCGTACCACTGGTGCAGGGCGAAGGGGTGGAGGAGGTGGTGTTTGCGGTTTTTGAGGGTCTGCTCGTCGGCTGGTTGTGATGCAGATGCGGGACGATCAGCAATTATATTGCTGCTGCTGTTATTCTGCATCCCGATCACCAATTCCTCCTGCGGAGCTTGCTCCTGCTCAGGCGCTAGAAGTCCAGGGGCTGAAGAGTCCCTCGACGTGGCCGACATTTTGTTGTCTTTTTTGTTTTTCTTGCTCTTTCAACACTTATGAAATTTAGCTACTACTACAACTTTTATCTTGTTTCTGTAGTGTTTCTTGTTTATAGTCAGGGCTACAACGTCGGCAATGAAGTGTCACGATAACTGGATTATTGTCTGCTGAATACATGCGTGCGGATGCACACAATTAAGCGGATCATTTTTCTTCAGCGACTTTGTAGTTGCGAGGATGCAGAAAATGATTTTCAAAATTCGCACAACTTCCTCATCGGCGAGATGGATCACAAGACGTTAACACGCTAGGGACCACGAGACAAAATGGATCAATATCAAAAGCAAAACCTAATCAATTTCGATCACAAATAAAAGGATCTTCGGCATTCGTAATAAGATCGACGCTCATGTTTTCCGATGTTTATTTTCGCAGGAGCCTGAGCTTGAAATAGAAATACTAGATCCACTTCCTGATCGTGTAACGGGCGTGCTCGAGGTCGAGAGGACACCAGCGAGCTTTCAAACTATAGAACTGTGCAAACATGTAAATGCGAACACCTCGTCCATTGCGAGCTACGTAGCTACGGCCTGCGCATGATGCGCCTGGTGGTCGTGCGCTGCTGCTGCATAGTGAGAAGCGTTTGTATTTCGCAATTGGTAATCTTCAGTGGCGGTACGCGAGCAACGACGCTAACAGTAAAATGAAGGAAAGATGAAGCATCGGCTTCTGCGAAGGGCGCAGCCTGGATGACTTGTTTCCTGGTATGATTATTTCGCCCACCTACTTCTGGCCGTTCAACAGAGAATATCCAAGCACGAGATGAGAAACGGAGGACGACGAGGAACTCCTAATATTGTTCTCGTCACGAACTGCGCTTAGGTTTCGTCTGCCAGCTGCCATGGTCACTGACCTGCTGCTGTTACTTCCTGAATTTGTAAGATTCGGCCCACCACGGCCGGAGGCAGAAACTACTTCTTTATCAGCTCCTACCAGATGAACATCAAGTCGCTCCATCCTCGGGCCCAGGACACAATTCGGCATCTGCAGCGGCAAATCTTCCTTTATCCGAAGTGGCTGCTTTATCACCACGTTTTTCACCGTCGTGGAAAGTGAATTTCCCGTTGTATTCCGTCCGATTGGAGGAGGACAAAAAATCTGTCTAGTACTGCTAGGTGGGGTACTAGAGCTTGCACTGGCAGCGATCCCCCCTGCCGCGTGAGTTCTTGCTCCGAACAAGTGATGTCGCTGTGGAGGTTGCATCAGGTCAGCAAGACCCTGGTGGTCTTCTTCGGGCCTACTCTGACTGCCATCTTCCGCCTCGTGCTCATCAAGACCAGTGCCCCAAAGTTCTTCCACACCTGCGAATTCCTCCGTCCTTTCCGCATCCCGCAAAAATCGTTTCAGCGCACGGAGTACTTCTGTAGATTTCGCTAGCTCCTCCTCGCTGGCAGGAGAAGGTGCTGGATGTTGAGCAAGCGTGAACCGCGATTCATTTTTCCCCGAAGGAGCTCCGCTCGACGTGCCGTGTTGCAGAGATATGCTTCTGTCGTTCGTCGCTTTCAGCAGTAGTGATCCGCTAACAGCAGCTGTCGTGGTAACCCCCAGCGGTCGCGGGCTTCTTGGGCCATTTGTGGCTGGGCTATTCGGTGTGATGCTCTTTGACATCCAGGAATCGGTCAATATGATGTCCATCGTCTCCGCGTGCCGCTCCCGCGCTTCTATTGAAGCGTTCTCCCGAGTGGTCTGATCACCGTGGTTTTGTTCTGTGTGTTGCTCCGAGTTCGGATTGCTTGCGCATGCGCCCGGAGCACGAGCAGCTGATGCTTTCTTATCACAAGCTGCAAGGAACTCTCGCGCTTTCTGGAACAGCAGGGCCCGCTGGAGATACGGGGGTGGTGGAGGAGTTTCAAGAATATCTTCCGAATCATAAAAAACCGGGTCTCTGGCTTGGTCGCTTGTTGTAGTAGTCCGCTCAACAGCGGCCGTCGCGCGCCTTGTGATATCTGCGCCAACAGACCTTGACACAGTTCCACTTTCGCTTGTAGAAGTTCGACCCGCCGCAGGGCGGGGGCCTCCTGCTGTCGCCTCAACTACATCACCTGTGTTTATGGAACTTCTGCGTGAAGCAACGACAGGCACCGCAGCAGGTCCGAAATGGTCCTCATCCAAGCCGCCAGCATCGCTTATGACCGAGAAAAATCTCTCCGGTTGACCTGGCTCTTCTCGCACTACTTGATCCTGAAGTTGATCTTGAAGTTGAACGTGGTCGACAAATAAGCCGACCTTGCTCCTTGAGTTGTTCTCACTCGCACTCGTCCCACTCCCACGCGCCGGCCGCGGTGGTCGTGAGGTACAACTTCCATTTTCCCCTCCGCCTTCAAAACCGACTGCTAGCCCTTCCACAATCATCGCGACGCACGTTTCTAAGACTTTTTCTACCCTTTCCCTACCCTCCCGAACACTTCTCTGCTGTCCTCTCAACGCCCGCACCCGGTCCTCTTGCGCTGCTAGCATCGCCTGCAGCTCGGCTTCTGTGACTCGGCAGATCTGGGCCATCGCCCTCATTTCCACAACGTTTGAGTTCTGCAAGGCTTGAAATTTTTCCTGAAGCAACCGTAATCTCGCAGTCGCATCACTTTTTTCCCGGGTCAAACTATTTGTCTTCACGTTGAACTCCCTCCGCGTGAACAGTTTCCAGGCTTGGAGCACGGTGCGGAGCAAATCGTGGTTGCCACTAGCGAGAAGCAGCTTCAGGTCGTGGAATCGGGAGTCGAGATACTTCGCTTTCCAGTGGTTTTTCGAGTTGTCGAGGGTATGGACTTTTCGCAGAATGTCCGTCACTTTTTGGCAGGTGAGTTTGGAAGCTTGGTGGAACTGGAAGAGCTTGTCGCGATTTTGAGTTGCGGAGGAGGCTTTTTGTTTTTTCGACGTGGTCGAGCTTGTTTCATTCTTGGTACTAGAAATTATACCCGGCCTGGACAAGGAAAGAATCTCTGCTGAGCTAGTATTATTTTGGTAACCGAACGGGTCTATCTGTGTAATCTGTGGGGACGATGTGGAAGCAAAAATGCTAGTACTACTAAGGTCTGAACCAGAAGACCGCGCTGCGCCTTGGTGTGTAGTAGTTATCGGCGGGAATGCAGGAGTAGCAAGAAACCCCTTCTCCTGCTGGCCACCTCTTACCATACCTGCAGGGCGCAGCAGCTAAGTCTCAGTAGTGATGGTTTCGTACTTCACTTGCACAAGAGACACGACCGGGGACCCTGGCGAAACAAAAATTAAGGTCAGATCAATACTTGTCGTTGCAAAGAAAATTCAAGAGAGCAAGTGAAGACACGACGGAGATGACAGGACGAATCTAAAATGACAGCAGGACGTTGAAACTATCACGACAGGACGAAACGGAAATTATGCCAACGATAGGAGGAGATTTGTCCGTCAACGACACGCGGAACAAAGGACGAATACGACACGCGGAACAAATGACGCCAAAGCATAAACGAAAAACACTTCACGTCGACGCAGTACGATTGCGCTTTTGGATTTGCAAAATGAGACTCAGTGTCAATCAAGTACGAAAAACTTAAAAACCAAGACTGCTGGTGAACAGGAACGACAACGACATGAGGACGACGGGTCATGCTAATTTTCGAGCACTTGCAGGTGCAGTTGCCCAAACGTGTGGTGCTCGTCCTGGTGCACGAAGAAGATCACAAACCTCACGTGTTTCTGTTTGTATATACTTTCGTTGTGCTCGTGGTTCCAGCTCGTCATACTGGAGGACACAATTACGCACAATCTAAAAACGCCTCTGCGATAAATCCCAGAAACGCGCTCGCCAGGGCGTATGAGACACCCAGAGAGTTGAATTGCAAGCGAGTTGCCCTTGCCTTTCGCGGCGGCTACTCCATACTGCCTTAAATCGCGATCGGTAGTTTCGATTTCGTTCATTCTGAGTGTGAGTCGAAATAAACTCCATCCGTGGTGCTAAATTTCCTTGCCATCGTACAAGTTCATTATCATTGTTTGACTCTTTTTTGTCAGTTCGCTGAAACGTGATGCTGATGTTGATGTTGACTTTCGCTAAATTCTACATACCGCTCATTTGAGTCTCATGTGAAAGTGGAGAACAAGTTCGCTTGTAGTAGTTCATGATCTATCGATTTGTAGTTGAAAGCTTTGTAGTTTTGAATTTGTTGTTCTAGTGTAGTTTAAGTTTAGCGGTAATACGTCTACCTGTTTTAATATTCGAGCACTCATTGCTGCAGTACTACTTCAAGCACGACGGCTGATATCTTGGAGACTTTTCAAAAAAAATATGGTAGTAGCTCCTGCACTCCTGGTGCACGGCGTAAAATACCAATCTTCTGTCCGCAGCAGGAGCTCGTTCCCCCGCGGCGCATTTCTAGTACGATGATGTTCCAATTGATAGCAATCTTTATTTTTTAGTGACTTCATATTTCATATATAAGTACGCAAATTGTTCAAATTGAAAAGTTATATTTTCCTACCCGCCCCGTGTGCGAACTGGAAGTGGACCTACGCTGTTGCCAGTAACGACCCTCCACAGCCAAGTCGTAATGTCCGAAAAAAAAGTGCGAACTAACATTAAGTCAAGTGGTTTGTAGTTCAGCGGGAGCAGCTTCCTTTAGGTTTACTAAACTGTACTTCTAAGTCTATCTGAATTGGAAGTTCTGGCTTTGGAAGTCATCAAATTTAGTTTTGCATTTTTCCTAGTGTAGTGCTTCGCTTACGCGCCGCGGCCGCCGCTCCACTGCCTGCAGTTCGTCAAGAACGACGAGACTTTTAGTGCTGTTGCAAGCTGCTCAAGAATGCGAAAGGACCACAGGTAGCGTCACAACGACATCATTAGTGGTCCAGCAGCAGAGGAAACTTGGAATTTCATCTTCCTCTGCCAGGAACTTCGTTCAAAATGTTGGAGTACAGTTCCTCACGCCTCCGTAGGCGGTTTCAATTTCTTTCCCTCCTCGTCCTTTCTGAACAGGTCGATGTTGATATGACAACGCACAACTCTACCCCCTCCCGCTCCTCCTCATTTGGAGTGCATGAACAGCAATACAAACGCCAGTTCAACATGTGAAGCCTGTGCATGACAAATCTATGCGCCGACTGCAGCACTGATGTTCCGGTAGTAACAGAATTTTTCATGCGAACTGTGCAGCTACAGGGCATCGCCAGGATTGGGATGTTGCATGACAAATGACAATGAGGGGCGGGACGAGTTGTGCACTGTCGTAATTCAGGTCCGCTTCGGGCAAAAACTGCTCCATCAGCCTCAGCCGGGCCGGGATGTCGATGAATTGCGGCTCCTCGTGGACTATGAATTGTAAAAATGTCTGGGTCTGGAAGAATGCAAGATTTGCCATGCTGATCTGGCATGGCCCTCAAATCTGTATTGCGTGGCCACAAACAGCCTCTCTCGCCTGTCATGCAGAAACACAGTTTCTCATGCGCGATACGAAGCACAGAAGCACGAAAAAACTTGTCATGCTTGGCGGCGCATTACAGTGCATTTGTTATTGAGTGACTTGCATCACAAGTTTCCAGACCCAGACATTTTTGCAGTGCATATGGACGTACTGGCAGCCGAAAACGCCGAAGTCTGGCAAGTCCTCGATCCACGTGATCGGCACTATGATAGTGCACCACTCCCCCTCCCCTCATTTGTAATGCAAAGTACCAAACTACTCAAACCTTGCTCGTAAGCACTGCTAGCATGACAAATTTTGGAACATCAAATAGTCCTACTTAGTTACAATCTCCACCCAGATTTGTGATGCGAAAGGCTCTTTTCTGCCTTTGCTTGTGTTGCTGTTCATGCCATACAAATGAGGGGGAGGGGGAGTTGTGCACTGTCATAGGCACGTGGAAACCGCCGAAAGACGTCTGCTTCGCGCCGGTCCAGTGCGGATCTGATATGCTTATTATTCGGTTTAGAATTTTTAGTTGTACAACTACAATGTCGCACCTTCAGTGTTTCACAACAGCAACATCGTTTGATTCTCGACGCACAAAAAGCACTATGATCACAACAACTCTAGCTATACTCAACAGGTTGTCCCCGTCCTCCTGTGCTGCCAAGCTGATGATGATTCTGGCAATGACCCACTCCTCGTAGATACCGAGGTCCAGTGTGAAAAAACCACCGAAATTTGTGTTGGGGTCACAGATTCGCTTCAAGTATGGAAAGCAAAATAAATCTTAGCGTCTTGAATAGAGATTTTCATCTTCATGAGGGGGCACCTCCTTTGTCACTATCTTACAATGGAAGAGTCGGACCTGCACGAAAGGAATGCTGCGATGCCATAAAGAGAATTTTTCCGGCAGCATTCTTTTCGCTCTCGTATCCCATTTCCCACCGGGTAGGAAGGAGGTACTACCAGCAATAAAAATTCATTTGTTAAAAGCCAAGACTGCTTTTTGGTCTGATACCACATCGATGCAGTTTATCCAGCCGAGGGTGGATACGATGGCCTTCTGTTCCGCTGTCGTTGTGTTTGTTTTTTGTATTTTTCTACCGATTCTATGTAGCGCTGGCCAGGCACAAGAATTTTTTGTTCACCAAGATCATCGTCACATTTATGCATACACATTCATGCAGGAGCACGAGTGGTCGAAGCCAAATGCAAAACCTGGCGCCTGTGCGAGCTTGGATTTCTCTCGTGTGTGAAGGATTAGGTTTTCAAGTAGTCACCAGTGTTGTAGCTCCTATTGTTAGTATTAGACAGGTTGCAATACAACAAAGGGGAGAGTTTGTAGCAAGTACCTAGGCAAAACAGATGCGGGTCGTATAGCAGACCGTCGTCCTCATCATCCGGAATCGTTCTCACGTCGCTTCTATGGATTGCGAACATGTCTTGGTCTGAGATTGTATGTTCTTGATGCTAGAACTAGAAGACCATTGTTGAGATACGTCCTCGGGGCGGGCACTATGGAAATACTTACGCAGCCAGCACGACGGATAGTGAGAGTGACAAACTGCGCACTATTCGCCTAAGGAGGCAAAGCCCCGTACGGACGACACATTCATCAGGCACGATGTCATACACTCCTCCAAGCATTTTGTTAATACAGGTATAGACCAGGAAACATGATCACTTTTTCACTCGATAGTTCGTGTTCGTCATCATCTGCGAGTTTAACGCCCTACACCTCGCATAGAGCGCGAGGAACGCCTCCGAGCGGAGGTAGCTGACCCCGTCGGAGTCGACAAACAGGCCGCCAACGACCTTCGGGACGCTGTTTTCTATCTCGTCCAAATTTCGCTGGTCATTGGTGTAATAGTTCAACTATGAATTGCAAAAGTATCGTACTCGTATAAATGCATTACAAATTTCCTCAGCATGAGAAATAAAATTTGTAATGCGGATTTGCCTTAAGAGCAAAATTTGTAATGCATGATTGCAATACGAGTACGATAATTTTGCAGTTCATATCAACGCCTTTCCTCCCTTCGGCGCGCGGGCAAAAAACCGGACAAACTCGCGGACTTGCGCAACGTCCAGAGACAAATGGTGCGAAATCTGGCGGAAGCAGCGGATTTTATGCGAGTGCACAAGTCCCCTCCCTTTCGTTTGTCATGCAAAATACCAAATCCACCCTTTGCACTGTGGCACGGCTTGCATGACAGACTCACGAAGGACTACAACGAGCCGCAACAGCACTACTTGAATCGATCGCGACTTTGTCATGCGAGAGCTACATCTGTGTCAGCACTTGCGTTGCTGTGGATGCAATCGAAATAAAAGAAAGGGGGAGTAGTTGTGCGCTTTCATAGACCTTGCCGAGCGTGGAGATGGTCGAGTCGAACAGTTTGTCGACCAACTGTTGCCACACCAAGGGGTGGGTCTGCTTCGTGGTGGAGTGCTGCTCGCTGAAAATTCGAGTGCAGTAGTCCAACTCGATCGTGCCGACCGCGGACTGCAACACGTCAGAAGCCACGTCCGCGGTTCGGTAGGGGTTCCCGTTGAGAACGATGTTTCGTAGACAGCTCCGGTCGCCGTACTGATATGCATTGCAAAAGTATGTACCGTACTAGTATGAAGCGCATCACAAATGATTTCCTCAGCGTGAGAAGCGAAATTTGTAATGCGGAGTTAATTAACTTGAGAAAGAAATTTGTAATGCAGAAATGCGAGTAGTACGAGTACGATACTTTTGCAATGCATAACTGACTGCAGTCCTTGATTTCCTCGAGATGCTCCTCTTGGATCTGCCTCTCCCAGGTGGACAGGCGGAAGAGCGTTTCGGCCATCGACCGGTCTGTGGGGTTTTCGATCAATAGACTGTACCTCCCGGTTGGATTCTCTACGTTAAAGAACATGGCGTTGGAAGTGACCGCCCGCACCGCGCGCTGCAGGGACGGGTGGGGTAGGAGGTTGACGAGCTGCATGGCCTCCGAACGGTGGACCGTGGGATACAGCGTCTTCACGATGAACTGGGTTAGCTATCCACAGTAGATTTATTCCCGGACACGACGTGCAAATGCAGTCGCTGCATGACAAAACTTCAACTGATGGCAAGTTACTTGCCATCAATCCTAGTCTAGCATGACAAGTTGGACACTGCAAGTTAGCGCAATTTGTCATGCATTTTGTACATGTACGGGAAATTTGTATTGCATATTAGCAACGGGGCTTTCTCGATGAAGTACTGCACGTGGCAGAGCTTCAGCTTCATATCGAACGCCATTGCTTCCAGCAGGATCGACTTTTCCCGGTCCGACTGGAGATTCGTATACACCACGGCGAGAGGCACGAACCGCAAGAGCGTCGCTCTCAATTTGCTGTACTCCAACAACGTCGTGCCCTTTTTCATTGTCGCCAGCAAGGCGGCGGACTCGTCTTGTTTCTTTATGACGGTGCACAACAGCCCCTCCCTCTGCCCCTCACTTGTATTTGTGTAGCATGAATGGCAACACAAGCATCAGCAAGAGTGTCGGTTTGGCATGACAAATTTGCACTGGAGTGTAGTGGTATTTGGGCTACGAGAACTTGTCATGCAAACTGTGATACAGCAGGGCAGCGACTGGGTTTGCGATTTGGCATGACAAATGAGGGGGAGGGAGAGTTGTGCACTTTCATATTCTTGTTCCCTGGTTTCCCGGGTGATGCGTTCGGGGAGTCCTGTATCGCAAGAAAAAACTTTTCACTGTGAACTTGTGATGCAGAGAACGAAGCACCAAAGTGTTTGTCTTGCTACACCTGCAAGACATTGGATTTTCAAGAGTGTTTTCCCTTGGAAAGCGCACATGGCAATTTTTCCGTGTCATGTGTGACAAACTTGTAATGCAGATCTTGCAAAATCACCACAGTGAAACAGTTTTTTCGTGGGATATCCTGCGGCCGCACGACGATCGTGGGCGACATCAGGGAGAAATCGTCTCCCTTGTCCCCGGCTAAGGACTTCAAGCGCTTCGCCTCGTCCTGAATATCCACAGAAAGAAACGCATGATCCCCATCCATTTTTTGCATGACAAACAAAGGACTGTATACGTGTTTTGCATTACAAATTGGTAGTTGGGGATGGGTTTTTTTCTGTGGATACTGAAAGGGTTTGTCGTCCAACACAAATTTGAACTTCAGCTTCCCCTTCAATTGCGCAAACTCGTACAGTATGCGTCGCAAACATTTTGTCTGCTGGGTCCGGAATAAACTTGTGATGCGGAGCTGTGCATGCTGAGAACAGTACAGTTGTGCGGGCAGCCAAAGAACATGACAAGGTTGCACCAGAACGCTTCTTTTATGCCTAGTGCGTATGATACAGAGCGTTTTTCCATGACACGAGAAGCAGGCGCACTTTTGTCGGTCGTGCAATACAGATTTTCTTTTCCAGGAGTGCCCGACAACCAAGCGTGCTGACGCGCTCCCCTTTATTTCAAGACCCAGACTACATATTTACCCATGATATAGACCCGTCCACGGTCGGTTTGCTTTTCCGAAACTGGCAGGGCGCAGTTGGATCCGTCGAGTTGCTGGGTAATTGTTTTCAACAAATAAACTGCAGTGGCTGGTGCGTGCTTCAGCTTTTTACGCAATAGAGCAACAAGTAGAAACAAGAACAGCCACTTGATACATAGATACGTGAGTGAGCAGTTGTAGGGAAATCAATACAGCTACCGTAGAAGAAGTCAACATTAGTCATACCATCTCCTCGAAGCTCGCCTCTTTCGTTTTGAAGTAAAACGTATGCACTGCAAAAGTCTCGCAGTCGTAGCGCACTCATGCACTACAATTTTTTTTCTCAATGTAAATCAGCATTGCAAATTTTATTTCTCATGCTCAGGGAATTTGTCATGCATGTATACGAGTACGATACTTTTGCAGTTCATAAAACGAGCACCGGTGCAAAAGCTTCAAAACCGCCCGGTCGCTCGGCTTGTCTAATCGCAACACGTAGTTGCCATTGGGATCTGTGAAGTTGTAGCGGCTTGATTCGTTGGGCGTGTGGTACTTATCCCGGACATTGGCTAGGTTCAAATTGCTCACACCGCACTCGTCGGAGGACGTCGGGGAGGTTACTAGCAGCTTCAGCAGGCATATGCATTGCAAAAGCATCGTACTCGTAGAAATGCATTACAAATTTTGTTACCAGTAAGAAAAAAAAATTGTAATGCGGATTTACCTAGAAAAGAAGACTTTGTAATGCATGACTGCAATATTACGAGTGCGATACTTTTGCACAGGATAAGGCACCGCAACCCGTCCTTCGTATGTGGGTTGTCCGCGACATCCAAATGGATCAGATTGTTGTTGGGGTTATGCAATACAAAATCTCTGACTCTGCCCCTACCCCTCCCCACATGGTGATGTTCTGGTGGTTTTCAAATTCATGTTCTTGCGAGGTGGACGTGGTGCCGCATCTTCCGTTGCGCTCGTCAATTATCGCCAGCAGTTCTTAGAGAACAGCAGCACTCGCTGGCCTTTATGCAACACAACTTTGTTTGTTCGCGCGCGGGTGGTCAGTGGGTGGGCAGGAAGATAATTTTTCTCTACTTCCATACGAGTCTAGTGACTCACACAATACCAGGTCCGCAAAGTAGGACAGCTGCGATCCCTTGAGAGACAGATACTCCATTTTCCTCTGAAAGTTTAGTTTTTCGAGGAAGTAGCAAATCGCGTCGTCCTCTTCCAACGTGTTGTTGTAGTCTTTTTGCTTCGATGTCGAGCTGCTGCTCCCGCCGGACTGCGCCTTCGCCGGGTCTGCCGCCTTCGCGGGGTCTGCGGCGGCGGCGGCTGGGTCGATGGGAACTGGGGGAAGTTCGAGAGGTGGCATTATCAAAGGGAAAAATCACGACCCCTCGCCATAATATCAGAGCGGAAATCTGTGATGCGGGATTTGTGTACACAGATCCAATCTGTCTTGCAGCAAAGGACTGCAGGAAGATGCAGGGCCGCAGTAGGGGCGTTTTGGAGGTGTAGGCGCCTAGCAATGCAGGCGCATCCCCTGTAGGCGATACAGCATTGCAAAGTGCCTGCGAAACGCGGCTGAGTCTCTGGCTTTGCCCCCTTGCAATACAGGGACGATTTGCGGCCACAAATCAGCATCACAAATTTCCAGTAGTGTCCCTTTTTGGTATGGGGAGGGGGACTTTTCCTCACAATAAGCATTTGCGAGGCGGGTTTGTCGCTGTTCCAGTTCACTGTCAGTTCCTTCAATTTATGCAAAAAAAAAATTGTATAATTGTAACTCTGTAATGCAGAATATGCAGCAGAGTTACGGCTGTCATGCCACACAGCCACGAAGTCCTTTTTTCATGTGTGTTTTGCCTTACAAGCCACGCATTACAGGTTCTCTCTGTCATGTAGAGCAAATTTGTGATGGTGTCAGCCGAAGAAACTTACTCTTACACAGTTTTTTTCTTGGATACAATTCCGCATCCTCGCAGTACTTCCCCAGCGCCAAGAATCCATCCTTCCCAATGTAATTGCTGGAGAGGTCCAACTTGCGAATTTGCAGCAAGTCCGACAAGGCTTGCACAAAATACACCACCGATTGCTGGGACACGAGTCCCAACCCGGTATCGGCCACGTTCACCTCCTGCAGGGAACCAATTTTCACGATGTTTTCGCAAATCGATTTGCACTGGTCCTGCTGGGAAAACAGCGTGGGGATCCCGGACAGGTTCAAAATCAGAATCTTGGGAAACGCTTGCGGCTCCCCCAGCATGCGACTCAGTTTCGCCACGGACAATGTGCTAAAGTTCGGGAGGTTGGTCAGGTTGATCTCTTCCAGCTCAAAAACTTGATTTTTCAGCTTCTGCCCGCCACTGGTCTCCACGAACCCGGAGAGAAATTTCGCCACCCCTTTATCCGAAAACCGGTTGAGCCCCAGGCGGAGGGTCTAGGAAGATAAAGATTTAAATTTTTTTCTACAATCATTCTGAAAATAAGTTTTACGTGTTGCTGCAAATGAAGCATCGACGTGAAGGTCAGCATCTGTATCTTCACAAGTTCGTTTTATTGTCTCCTTGCAAGCAGGAGCAGCTCCAGCAACATAGATACAATGTCCTCACAGTGACAGTAGTACTAGTTGTACCTTTATCTTCACCGCCGGCAGCAAGGCTAAAATTTCCTTCGGATCCGGTTTTCTCGTGCTTGGGTCCTTTTGTTTGTTATTCTTCTCGTTCAGAACCGGCACCTCACTAAAGATCGCATTTTGGTACGTATCCCCAGTAAATCTTTACCGCAAAGCACGCTCGTAGTGACGTACAAATGACACGACGACAGTAGAGCATCAGAAGATTCTTCGATCTATTTGAATCAACTACAAATCATGTCGCTTTTTGATATAGGTTTTTCTTGCCCTGATTTCTTTTGGTGCACTTCGAACTTTGTACGTCTACATGTGCGGAGGTATAATACTAATTTCTAAATTTCATAGTACGCCTGCAGGTCGTAGTCGGTTAAATCTAAATTTTATCCAAGAAAAAAACTGTGTTAGTGTAGGTCTTTTGGGAAAACAGCATCACAAGTTTGTCTGCCATGACAGGAAAAACTTGTCATGCGCAGATAGGACAGGAAAACACGTAGGAAGCAAGCTTATCATGCATGTGCAGCATGACAGGCATAACTGTTTTGCATTTTCTGCATCACAGAATTACACTTACACAGTTTTTTTCTTGCATAAATTCTCCAGATCCACCGAACTCGCCAAAATCTATCCTGTGCAAAAGTATCGTACTCGTAGTAATCGCAGTCATGCATTACAAACTTTCATCCCAACGGAAAACAGCATGACAAATTCCCTTTGTCATGCTGAACGAATTTGTCATGCGATTTCTACTAGTACGATGCTTTTGCAATGCATAAAACCCCTTCCTCGTCGATTTTTCGGTCCAGAATGATCGACTTCGGGACCTTGGGGACCGTGCCGAGGTTTTCGCAGCTTCGGAAGTAGGTGGCGACGGACAAATTTGACACCTGCTGCGCGGACAGGTCTAAGCTCTTCATTCCCGGCCGGTTCGTTTTGGACTCCGGGGTCTTCTTCAAGTAGTTTTGGTCGGAGAGTTTTTGATGCCGCCGAAAGTAGGCGTTCAGCTCCTTCCGTCTTTTCACATTCTCGGAATCCATGTTGCTGTCCTCGACCAGCTCCAAATAGGACCCGCTCGCCATGCATCCTGTGCAAAAGTATCGTACTCGTAGTAATTGCATTTATGCATTACAAATCTCTTTTTCAAGCTAAATCAGCATTACAAACTTAATTTGTAATGCTGGGGTAATTTGTAATGCAAATTTATACGACTACGATACTTTTGCAATCCATACCATGATTGACTGGTCAATGGGTACCCCGTGGCGATGGTACAGAATCTTCTCCCCCGTGACGCTGTCGTACTGCTCCTGCGAATGTTGTTATGCAAGAAAACACACTGTGTAAGTGATGTAAGTCTGTGATGCATAAAATACGAAACAATATCCACTCGTCATGCTGGCCAGCCATAGTGTCCTCCTCTACCTCTGCTCATAGTACTTACGTCGTGTTTTCACTTCACGTGCTAGAAGCTGCGCAGCATGACAGGATTTCTTTTTCCTGCAGAGCGAATTTGTCATGCTAATGCCCTAAGTAGACCGACGCCTCACTACACTAACACACTTTTTTTCATCTCGGATAGTTGGTGCTGCATGTCGGGTAAACCGAACGCTCGCAACAAAAAATCCGGGTCTCGCGACGGTTTCTCTGTGGTGGAAGATTCCGAATTTGAGGAGTCCGAGGACTCTGGCCGAGATTGCTGCGGGGGGAGGTTGGGATTACCCATCTGCTGCTGCGAACTGCTCGGATGGTTATTTACCACGTCTTCCTCCGAGCCGCCTGTGTCTTTCATACTCGGCCCGATCAAGTCGTATGGATCCGCCGGCATCGTTCTCTCTTTATGGATTGCAGAAGTATCGTATTCGTATAAATGCATGACAAATTCCCCCAGCATGAGAAATGAAATTTGTAATGCGGATTTTTCTTGAGAAAAAAACTTGTAATGCATGACTGCAATAGGAGTGCGATACTTTTGCACAGGATACTCTTCAACCCGGGACGATTTCAAGCCGTGCAGATTCCTTATCCCACGAAAAAACTGCTTCACTGTGATAATTTTGCAAGATCTGCATCACAAGTTTCTATACACATGACAAAGAAAATTCGTCATGCGCACTTCCAAAGGGAAATAACACTCTCAAAGAGCCAAGGTCTTGCAGGAGTGGCAAGACAAATAGTTCTGTGTTCCATTTTATGCATCACAAGTTCACAGTGAAACAGTTTTTTCTCGTGATATTCCTGCCTGGGTGCGCCTTTGCGACATCCTTCATCTGGTTGCGCCACTTGGGCCACTTTTTCGTCAGGATTTTCTCGTGATACGACTTATGCAACACAAATTTCAACCCGAACCCGTACAGGTACAGAGAATGCGAATGCCACCTGCACTTGTCCTCGTGCTGAATAGGATCTAGAGGCAAGGATTTTTGTCATGCAGGAATCTTCAAATTTGTACCTGTGCGGGATCATGAAATTTGCTGTGGATACGAGTCCGCCTTTTTCACATCCACATGATACATGTTCCAGAATCGTTCCTCGGCCGCACGCTCCGCTGCTTGGACGCGCTCACCTGATTTGTTAAGCAAAGAAAAATTAAAATCACGGCTAGAAATCAAAGTGAACGAAAAAAATCTACGCATTTATACACAGGCCGAGTCCAAGGGTAGATCTTCGATTTCAAAAAAGAAAAAAACCGCTGAAAACATTCATTACTTCGTCGACGATTACAAGAATATTTAGACACTTTAACAAGAAGCAGAAGATCATGTGATAATGACCTCGACGCTATATTTATACGTTTTTCCATAAACTGCCCGCTGTCTCTTCCAACCTGCTCCTTTTTTGGCCCCAGAAACTCGATAACAAACCGTTGCATGGCGATTTGCGTCTTTGACTTGAGGTTTTTTGCGTAGACCTTCTGGATACAGTTCAGCAAGGCCTTATGGGAGTGTCAGGTTTGAAATCGTCAAAGTTGAAATAGTTTGTGATGCATAAAATGCAAGCCACGCAATGCTTGTCTTGCTGAGTAGGCAAGGGAGGCAGATTGTAAACCTGTTGAGGGGTAGCAATAGAGCTGCTAAAGTAGCATGACAAAAGGCGTCTTCCTTGCCCAAACAGCATGACAAACTGGGTTTCGGATCTTCCCAAATTTGTCATGCACCACTTAGAAACTGGGTCACAACTGACATGCATTTTATGCATGACAAATTATTTCAACTTTGTCGATTTCAAACCTGACGCTTCCATAGGCCTGTTCGGGCGTCGGTTTCTCTTTCGCGTCGTTCCGCGCATCTACCTCCTTTTTGTACGCAATTATGACCCGCTCAAGCGTTACAATCTCAAGCGTTGCAATAGAGTTGTATTGCATGATGACCATGACAGACCCGCACAGCGTTTCACTTTCTGCAATACAAATTTCGCCAGATTCCAGTGCGGTTTGGGACTCCAGAACTTGTCATGAGCAATGCTGTGGGAGTAGGCTACTAGGTCATGCACCTTTTGCATCACAGATTTCCATGTTCTATTGTAACTACGTTTGAGATTGTAACAGCTGAGCGGGTTATAGCAATGTCGCCCAGCTTCTGCATCTCCTCCATTTTCTCGACGATTGTCGACAACCCATTCTTATCCCTGCGCAAAAGTACTTATATCTTCGCACTCCTCCTGGTACTACTATTCGCAGCACTGCATGACAGATTTCATCCACTAGTACTAGTAATACCCAAGTCAGCATTACAATCTCCATTTTGCGACTTGAAAATAAACTTTGTGAAGATGGTGCTCATGCTATTGTACTACTTTTGCAATGCGTAATTTTGCATTTGCTGCACATCTATGCACTGCAAAAGTATCGTACTCGTATAAATGCATTACAAATTTTAACAGCATGAGAAATAAAATTTGTAATGCTCATCTGCCTTGAGAACAAGGTTTGTAATGCAAGACTTGCATTAGCATTTATACGAGTACGATACTTTTGCACAGGATAACATCGAACTCGTCGTCTTGGAAATCCGTGAGTTTCTGAATCTGCGGCATCGTCAGGAAAAATCCCCAAACTCCCCATTATATATACTCACAATGGAAATTTGTGATGCTGATTCGTGACCACAAATCAGCTCTGTCTTGCATATGAGGCAAGTGGGAGCCGTGTGGCGCATTCCACAGCCAAGCTGCCATGCGCTTTTGCCTATTGCAAAGCTGTCTGTCATGCCTGAGTGTGAGTGCTAGCCTTTTGCATAAGTTCCTCATCAGGCCGCTTAGGACTTGCCTGCAAGCGCTTTCTGCAATACAGCGCTGATCTGTGTACACAAATCCAGCAACAGAGATTTCCGTTTCAATATGGGGAGGGGGCTTTTTTCACTTTGATATGCGGCTCCCGGAGCAGCTCCCCACCAGTGGACAGGGAGGAGGCAGACCCGCTGCGACCGTGCAGGTCCATCGTTGAGGAGGAACCGACGACCATGATGTTTTGCGACGCCGGCTAGCACTACGGAAGCGGGACGAAGTTCTCGCTTCCAGTTGTAGTTGGGCTTACAACTTTCAGCACCAGATAATTCTAGCGTGGACCTCCGCCCCAGATGAAGGCCGCGAGCACTGCTCGCCGACTCCGATGTGAGTAGCTGGCCCCTGCTCCACCAGCTAAATTATCAATATCTTCGTCTTCCCTATTCCACCTCCTTCTAGCTACTACTAGGAGCGTCGCTTATTCTAATTCGAGGGATGAACGGGGGGGCCCTTGCGGCTGTGGCGGAAGAAGTGGGCAAGATTTTCATCGTTCGTAGCGGTTGCAATGTCCTCGCCCTCGCCGTTTTGGAGGAAATATAGGTCCCCGTGATCGGCATCATGGAGTGCATCTTCATCTTCATCTTATTGTTGACATGATTAATATACGATGTCACAAGTCACAATCTTAGCTCCACCACGACCTTCATATTGAAGCTCTTATGGTGTTTCGTTTCGCGTTTCCGACGACCAGTGCACACAGGTGCCATCTTCGTTCAGCTCTCAGAGAACTTGACGTCCGGTGGAGCCGCAGCTGCACCATAGGCTCTCATGACAGCCGCACGACACACGTGCAAGAACTGTCCTGACTCTCTTCATGCCGCGGCCTGACAACTCGCTCGTCAAAGTTCTACTTACACAGGAGCATCGAAGATGATCGGTATGCGCTTTTTTTACTTTTGCAACCGCAACAGTGCTGTCGTTGAAGAGCCACCCATTGATTGAAGATAGAGATGATCATACCCTCTGCGCCAGTGACTCTCGTCGGGAGACAGAAAATTTTTTGAACAGCAAGAAATATTGTTGCTTTTTTGAAGAACACGAAACAGCCGCCAGCCCGCACGAAACAGCCTGCCGCAACAGGTCGATTTTGCGAGAACCGCAAAACGGCGACTACACTGTGCTGTTTTTTTTTTTTCAATGTGGGAGCAGGGAGTAGATATATGGTTGTCACAAGTTGTCCTCGTGTTTCGCGTGTCGATGTCGTCGAATATTTTTTCCAAATTTGGGATACAATAAATCTCGTCCTGCCGCGAATAATTCTTATGTATTTGACACGAATTTCAATTTCTATGAGTACGTTTTTGAGTACGAGGAGCCGCAGCGATAGCCCGTGCAACTAGTAGCTACAGAAGTAGTAGTAGAACTTCAACTTCTAATTGCATTCCCTTCCTCCTCCTCCTCGATACAACATGTGCCACCCAAAGAGAAGCTGCGATACTACTCGGCGATCGGGTTACAACCGCGGTAGGAGTTGGTTCGGAAACGTCGTGTCACGAAAGTCTTAGGACAATTTGATAAAAAACTCTTACTTCCTGGGATCCTCGTCTTTGTGGGTGGTGCGTGGTGGATTTCAGTTTGGATAAGGATTATACTCTACTTGCGGTCGTGAGGACAGTCATTCGCGATCGTGTTGGGTCGTCATCAAGCAGGGGAGCTGCAAGAGACTAATACTACTTAATATTTTAATAACCGCGTAGGCAAGTTGTGTACTAGAAATACTAGCACGCGTTAGTGTAACAAGATATGAATCAGAATCTCGAAAAGAAAAAATGTACATTTTGTGTGAAGAAGTATTGACTCTTATGCAACAATGGAAGAAAAAAAAAGGAGTTTGTTACTCTGTGTAGGATAATTTTAGTAAAGAAATTTGCGTTCATTTTACCAACTTGAGATGTACATAGGATTAAAAAACGAGTAGTTTGAAATAGTAGAATTTGGATAAAAACGATAAAGAAACTGAAACTGAATACAAACTGGAGTGTCAAATTTTTATCTACGGAATAAAGAACGAGCCTTGATGTCGTGGATATTTTGTCTGAATTATCACGAAACACGGCCAGTAAGGGGCTACTGAGTTTGTCGATGATCTTATTCGCGGTTGCACTTCATCTGCTGAAGCTGATGTCTCAACATCTTTACTTCTACGCCGCGATAGAAATAGTCATGTTCTAAAATGGATCATCAAAAGTAGTAGTAGACCGTATTCTTAATATAACAGTTTTAGCCCTCCATAGACGCGCCGATCCGGCTGGAGGTTCCGAGGAAATCTCCACTGTACGCTCCGGAGTTGTAGTCGCCCAGGGTTTTTCGGAGCAACGGGCTGCCCACCGGGGCCGGCGGCGGGCCCACGCAGAGGGAACCGACTGGGGGAACGTACTTCGGGTCCACTTCGTTCAAGATGTCATGCATGGTTTGCTTCGCAAATTCGAAGTTGTTTGCGTGCGGATGCGCATCGATCTCAGGCTCATCGGGGTCGTGCACCTTGTAGTCGGACTCGGCAACACCTGAAGATTTTTGTAAATCCACTTACGCATTACAAATCCCACCCTAGTAGAGCTAGAGGCACATGATCCGCATTACAAATGCCATTTCTCGTGCAGCTCAGGGAATTTGTCATGCTCATGCAACAACTATCATATCCATCGTGTTAAACAAGTTTTATTTGATCGTATCTATACCCATAATAGCCTGTCGCACGGTTTTCATGACGCCCTTGCTGGTGTCGGTTTTCGCGATGATGTCGGAAATTTCGAACTGGAGTGTTGAGATCTGGTGGCTTATCGTAAAGAAAAATCCCCCCTCCCCATATCGAAAAGGCACGCCTCAGAGAATTCGCGATGCTGATTTGTGACCGCAAATCGTGTCTGTCTTGCAAGAAAGCAACGGCATATGCTCCGCCCCATTATGCAAGCGCTTTGTAATGCTGTTGGACCTACCGCATAGATAGACATCCCTCATGCTACTTGCCGAGGCCAGAACCTCTCTACATTGGCATGGTATGGGCCTGCAGTCCTCCACTGCAAGACAGAGCTGATTTGTGTACACAAATCCAGCAACAGAGGTTTACGGCTCGATATGGGGAGGGGGGATTTTTCATTTTGATATGGTTCTGTTTCTCGATCACGCTGCCCATCTCGCTTAAACTGGCTTCGTGTCGCTTCTTATGAAAGTGCACAACTCCGCCTCCCCCTCATTTGTCATGCAAAATGCCTAATTTACGCCTTGGCTCTTGGCACTGTTTGCATGACAAGTAGTTCTAGCAGTCCAAATAGCACTACAATCGTGTCCAAATTTGTCATGCAAAACCGGTAATCTTGTTGATGCTTGTATTGCTGTTCATGCAATACAAATGAGGGGGAGGGGGAGTCGTGCACTTTCATACTTCTCCATGGCCTCTAACTTCTTCTGCAAAGCCTCTTCCCGCCGGTCCATCAGCGCTTGGCAGTCTCGGTGCAGTTGGTCGATGTCCTCTTGCTTGCTGTTATAGTGGGTTTTTTGTAAAATTGGAAATGCGCATGAAGATGAAGATCATCATCTTCACGGAAGTATATAAAAGTCGACTATTAGAAGTAGTTCCTCTTGCAGAAGGAGCCCCGCGCAGCATGGAAAAAAGGTGAAATTGAAGACAGATGAGATATCGATATCAAAGTAGAAACAACAAGATGTTTATGAAAATAATCTTATTATACCCCTCCAACTTCCTGTCGCTAAAGGTCTCGAATGTGTATCCCTTCCAGCTGGCGAAGACGGCGGACTTCAGCCCGCCCGAACTCGTGGTCATGTACTTGGATATCCTATGTAAAAACGTCCCCACACCAGAGTGAACATGGGGAATGCGCTAGACAAATCAGCCAGCTTTGGTTGTTTCGCATGACAAAGTTGGCTTCGTATTGTAATCCTATTCAGGTAGTGTAGCAGCATCACAGATCTACCACATCATGCTGATTATAGCATCACAAATTCCAAAACACGACTAGAAAATGCTTCTCGTGGGGCTCCGCATGAGAAATTTTTTTGGCATGCAGATTGGCATGACAACTATGGAGTGGGGACGTTTTTACTCAGGATATTGGAAAAATTTTCCTTTTTCGTCGAGATGTACTTTTCCTTCCAGAAGTTGTTTACCTCGTACAACTATGCACTACAAATATGTCGGGGTCGGGAAATAAAATGTTGTGATGCAAGAAAGGGAATAGAAGTCAGCGCACTGCAATGCGCTGCCCAGCATGACAAGTTTTTCCGTGCCTCTGAGTTGCGTACTCCGAATGAGAGGCTGCGTTTTTGCATGACAGACAGGAGGAGCTCTACCTCGCGGCCACGCAATACAGAGTTCAGAGTCATGCCGAACTAGCATGACAAATCTCACAATCTCCCAGACCCAGACATATTTACAATGCATAACAGCTCGGCCAACGTGGCCAACATTCCGTCAATCGAGGTGCAAACGGTCGTCGCGCGCTCCCACTGGTTTGCCAGTCGGTCATTGGCCTGGAATCGCTGGGGAATCGAGACCTGCTGTCCGGGGGCCGCAGGATTTCCGCTGTTGTTGCCGGCCTGGGAATTGGCCTGGGACGAAACGGGGCTGTAGTTTTGTTGTGTAGTTATTTTACGATAGATTGATTTTGCGATGAACAAATTTTGGAACAACAGGATAAAAGTTGTACGTAAAAACAAAATCAAAACAAAATCTTGCCGGAACTACTTGCTTTGATGACAACCGCAAGATAAATCGTTCTATCGTGAGGACCAGCTGCACGACACCAAAACATCCAGACTAGTTAGTACTGTGCAGGAAAGAGCTTTGTTACACCGCTCGCCGTGCGGGAAGTAAGATCGTGAACAATAGGTCGTATCAAGAAACAAGTATAATCAAAATCCAATCAATACGCTCCTGCAGTGCTGGTGGTGGGTGACTGCGCGACGGAGACGTTGAGGCGGACCGGCTGGATGCCTTGCAGCGGCTGCATCTGCGGCACCTTCAGCGGACCAGGTGGTATGGAAGCCATTTTTCGACAAACCTTTTTTGTTCTACTTTCTCCGTACTAACTCCGACGATGAGTCAGTCGTGCGAAAAAAATTTTACGGGATTTCGTCCTGCTGTGATAGCAATGTCAACGAATGGGTCTGATACAGTCGTGAGAAAGAACTATATCAGTGGTTCTTCTACTACTACTTGGGGGTATTAATTGAGAAAGGGGCGTGTTTGTTTGTCAGCAACGAGCGCGACGAAACAACAACTGTACCAAAGGTTTTGGCGACAATATTTATAATCATAATGTGACGCTAGTAGTGCAGCTGTTGCCGAGAAACAAAATAGAAAGAAAAAAACAGTTATCCGGTGGTTGAACGAGAAGTAGGACGGTATAATTTGTTCTTATTTTTGATGGACGAAGAGCGGGCAAGTTGGAAGTAGTTGCACGTAAGAACGACGTCAGTATACTACAATTACAGCCGTCACGTCGACGAGACCGATCTGGGCATTTTTCCGTGAAAAAAAAACCGAAACGCATGTCCTCAACGAGACCGAACTGTGCCGGTTTCTGCGATGAAAAAAAAGCCTAGCGTCAATAAACCGACCATGTTCTTGATATATTTGCTTTATTTCGACGAAAAGGAGAAAACGAAACCGATTCCTTGTGTCGTGCTCCTTTTCAATTTTTGATTCTATTGCACAAAGAAAAAGTGTACGCAATTCTACGTACAACTACCGAGTGAGATGAGAGACCTTCTCGTACTACTACTAGTTCCAGTTTTTTCGCACCGACACACACACTCAGCATGTCGAAATTATACAAATACGTAAAAACGAACCGCACATCATGGGCTCATAATTGTTCAGAGTGTAACGACCACGACCGTAAAAGTTGCACTTCTGTCTTACTTCATCGAAGACAAGCAGCATGTAGCGTCAGCTCGCAAATAAGGATTTGCTCCTCGAGAGCTATTATTTCATTCCCCGTTCGACGAGTTGTATACCATGCGACAATGACATGAATATCCTCATCGACATCGACTCATGCACATATGGAAGCGTAAGCGAGCAGCTTGCCTTAGTTGTAGAAGCAATCAAGTGCATCCAACGCTAGCTGCAGAAAGTAACTTTGAAACTTAAAGAAGAGATGCATAGAATGGGAACCTTCGAAGAAGGAAAATTTCCATGCCCAAAAAACTATGCTGTTTCTCTTTACCGAATGAATTGTCGAAGTGAAAATGTGGAGCAAAATTGTGTGTCGACTATGTTGTGCCTGTGTGGCGGTGTACATCTACATCTAGAAGCACATGCATGAATGAATGATCTCCCGCAAAGGCAAAAAAAACCTCGATCTGTAGTTCATCGGCAGAAGTGTTGAAAAATATCCTTTTGCTTTTATCGGAGATGGACCAGCAGCATATGAAGATCCTTCAGGACAGCGCAAAGTCAAGGTCCTCCTCACTCATGATGCCGCCCGGCCCTCCGCTCAATCCCGACAGTGGCGCGGCGGTTGAATTAGAATTATGCAGCTGTATCCTATTTAAAAACGTCCCCACCCCATAGCTGTAATGCAACTCTGCATGCTGAAAATGTGTCTCATGCGGAGCCCCATGAGAAGCATTTTCTAGTTGTGCTTGGCAATTTGTCATGCTCCAATCAGCATGGTGTGCTATATCTGTGATGCTGCTGAGCTAGCTTAAACCGCACTACAATACGAATCCAAATTTGTCATGCAAAACAGCCAAAACTTGTGGATTTGTCTAGCCGATTCCCCATCTTGAGTATGGTGTGGGGACGTTTTTACTCAGGATAAGCTGCGCACCATCGTTCCCAGAAGTGGTCCGTGCCATCATCGCGGAAAAGTGAAAGCTCTTCGGGGCTTCCACCGCAGATTGGGTTTGCTGATAGGCCGTCATCTTGTGCTGGTATGAAGATTTCTGACGTCGTGTATTTTTACCGCGAGGACCAGGACCACCACCTCCTCCGCCCTTATTTTTGTATCCGTACTTCTTCGCACGCGCACCATAATCCTCCTCCCCTGTGAAATCAGAAATCCGTATCTGATTTTTGTTCCTCATCAAAGACGTTCTTGGAGGTGCAGCTTGTGGAGAAGAATAAAGAACTCCGCCGCCTGCAGCTCCATCCATCGCCGTAGCCCGGAGTCGGTCGTCCGTGGTCATTCTCTGAAGAAACTCCTCGCCTTTATTCTTGTCCCTTTTGTTTAGCATCATCCCTGGCTTGCCTTGATGTTTTTGTTGGGGTGTAGTCAACGTCTGTCGTCCCGTGAAAGTAGTTTTTTGCTCTTCTTGCTGATCTGTCGCTGTCTCCTCTGCTGGGTGCTCAAGATCTCGTTCTTTTGCCTCTTTCTCGCGCTTTCGTATCAAATGCAAAAATGTCTGGGTCTGGAAGAGCGCAGCTTTGTCATGCACATTTTCCATGATCCATGATGTCTGTGATGTATGCCATAGCATCACAGATGTTTTGAGCGCTTATCTATGCGCATTCCGCACGACAAATGCCCTCTCCGCGTAGCCAAATTTGAATCCTCTTGGTGGTCATGCAATACAGGTTTTTTTAGCATCCAAATGCAGCATCACAAGTTTGGCTCTTCCAGACCCAGACACTTTTACATTTGATATTTCGTCTCCCCTCCACTTCCGGACTGTTTTTGATCATCTGTCCCCGCAAATAGGCAGGTCCGCCCTTCTATGCATTGCAAAAGCGTCTGGGTCTGGAAAAATACAACTTGTGATGCTACTTTTGGAATCTACATAAAATCTGTATTGCATGAACAGCAAAAGAGGTGTAATCTGTGCTGCGCGGTGATGGCGTTTCTCATGCGGTATGAGCATCAGAAAGCCCTCGCAAAATCTCTGATGTTAGGGCATGCATCACAGACCTCATGGGTCATGCAAAATCTGCATGACAAACTCCTGCATTCTTCCAGACCCAGACATTTTTACATTTGATACTTTCCGGGGCTCATCTACATATTGATCCGCAAAAAGACCGGCAGCCAAGTTCTGATTGTTGTTGATATGGATGTGTCAGGATCGAAATCGTCAAAGTTGAAAAAATAGTTTGTCATGCATAAAACCGACACCAGTCGGATGCCCACTTATCAAGCGGCGCATGACAAATTTGCGCAGCACCGGAATCCAGTTTGTCATGCTGTTTGGACCCAGAAGACTGCTTTTGTCATGCAGCTTTAGCAGGTCTATTTGAAACCCTAAACAGGCTCACAATCGGCCTCGCTTGCCATCCTGGCAAGAGAGGCACTTCATGCCTTGCATTTGATGCATGGCAAATCATTTCAACTCTGTCGATTTCAAACCTGGCGCTTCCATAGTTGATCTGTGCGTAGTACTCTTCTTTTTCTAACTGTTTCAGCTGTCTCCTGTCAAATGTAAAAATGTCTGGGTCTGGAAACTTGTAATGCTGCGTTGGGAGTAGTGAATGCTCTGCAATGCACAGCCAAGCATGAGAGATATCTGCGCTTCTTTGTGTTGCGTTTTTCGCATGACAGACTGCGTTTTTGCAACACAGGCAAGAGGGTCTCTTCTTGGACACGCATCAGAAGCTTTTTAGTCATGCCAGACAAGCATGACAAGTCTCGCAACCTTCCAGACCCAGACATTTTTGCATTTGATATCTCCCCAGTTCGAGCAGATTTTTTTCCGGCGGCGTCTGCCCAGGCCGTTCGTCCCGAATCTCCTTGTAGCGATCTACAACTTCCTATCAAATGTAAAAATGTCTGGGTCTGGAAACTTGTGATGCTGTGTGGCATATCATGAGGAGGCGACAATTGCTGGCTCAGCATGACAAGTTTCTGAGCTTCTAGGTGTTGCCTATTCTGCATGACAAACTACGTTTCTGCATGACAGAAAAGTGGGGCTCTTTGGTAATGTGAATAACAGATTTAAGAGTCATTCCAGACAAGCATGACAAACTTGCAGTCTCTCTTCCAGACCCAGACATTTTTACATTTGATACTTCCTCCTCAAAAACGAGGTGGCCTTCCGTTTCGTGGTCGCATTCGAGAGGCAGGACGCGAAGGATTTTGACCATCCATTTCATTATCTCCTGGCTCGTCGGCTTACGGTGGATAATTTCCGGGTTGTAGGCCTGATATTGTTTATTTCTTTTATTTTTTCCGACTTAGAAATATTTTTACTTACTTCGAGGGCCCGCTCTACTAGAAGTTCCTTTCTCTGTAGTGAATGAACTGCATCTTGAATTTCACCTTGAAGAACTGCAAATGTTTGAAAAGCAAAACGGCAAAAACAGATACGACGTATCGAATGAACCACGATTCAGTTCTTGATGTAGTACTCGGGTATAGAAGTACAAATCAGTTTGATCATTCACATTCTGATTCATCAGTATAAAATAGAACGAAGCTGCTCTTGTTGTTTTACTAAAAGCACTAGTGCGTACCTCTTCCACCAGGAAGGCAAACACCCTCCGGATGGTATGCAGGTCCCACCCTGTTTTCAGCAAGTCGTAACACCGCTCCGCCATGAAGCCCGTGCTTTTCTCATATCCTGTGCAAAAGTATCGCACTCGTATTGTAATCATGCATTACAAATCCTGTTCTTAAGGCAAAATAGCACTACAAATTATATTTCTCATGCTGAGGAAATTTGTATATGCATTTATACGAATACGATACTTTTGCAATTCATATCTCACTTCGATGATAGATTCGTTGAATCACGTCGATGAAAAGCACCCGCAGTTCCGTAATCCGGTTCTCGCTGTTCCGAAAATTGGCACTCACGTCGACCTATCCACTTCAAATATGTCTGGGGCTGGAAGCTTGTGATGCTAAAATGTGCATGATGAAAACACTTCGTTATGCAGGAATACATGACAAGTTTTCTGCAGAGCGCTTCCTCATACGAACCCCGCATGAAGAAAAACTGCGTTTTTGTATGACGTCAGAGGCTGCAGCCACTTTTGTTGGATCTTATGCAATACAGATTTGTTCGCAGGAATGGAAGACCAGAATTACAAGTTCCAGCTTGAGCTTTCCAGAGCCAAACATATTTGCATTTCATACGACCCACTTGATCAGGTCGGCCACAATGGTCAGGAACGGTCGGGAACCGTCCTTGTAGACCAGGGGGTTCAGAAAATTCAGCTGCAGGTCGACACACTCGTCGATGCTTCTCGTCTGCAAGTTCATGAGGTCGATAATGGCTTGCAACTTGTCATCAACCGACGAGGCCAGGGAGTACCTGCAGATGTGATTCAACACCAGCTGTATCCAGTGCAAAAATGTCTGGGTCTGGAAGCGCGGAACTTTGTCATGCTCGGCTTGCATGAATCTCAAGTCTGTCATGCACGTTACCCAAAAGCTCCAATTTTCTGTCATGCAAAAACGCAGTTTGTGATGCTGAATAGACAACACGTAGCAAGTCAGAAACTTGTCATGCTGAGCCGTCACTTGTGGCATCCTTATGATTCGCAACGCAGCATAACAAGTTTCCAGACCCAGACATTTTTGCAATCCATAAGCTGGCTGCACTTGGTCAGATCCTCGTCCGTGCGCTGTGGATTCACGATTCGCTATCCTGATTAAAAACGTCCCCACACGACCAGAGTAAACAAGATCGGAAGTCTGCTAGACAAATGCAAATCAACCGGGTATGGTTGCTTGGCATGACAAGTTCTGTGTCCTCGCAGTGTGATCCCGTTTAGCTAGTTCAGAAGCATCACAGATCTAGCATAGCATGCCGATTCTAGCATCACAAATTCCAAAACACGAATGCAAAATGAGCTCCGCATGAGGAACTTTTTTGGCATGCAGAATTGCATCACAACTATGGGGTGGGGACGTTTTTACTCAGGATATCCGCTTTCGGAAATTGGTGGCCTCCTTCTGCGTATCAAAACCGTAGACCATCTGTTCTTGCGTCCTCATCCTTGTAGAAGAAAAAGCCGCATCAACCGCGTGGACCGCTGCTTGATTGGAAATGCGGTTATTCATCATGTGGTGCTGCCTAGAAGTAATATCGTTGTGCTGCAAATAAAATTCCTGGCCCGCAAAGCCACCCGACATGCGCTCGTGTGGTAGTTTGTGGTCTTTGTTCGTCCGTTTATTCAATCTCGTGGCAGCGGCGGCGGGTGGTTTGTTTCTTTCCCGTGCTTCGTATGCGTTATCGATTGGGGGGGAGAAAAAAGCAAACTCCGCTGCAGATTCCCGAATTGCGTAGTTCTTTGCCGGGTCTTCATGGAGGTCGTGATCACCCTCAACTCCGGGGATCTGCTCTGCTGCGGAGTCGCGAGGACCTTGCTTTCCGACAGTGCCAGTTTGACTCGTCGGGAAGGCAGACGTATGGCGTTCTCAAACTTTACACTCTCAGCTGTTACATGATTTGTCATGCAAAAACACTATGACTCTCCACACGATCAAGCCTTCTTCGCATGACAACTTCTCGACGCGCTAAATAGCACTATAATCCGTCCCAAATCCGTAATGCAAAAGGCGCAATCTTCCTCCTTTCACTTTTTCCCTTCTTGCATTGCAAATTCGTGTAACAGTTGAGAATGTAACGTTTGAGAACGCCATAAGACGAAGCCGGCTCGTCGAACTTCTGCCGGGGCTTGAACCGAAACACGGGCGCCCCCCCGGCGCCTGGGGTAGTGTATGAAAGCCTCAGAATGGAAATCCTCAAAATGGAAATAATTTGTGATGCATGAAATGCAAGGCAAAAAAGACTGTATTGTAGAGGACACAATGGAGGCCGACTATTGTCCTGCTAGGTGTCGTGCAGAATAGGGCTGCTGATTAGCACGACAGAAGGGCTGCACCCCTTTGCCTAACTAGCACGACAGACACGTTTTGAGTGCCGGGGAAATTTGTCATGCGCCGACTACAAATGGCGCTTCAACTGGAGTCGTTTTTTTGCATTACAAATTACTATTTCCACTTTGAGGATTTACAACCTGAGGTTGTCATATAGTGGAAGCTTGGTCCACCTTCTTCCTGCCGCTCAAACAGGGGGAAGCCTTGCAAGATTCGCAGTTGCCCATCTTCGATTTTTCACACGATATTGTGCTAGACTAACAGGATGTTTCTTTTCTGCAGCAGCTGATCTTCATCTTCGATGGCAAATAAGTAAATTATTCTATCAATGATCAACATTATTTTCTTCATTCTCTACATCAACTACTAGCATCACACATTAAAAACCAGACAACCGAAAAAGATGATGTGAACTGCAGTGAGCAGACCACGCCCACCACCGGGTACGTACAGAGGGTGATTCTTTAGAATGTGTAAGTATATGAAGACGCGTCGTGGTCCACAGGAGGCCTTCCGATTTGGAATTATTGCGCGCATCGCAAGCGCTTCCTGCTTGGTTAGTGAAAACAGGCAACAGGTAGGCATAGGCGACGCCGTCCGCGCCGGCCGGGCTCACTGACCAAGCTCCAGGTAGTACTCAAATGCCAAGAAGAACCAAAAAAGATAAAAAAAAGCTGACGGCTCCGGGGCAGGGCATTCACCGCGGCCGAAGAAACTGCTTTTCAGAGGCAAAAAGCAGCACAGGCCTCGACACAGAATGGAACCGCAGGCGCCGTCGGCTTTTTTTTGATGCAAAAATAAAATCCCACAGGGGAGTTTGAGAAAAAGCACAATAGCAGAGCGAGCAGGTGAACAATAACTCCAAAACGCGTCCTGTGAAAATATATACTTCTAGCACAAGCAGGCAGCGCTCTTTCATCGCGCAAGAAAGTAAGGCGCGTGCTAAGTCGTGCCTGTGGGCACTTTCGAAATGCGTGCGCGCGCCGGTGGCACTTTCGAAATAGGCGGCGCGAGCAATGCTTTGTTTTAAAACGCCCAACAAAGCAACGCGCATCAGAAAAGCTTTTGAGCATTTTCGTGCATCTTCATCTTGCGTATTTTCTGCAAAGTCTTCAGAAGCTTTTCAGTCTTCAGAAGATTCTACAGAAGATGACCTTCAGAAGGTCAAAGCTTCTGAAGAATGCGGAAAAAAGGACGCAAAAAGTTGTCGCTTTGGAGACGCAATTCAAAAACCTTCTGAAGGTTTTCAACCTTCAGAAGGTTGGCCAAAATTGCGACACTTCACTGCCTTTTTTTGTCTAAAAAGTCGGAAAGCCTTCTGAAGGTCAAAAAAGTGCCACCTTCTGAAAGTTTTCAACCTTCAGAAGATTTCAAAACGGTCACTTTTCACCTTCTGAAGGTTTTTTTGCTCATTTTCTATTTTTTTCTTCTGAAGGTCAAAAAAAACCTTCTGAAGGCGTGACCTTCAGAAGAAAAAAATGCTCATGGTTAAACCGATGGCATGCTCGCTCAAAAAAAAGAGGCTTTTTTCCGTTTCTTCTGAAGGTTCCAGTGATGATTTTGGACCTTCAGAAGACCTTCAGAAGAAAAGGCTTCTGAAGGTTCAGCAGCACTTTTGACAAGCCTTCTCCTTATAGTTATTAGATTTATGAAGACGCGTCGTGGTCCACAGGAGGCCTTCCGATTAGTCTACTGTTGTTTTATCTTGACAATATTAAACACCTACTTAGTGGCGCTGCAGTACTTTTTAGCTTTACTACACTGAACTATTATATTGCATTTTTGGTTAGCCAAGAGTCTTGATCTGCTTCTTCCCACACGCAGCACGAGGACTTGATTGCTCTTCATAGTATGTTTTTATAGTGGCAGTTCCTCTACTGCTGCTCGACCGAGGGCGCAAGCCGCGGCGCGGCACCGATTTCTGCTTCTGCTTTTGGTGTCAGTACTTATAATTTGCTTCGCGTCTTTTATGCCACGATGCCAGTGCTTTCTTCTTGGTTGATATTCATCTTCGATCAAACCGACTAAATCAAGATGAGCTTGTTCTTGAGCTGCTTTGTTTCTTATCATCACTGGTGCAAAACGACCTCTCTTCAACTTCATCGTCCACCGAGATAGTGACAGCTTTCTTCATGCTCGTCTTGGGTCTGTTTGCCGCGGTTTCATAAATGTCACCAGGAAAAAAAACTCGTTCATCACTGACTACCGACATCAATATCAAATTTAAAAATGCGATCATAGGCTTCCGGAGATTGATGTGAACAATGCCGGGAGGTCCTTTGGTACTAGAAGTTCGTAGATTATTTGACGAGCTTCTCCTTGTGGTCCTTGCCGGATATTGGAGATTTCAACTCTTCAAATTAAGGACACAGCCCGAACATACAAGTAAGTAGATGCTTCTACTTATTTTCATCGGAATCATTTTTATTATTGTTTTCGGGTGAAGAGACTGCAACTCCCGATCTGCTCTGTGAATTCGTAAATCTGAAGTTGGCCGCCCCCTTGTGCGGCGCCGCAAGATGAAAGCGACGGCACACAGGTGGCCAGTATACAAAATTGTGAACTGTGGTTGTACTCTTTATTCTTATTTGTTTTTGTCCTTCTTCATCTACTTCGGGATGACAGAACTAGAGCTGATGCGTTTTTGTCATCTGGCGGACGAGCCCGCAAGCAGCACTATTATGCATCTTCTCCCGCAGAAGTTCTAGGAGTCAACAATAGATAAAACAAACTGAGGCAGGAGTCCTACGAAGGCCTGCTGCTCAGTCAATGCACAAAGTAGGACGAGATGTCTTGCTCTCGCTGTCCTCCTGCTCGTGCGACGATCCGGCCTCATCATCACCGGTCGTGGCTGCAGCTGCTCTGGGGAAGTAGCGCCATGCGGCTTCTTGTTCATGCGTGAGGTCTCATTCTACTTGTACGGGTGTAAGATAACTTGGCTCGTTTTTTTTTTTCCTGGCCATGCGTCGCGGCCTTTCCGGCTTTAACTTCCAAACCGCTTTTTGCCTTTCAGCAAGAGTATATTATGTCAGCGCCTTGTAGAAGTAGTTGCTGCCACCTACATATCCTGTGCAAAAGTATCGCACTCGTATTGCAGTCATGCGCTGCAAAAAATCCTTTTGCTAAGGTACTTGAATCCGCGCTACAAATTTTATATTTATTTCTCACACTGAGGAAATAATTTGTATATGCATTTATACGAGTGAGATATTACTTTTGCAGTTCCTACTACAAGGCGGTTGCCGGCGCGTTACCAGCGGACGAGACCTCCTCGGCGCCGAGCGGCGTCGGCGTGGACGCCGCAGCGTGTTCATATGAAAGCCTCAGGTTGGAAATCCTCAAAGTGGAAATAATTTGTAATGCAAAAAAACGACGCCAGCTGAAGCGCCATTTGTAGTCGGCGCATGACAAATTTCCCGGGCACTTGAAGCATGTCTGTCATGCAGGTTAGGGCAAATGGGTGCCTTTCTGTCGTGCTAAGCAGCACTCCAATTCTTCATCCCTAGCAGGACAATAGTCGGCCTCCATTGCGCCCCCTACAATACAGTCTTTTTTGCGTCGCATTTCATGCATCACAAATCATTTCCACTTTGAGGGTTTCCATTCTGAGGCTTTCATAGTTCATCGTGCAGAAAGTTGATGCCTTTTTGTTCTGCCTGAGCCTGTTCTTGCAGAAAGCTCTTGATCGTTCTTGGGGCCGCGTCCCGCTTCCGCTTCTCGGCGCCGGCGGTGGCAGCTGCGATTTCGCGATCGTGCCAAATCTTCAAAGCCGCCAGCGCCGTTCCAGCAGCGACGGAGACAATCAATCCCCCCACGGAGCGATTCCGATTGGTTGTCGTCGTCGTCGTCGTCGTTGTCATCCCGCACTCAATTGCTTTAGGGTCTAGCGGGTTCTTTTCCCCTTTGTAGCACTTCCCGTCGCAGTCGTACGTCAACTTTTCTCCGTCGGGCTTTACGCAATGCGTAAAGCTAAAGTCCCCGACGCAAGTCGAGCCAGCCTATGACAGCGCACGAACCCCCTCTCCCTCATTAATATTTACATTGCTTGACTTCCGGGCTCTGGTCCCGCCTACCCCCCGGCGACAGGTGACCTTGACAGGTGACCGTGACAGGTGACCATGACAGGTGACCTCGACAGGTGACCTCGACAGGTGACCTCGACAGGTGACCTTGACAGGTGACCTTGACAGGCGACCCTGACAGGTGACCTTGACAGGTGACCTTGACAGGTGACCTTGACAGGTGACCTTGACAGGTGACCTTGACAGGCGACCCTGACAGGTGACCTTGACAGGTGACCTTGACAGGTGACCTTGACAGGTGACCCGGACAGGTGGCCGCGACAGGCGGGGCGAGAGGATAAAGCAAAGGCGAGACCAGCGCCTGGACGCAAATATTTATTTATTTTCCACGCCAAATGCCGACGGGAAAATGAAAAATAAATTAAAAGCGCCAAAAAAAAATGCGACGCACAAAATGAAAAAGATTAAAGCTGCAACACAACCTGCCTCCATAAACAAAGAAGTCTTTGCGTTGCCATGCAAAAATAAAAAAGCGGCTATCTCTGCAATGCACGGCCAGGAGACAGCTGCTTACTTTGCTCTGTGGAATCGGAAGGCGTTGCGCTTCAATGTTAGAGAACTTTTTTGCAGCAGCCACACAGAGATATCTACTCTGCTTCTATTTTTGTTTTTTCTTGCAAAATGCAGGGCGCCTAATTCGCCCTTTTTCCACGACTAGCGCTTCGTGCACTGAGCCAATACGCGCGCGCCTGGTGTGAGGCGAGGGGCGGACGCTGTCCGCCCCGATGCCGAACACCCTTCCCCCACTAGCGTTTCGCGCACTAAGCCACTACGCGCGCGCCTGGTGTGAGGCGAGGGGCGGACGCTGTCCGCCCCGATGCCGAACACCCTTCCCCCACTAGCGCCACTAGGGACGAGCACAAGGCCCCAGCGTGGGGACCCTGTCCCCACGCGTGGACCTTGTTTGTCATGCGTAACAGACTGCGCGACTGAAGCCCGGGGGGGTGCGGGGTCCGAGGGGCGCGCAATGCACTGACCGGAACACCAGAATGAGGGGTGCACAATGCACTCCCTCATTTGTCATGCAAAAACCCAAATCCAGACAGTTCCAGTTGCAGCTACTTTGTGGCACCGCGTCCGTGCATGACAAATTTCGAAAATCCAAACAGTACTACATCACTCGGCGCATGAACTTGCCATGCCAAGGGTGGTCCACGTGTGCCGGTGTTTGGAATGCTGTGGATGCCATACAAATGAGGGGGAGGGGGGTCGTGCACTTTCTTACAGAGGCCGTCTGGCAGGTAAACTTTACAGTCACATTACGCCCCAGGATTTCCCTTCTTATGCATTGCACGTATATCAGGGTCGGGAAGAATGCAAACGTTTGTCATCATGCATTTTCTAGATCACGACACTGAGTGATGGTCTCTACTGCATGCAACTACAGTATTTCAGGTTTTGCGCAGGCCTTCTGATACCTGTTCCGCATGAGAAGTTCTCTACTTGCGTACGTAAAAGATAGATTTAGATGCGCAGCTTTTCTTGGCGCTCATGTAAGACAAGTATTTGAATTTGCGTGATCCAGATTTTGCATCACAGGTTGGAACTCTTCCAGATCCAGACACAGACATGAACATGTTTGCATTTGATAGCCCAGCACTTGTGGTCAAGATTGCGCGGCTCAAAGTCGTTGACGCACGGATGGGAGTCGTCGGAGACGGACTCGGCTTCGCCCATAAAGGACGTTGCAGGCGAAGCAGCTTCCAGCGCCACCTTCCGCTGGGCGGTAGAAGTGCCTGTAGAATTATCAATATCAAGATCATGAGCAGTCGGATACGGATAGCGCAAGAGAAGCACAGAGCTGAGCTTGAGACTGGTCGCATTGATGCTGCTAGTCGTGGCACTATCCCCAACAAGAACAATCAAAGGCCGCAACTTTCCAAGCGGATTCACCGCTAAGCATAGTCGTGCGCGCAGTGTCATGCAAAGAAAATTGGCACACCAAAAACAGAAGACGCTCTATGCGATCTGGAGTGACGGAACTTTCTAACACCGGCACGGAAAGCGCCCCGCGGAAAAAAGTATCGCCGTCCCGCACAAGGGACCGACAACGGGGAAAATAAATGGCGCGCGCGCGATGTTTCATCTTGTCCTCTCCAATAATATTTATAAGTATATTGGAAAGCGAAAGGACAAGAAGTTTGAGCTTCCTGTGTTATGATTAAGTTATAACACTACAGAAAACGGCGGGCCGCGTGCGCGCCGTGGGCCGCGGGCGGCAGAAGTAATAAACTCCGCTTGTGCAGCAGCCACCTAAGGCAAACGCAAGGAAATTCTATCAGGCCGCACTCTGGGGGGGTGCTGCATGACAAACAACACTCTACCGCCATCCTCCTAAGAAAGACGCCTGCGCCTTGTATCCCTCTGGCTAAATAATCGGAGCTCCGGAGTTGTGGATGTCGCCGACTGCGACACTCATAAGGCCGCGCGCTTTCCAGGCTGCAAGTAGATCGATGCATTTCTCCTTGCAGGTGGTCGTAGTAACGAAAGCAGCGCTGCATTTCAAAAAAGCACTCACATCAGTAGACGTAGCTCTTTTGCAGCAGCCACCTTAGAGAAAGGAGCGGTCGCTATCTTTATCTATTCGATCTGGAGTGGTATACTTTTTAGCTGTACCTTCTTGCGAATGCTCCGTCGTATGAGGAACCGGCGGCACCACGATCACACCACTGGCGGTGGTGGAGAAATTCGCTGCGGCTGCCATCAGCGCTGCGGTGATAGTCTTGCTCCACAGCATGGTCAGCGTGGAGCGGGGAGGGTGTAGCTGTAGTTCTTGTTGTACCTACGAGGATGCTGCGCGACCGGTAGCCGTGGCGAAGTACTTTTTAAGGGGGAGCCCAAGTTCTTGCACTAGGTAAGGCGGATTCTCAGCATGAGAAAGAAAATTTGTAATGCGGATTTACCTTTAAAAAAAATTTGTAATGCATATCTGCAATACAAGTGCGATACTTTTACAATGCATAGTCGTGCTGTTGAGCGCTTCGATTCCTGCAAAAGACAACCGAAAAAGACGATGTGAACTGCAGTGAGCAGACCACGCCCACGGGGTACGTACAGAGGGTGATTCTTTAGAATGTGTAAGTATATGAAGACGCGTCGTGGTCCACAGGAGGCCTTCCGATTAGTCTGTTGTTTTATTTTGACAAACACCTACTTAGTGCTGCAGTATTTTTCATTAGCTTCACTTCTACATTGCTCTTAGATTGAATTTACTGGATTATACTGGTTGGCCAATCTTGATCTGCTTTTTCCGACGCACAGCAGGCGCGCGAATTGTCCCTCATATTGAATATGTTTTTACTTATAGTAGCAGTTCCTCTACTACTGCTTCTCGACCGAGGATGCAAGCCGCGGCGCGGCACCGAGTTCTGTTTTTGGCGTAAGTACTTACTTCCTCCGCGGTTTTTATGCCATTACGCCAGTGCTTTCTTCTTGGTTGATATTCATCTTCGATCAAACCGAAATCAAGATGAGCTTGTTCTTGAGCTGCTTTGTTTATGTTTATCATCAGTGGTGCAACACGACCTCTCTTCATCGTCCACCGAAATAGTGACAGCTTTCTTCATGCTCGTCTTTGGTCTGTTTGCCGCGGTTTCATTTGAAGATGTCGCCAGGAAAAAAAACTCCTTCATCACTGACTACCGACATCTAGTTCAAAAATGCGATCATAGGCTTCTGGAGGATTGATGTGAACAATGCCGGGAGGTCCTTTCGTAGAAGTTCGTAGATTATTTGAGGAGCTTCTCCTTGTCCTTGCCGGATAGAGACATAATTTTACTTCACCTCTTCAAATTAAAGACAGCACAGTCCGAGCATACAGGTTAGTAGATGCTTCTACCTACTTTATTCGGGATCATTTTTATACATTATTTTCGGGTGAGACTGCAACTCCCGATCTGCTCTGTGAAAGGAGTCGATTCGTAAAGCTGAAGTTGGCCGACCTCGTTGTGCGGCGCCGCAAGATGAAAGCGACGGCACACAGCTGGCCGGTATACAAAATTGTGACGCAGTGCTCCTATTTGTAGTTCTTCATCTACTTCGGGATAAGTGAGACGACAACACTAAAGCTGCTGATGCGCTTTTGTCATCTGGTGGACGAGCCCACCAACAGTAGTATGCATGTTCTCCCGCAGCTCTAGGAGTCAATAATAGATAGACAAAACTAACAAACTGAGGCAGTCCCACGGAGTCCTGCTGCTCAGTCAGCGTACAAGTTAGGGCGAGAGGTCTTGTTGTCGCTGTGGTCGCTGTGTCCTCCTGCTCGTGCGACGATCCGGCCTCATCATCACCGGTCGTGGCTGCAGCTGCTCTGGGGAAGTAGCGCCATGCAGCTTCTTCCTTTCTTATAATGCGCCAGATGATGGACAAGAAATCGATCACTAAGAAGAACCGACAAATCTTGAAGATCTAAAACTTATCGGGCATGAAGCAGCGAACAGAGCGCGGCCCGGGAGGTCCTCATCACTTTCTACCAGGGGCTTGTGACTTGTTTACATCATGTACAGCCGACTCACATGCTTCCTGATACTTTTCAGGAACCAGCACAATCAATATCAGGATCCTTGTTAGCAGGGTACAAATCTATACAGCATTTGCTTGCAGTTGTACCAGAGCCAGATTCTTGGAGTTCTTGTTCTGTAGAATATGAATATCATTATCATACGAAGAAAGTGTTTCTCTGAGGAGATTTTGCAAGTTTTGCATCTTCACAAGTTTGCTCTACATCTTCACAAAAAGAAATTGCCATGCGAGCTTTCCAAGGGAAAATAAGCCTAAAAGCTCATGGTCTTGCACCATATGTAGCAAGGCAAATACTTCTGCGGGAGCGGGATACATGTTCTGCATTACAATTTCACAGCGAAACATATTTTTCTTACGATACAGAATCAGAAAATCATCTTCCGCGACCCCCGTGGTCGTGATCTTCAAGCGGGAAAGCCAATTCCCACTTCTCGTCCAAAGAGAAGAATGCTGCTGCTGCTAGTTAAGAAGTAGTATCAGAAGTCTGGTCAAAAGAGACACCTTTTGCTTTTGGCAGCTCAAAAGTTCTTGTAGTTACCATGTTGCGCTTCTGCTACTACAAGAAGTTCTCCTGTTGATTATGATTTCAAATTCATATTCAGGAAGTCGGAGTGCAGCAACAGGTCCTCCGCATACGGCCGGAGCTTATGGTCTATGAATTGCAAAACAGTATCGCACTTGTATAAATGCATTTAGATTTATTACAAATTTCCTCTGCGTGAGAAATAAAATTTGTAACGCTGACTCAGACTCACCTTAAAAAAAAGATTTGCAATGCATGACTGCAATACGAATGCGACACTTTTGCGATGCATATGGTCCCTCTGGAGGCATTTTTGAAGAAACTCCACGGCAACCAGGCTCGCAGCTGTTGTATTAGCTGAAGACTTTTCTGCAGGAGGTGGAGTAGTTGTGTTGCTGAGCGCTTCGATTCCTGCAAAAGGCGGCATCTCTGCACTGGAAACGATGTACTGTTATGTACTGCAAAAGTATCGTACTAGTATAAATCGCATGACAAACTACTAGCTCAGCATGAGAACAAAAGGAATTTGTCATGCTGATTTACCTTAGGATGCAGATTTGTAATGCATGAGCATGACTGCGATTACTACGAGTACGATGCTTTTGCACAGGATAACTGTAGAGCTTCCGCGATGCTCCATATGCGACGACTCTCAAGCGTTACATTCTCAGCTGTTTATTTTACAAGATTTGTCATGCAGACTGAGCATCAACATCCACACGTCGAGCAAGCTACCTCGCATGACAAATTTTGGAAATAGGCTATAGCAGCACCGAAATCTGTGCGGTGGAATTTGTATATGCTATAGATCCGACCTCCCTTCTTTGACTTTCACTTTGATGCCATTCTTGCATTACAAATTCATGTAACAGTAGAGAATGTAGTAACACTTGAGAACTCCATACTCCAGCTGCTCGCTTTCGGGTGGAGGCTCCATGGGTTATCAAATGTAAAAGTGTCTGGGTCTGGAAGAATGCAAGATTTGTGATGCAGGTGTTCCATGACCCATGAGGTCTGGAATGCGAGACCCAGCATAACAGACTCCTTGAAGTCTCTATCAGGCCTTTCCTGCATGAGAAACTCCCTCTCAACTTGGTCAAAAACGGACAGCTTTTGGCACTCACGCAACACAGATTTTTGCATCATTTAGATTTAGGCTTAGCGTGACAAGTTCTATATCTTGTTCCAGACCCAGACATTTTTGCAGTTGATATGGGTGGGCAGCGATGAGCATCTCGATCATGGTGCAACCGACGGACCAAATATCGCATATGGCGTTCTCAACTGTTACATTCTCAACTGTTACATGAATATGTGATGCAAGAATGGCAAAAATGAAAGGAGGGAGCTTGCGCGTCTCGCATGACAAATTTGGCGCAGATTCTCAGCCTGTTTGGCTCTTCGGGAGTTTGTCATGCGGGGCAGCTTCATCATGATCATCATCATGTAGTGGACACCCGCACCCAGCGCCACAGGTCAAGGATCCCCTCCCCGGGGGGGTGACGAGCTTGATCGTGTCAATTCTGATTGCAATTTTGCATGACAAATCATGTAAACAGTTGAGAATGTAACATTTGAGAACTCCATATCGCACCGCCGCCCGATAATTCCGGTAACGGTTTCCGGTGCCATCCAATACACGGAGTGTGGCACGGTAAAACTGACTACAACACTGATCGCTGTTACAGGATTTTGTCATGCAAATCCAGAAACTGTAGTTGCGAAAGCTGCGATAGGGGGCAACTAGAACTCCTTGCCTGAGCCTGTCTTAGTCTTCTTGCAAGCAATACTATCGATTTTCGCACAGGTCGTTTCAATGCTGTTGTCTGTTGAGAAAATTCTGCAAAATTAGCCTGTTTCATCTTGATCTTACGGAATGCGATAATCATTCCTTCGTTCAACATGTTCTTATCACAGCGAACGATGTCAGTCACGCTTGTGAACGTCGCCATACGGAACCTGATTTGCTTTTTTTCGAATCAACCAAACAAATACTACCACAACATCAGATTACGACGATATCCGATGAAACACGACCCCACCGGGAGCCTCTTTCGCACACACATCCACCTAAAATTTACTAGCTTTTCCTTTTACTTCGACTAAGCCCCGCGAGGAGAGGCTAAATCCGCACGAGGAGAAATAAACCTAAAACCGCAGCAATTTTGAATTCTATGCCTTTTATCATTGTCGTCGAGAACGAGATTTGGCGAAACTATAAAATTTTATTTTTATTGAAGATAAAAAGTAAATGCATTCAGTCGCAGCATTTGCATTTGTTTAGCAGCCAAATCTTCTCGACAACGGTGCACTGGTCGCACGCCAATGGATGCGCATGGTTTCGATTTGGCCCCTCTCCCAAAATCCGCGAAATTTCAAAATTTTATTTTCATTGTGTTGCAATTCACTTTTCTAAACAATATTCGCGCTTGTCGCCCAACGCCCCTGATCCGCGAAATTTCAAAAATTTATTTTTATTGGTTGCTGAAATCCGCGAAATTTTAAAAATAAATTTTTATTGACTGCCAAAATCCGCATAATTTCAAAATTTAACTTTTATCGCTTTGACTTTGTAACAGAGAACAACACTAAGGCCACATGTGCGTGACGATCTTGATATGCTTGGTGTACATACTACTGGGGGGAGACCACGTAGTTGCACCGCTAGTACACATCACAAAAATGAAGAACATAATCCGGCTGGTAATCAAAATCGTTGGGAAGGTGCGGAGGGGAGGCCGGTAAGGGCAGTGGGCTTTCAAAAGCTTTACTCATGGTGACGATAGGTCCATCTTCTTCTTCATGCACCAACAATTCTGATAATTACGTACCTTTGATCGACTTCATTTCGCCACTCAGGGTCGCGTGCAAGGAGGCCAGTTGACGGCATATCCTGAGTAAAAACGTCCCCACACTGTCATGCAGATTCGCAATGACAAAAACATTTGTAATGCGCATCGCCAGGAGATGCATTTTTAGTCGTGTTTTGGAATTTGTAATGCTGTAAACAGGTTAAGCAGATGGATTTCTGATGCAGCTGGCCTTGCGAACCTGCACTACACTACGGACTGCAACTTGTGATGCGTGACCCCCAAAAGTTCTAGGTTTGTGTTGCAAAGTCCCCATCTTGACTCTGGTGTGGGGATGTTTTTACTCAGGATACGGCAGGCTCCAAAGTCGGCCAGCTTGGCGTCCCCGCACTGGTCCACGAGGATGTTTGCGCACTTCTATGCAATACAAATTTCCCGTACATGTACAAGATGCATCACAAATTTTCCCAATTTGGAGTGTGATGAAACTTGTCATGCTAAACTAGAATCAAAGCCAAGCTTTGCCATGCAGAGACCGCATTTGTACGTGTACAGGAAATTTACTGTGGATAACTTCAAATCCCGGTGCACTATACCCTTCTTGTGCAGAAAGTCCAGGCCCTCTAGAATCTGGCGGACGTATTTTTGTGTGAGGTGGAGGCTGTAGGGCCCGAATTTTTTCAGGACGGTCGACATGGAGCCGCAAGGCATGTATGCACTGCAAAAGTATCGTATTCGTAAAAATGCAAGCCTTGCATTACAAGTTTTTTTCTTAACGTAAATCAGCATGGCAAATTTTATTTCTCATGCTGAGAAAATTTGCAATGCAATTTATACTAGTACGGTGCTTTTGCATTGCATAGCATGTACTCGAGAAAAATGTTCAAAAACTGGTCCGCCCCCTTCGTTCCGCGGTCCAGCAAACAGCCATTTCAAATGTAAAAATGTCTGGGTCTGGAAACTTGTGATGCTGGTTGAGAAAGACGAAGGCGCCTCAATTGACTGGCAAGCATGACAAGTTTTGGGGGTGCTACAACAGTGTTGGTGTTTCTGCATGACAAAGTGAGCTTCTGCATGACAGAAAAATGGAGCTTTTGGGTAATGTGCACGACAGACTTGCGAATCATGTCAGACAAGCATGACAAACTTCCATTCTTTCAGACCCAGACATTTTTGCAATTCATAGGCCAATGTACCGCACCACGCGTGGGTAGTCTATCCTTTGTAAAACCGTCCCCAACCGCCAGAGTTAACATGGGAATTCGGCTAGACACATCCTTCCACAGGCTTGAGCTGTTTCGCATGAAAAATTTGGACTCGTAGTGTAGTGCTGTCTGAGGTAGTGGAGCGGCATAACAGATCTAGTAATATAATACCATGCTGATTGGAGCATGACAAATTCAACAACACTTAGTAGGAAATGCTTCTCATGGGGCTCCGCATGAGAAACATTCTCAGCATGCAGATTTGCATTTTACAGCTATGGGGCTGGACGGACGTTTTTACATACGATATGGTCCAGCTTTTTCAGCAGTTCAATCTCCTCTTTCAGATTTTTCAGCTCCTGCTCTATCTCTTTCGCGTCTTTTATGGGAGTGTCAGGATCGAAATCGTCAGAGTTGAAATAATTTGTGACGCATAAAACGGATACCAGTAGGCGCCTAGTTTTCAGGTGGCGCATGACAAATCTTGGTGGTGCCTAAGTCCAGTTTGTAATGCTCCTTGGGTAAGGACGACGCCTTTTGTCATGCTACTGGAGCATCTCTATTTTTACCCCTCAACAGGCTTACAATCTGCCTCCCTTGCGTACTCTGCAAGACAGGCACTCTGTGGGTTGCATTTTATGCATCACACACTATTTCAACTTTGACGGTTTCAATCCTGACGCTTCCATAGCCTTCGCAGCTCCAATTCCGCCCCCGCCCGCGCCTTCGTCGTGTTGCAGCTGGTGCTCGTCCCCTGTCACGACGACAGAATTATGCTCGTCCTGTTGGTTCTTGATTCCCAGCAGCCCTCGAAGGGGTACTTTTTTCACCGCAAAAAAGTGCCCGGCACACATCACCTTGTACACTTCCCCCGAGGCTCCGCGCCCCAGGAGCTCGCCCTGTTTCCACGTCGACAGATTTACCCGACGGTAGTTCGAGAGGTCTTGTTCTTGTTGGGCCGACGTGGTGCCATTCGTCGGCGTTTCCACAGTGAAGATCGGATTATTTTCGGTGCTCTCAACACCCGGCACGACGACCCCAGATGTAGAAGTGCCGCCGACGGGAGAGGACGCTGCAGGAGGGTTCAGAGTCATTTTGGAAAGGTAAAATATATCGGACGAAAAACTGAAAAACTTCGAGATAGACGTGGACCGATTTTGTTTACACGAGGCGCGTTGTATCAGGCAGCGATGAAAATAATTTTCCGATTTGTGTTCTCTCTCGATCGCAGCTCCCGTTGATCGGATGAAAAGTGGCCCCACGCCCACATGCAAAAATGATCCCACTGAGCAATAAACTGTTTCAATATTGTGCTTGACCTTTCTTTCTTTCTTTCTGTTCGTGCCTGGGCTTGGCATCAAAGGTTCAAGGCCCTAAACAATCCTTGTGGTCCACACCAAATCACTTCCTTGTCTTGATCATCAAATAACTCCTTCCATAGCGATAGAACTAAATTGAAATAAAAATTGAGCCTAACTCTACAAAACAATTGACAAGCAACCTAACACTACCTTTTCCGATGTTTGACCTTGTTCTCCGTTCATTGATCGTGAAAAATAGATCAAGATCGTGCACAGACCAAGACAAGCAGCAGGATGTAGTTTTATCAGTGTGCTGTTTCTCTCAACAAACTGTGTATTGCACAGGAGATCGCTCAGCACCATTACGCGCAAATAAAAAAAAAACCCGCGAAGCGTCAGAAACAAGAGAAAACTTCAAGTCACGCGAAACCGAAAGATGACTTTCTGCAAGTGCAACTGTCTCAAGAAAATAAAAGTGTCGTCCGCGTTAGTTCTTACACGTTGAGACTGAGACCGTTTCTTCTTGCGATATGCTGCATTCGAAAATTAGCCTGAAGATCATACCGTCACTCCGTGGTTGATGTTTTGCTACTCATCATCAGATGATTCTTCGCTTGCTCCTTTCCCAACTTTCCCTGCTCCTGTGTGTTTATCTTGATCTTCTACTTCCAGCAAACCGTTCAGTTAAGTCAAAATTACTTTTCATCAATGTCGGGGTAACTAGGTATTCTACTTTATTTGAAACGGTGTATAATAGTTTTCGTCACAAGTCCCCGGAAGAAATCGCAGAATCTTCGGGCTGCCTAAGCCACTCCTCTATCCTGAGGAAAAACATCCCCACCCTAGAGTCAAGATGGGGATCTCGCAACACAAATCCAGAAGTTTTGGTTGTAGCGAGTGACAAGTTGCCGTCCGTAGTGTAGTGCAGGTTAGCAAGGGCATCCACATTACAAACTCAGCTGCTTATCCTGTTTACAGCATTACAAATTTCAAAAGACGACTGCAAATGCCTTTCATCTTGGAGATGCGCATCACAAATTTTCTTGTCATTGCAAATCTGCATGACATCAACTATGGGGTGCGAGCGTTTTTACTCAGGATATCCTCCTCATCCTCCTCATCCACCACCAGCGGCCGCGCGCAGCCTTGGTTTTCCTTCAGCATAACTCCGGTGCAGAATATGCAATACAAATTTTCCGTACATGTTGTACAAAATGCATTTACAAGTCTCGCTAATTTGGAGCGTCCAACTTGTCGTGCTGAGTCAGTAGATTGGAGGCAAGTTTTGTCATGCAGAGCCAGCATCCGTACGTGTAGTCCAGAAAATTATTTACAGTGGATACAGAAGGAATCCATACCATCCGCGTCCGCGTACAGGTCCCTCACGAACTGTGTGAATTCCGGGGCCACCTCTTCGTGATCATAGTCGCTTGCAGTGATCCTTCGCTTTCTTGATCTACTTTCCGGGTGAACAAGATGATCTTCTGCTCCTTGTCGAGCCCCAGGTACTTGGTGGTCATGTTCTTTCTTTTCATGATCCATTTGATGCCTCATCATCGTCTCCTCCACCGCCTTCTTTCGTGCCGCGTTCCTTCCTAGCCGTTGGTGCTCGTCCTCGATTACTATCCACAGTAAATTTCCCGTACGCGTACAAATGCAGTCTCTGCATGACAAAGCTTGCGCTCAGTCCTGGTCTAGCATGACAAGTTGGACACTGCATCAAGTTAGCGAAATTTGTCATGCATTTTGTACATGTACGGGAAATTTACCTTGCATAATTACCTTGTGGATAGCCTGCACCTCCAACTCGAACAGATCGGAGGCCAACAGTTCGCGTTTTGCGTCGATGGATATGACAGTGCGCAACTCCCCCTCCCCCTCATTTGTATGTTGGCATGAACAGCAATACAGAGACCAGCCCAAATGGAGCTTTTGCATGACAAGTAGTTGATGTGCCTAGCGTGGTACGGTTTATTGGGCTTCCGATATTTGTCATGCAAACCGTGCCACAACGCAACGACAGGATTAGGATTTCGGATTTTGCATTACAAATGAGGGGGAGCAGGGGGAGTTGTGCACTGTCATAATGGAAGTTTGGAGTTCTCGACTTTCAGGCAGCAATAATGCTGGTGGCTCAACACCTCCTCCTTCGGGGTTGCTCGTCGAGGCAGTTGGTGCAGCAGCTTTTTGCTCTGCGTCTGCGACTGGCGGCATTTTTACAATTTCAGCCTCGTAGTAGTTGAAAAGTATGCATTGCAAAACTATCGTACTAGTATAAATCGCATTACAAATTTTTCCAGAAAGAAAAATGTAATTTGTAATGCTGATTTTGCTAAGAAACCAGGTTTGTCATGCATGATTGCAATCACTACGACTACGATACTTTTGCACAGCATAAAAAGCGAGTTCCGACAAATCACGCCCTCCGGCATCCACAGTAAATTTCCCGCACACGACGACGCACTAGACCACTGCATGACAAAGCTCGCCTTCAGTGTTAGTCAGCATGACAAGTTTGACACAAGAAGAAGAACTACTCGTTTAAGCTACTAGCAAAATTTGTCATGCATTTTGTACATGTACAGGAAATTTGTATTGCATATCCGGACCCTCAATCCTTCGACCGTCTTTCAAGCGAAACGATATGGAAGCGTCAGGATTGAAATCGTCAAAGTTGAAATAATTTGTGATGCATAAAATGCAACCCACAGAGTGCCTGTCTTGCAGAGTAGGCAAGGGAGGCAGATTGCAAGCCTGTTGAGGGGTAGAAATAGAGCTGCTAAAGTAGCATCTCAAAAGGCGTCTTCCTTGTTACCCAAACAGCATTACAAACTGGATTTAGGCACCACCAAAACTTGTCATGCGCCACTTGAAAACTGGGCTCCAACTGGTATCCATTTTATGCATGACAAACTATTTCAACTCTGACGATTTCAAACCTGACACATCCATAAACGACTCTTCGCCGATATACTTCTCCCGCCGAAGGAACCCCTTCCGAATGAACAGCAGAACCGCAATCTGCACGCCCAGGGGCTCCGCCGAGAAATCGTCGAAAACGAGAAATTCCAGCTTCGGAATGGACAGCAGGAGCCCCTTCAATTCTCGACAAACGGATAGGAAATCGTGACTGGCGTCGAGGAACACGGAGTAGATACGGGCTACGGAAGTAGTTGTAGATTTATTCATCGCGCCTGAGGAGCCCTGACCTTCTGTTGAAGCAGAAGCGGATGCTGGCGTTGGCGCCGTCGCTTCCTTCGCTATGAGATGTTGAACTTTCGTGGCTTGTTTTGCGGTTTGGTACAGCGTCGCCCAGTCAATGTTCGGCGAATCTACCTATGAACTGCAAAAGTATCGCTCTCGTATAAATTGCGTTACAAAAACAAATTCAAAAAAAAAAATGCATTACAAATTTTGGCAAGAGGGAGAGTGGAATTTCTAATGCTGTTTTTCCTTAGGAAAAACATTTGTCACGCACATTTGCAATTAGTACGAGTACGATACTTTTGCACAGGATACAACCTGTAGGAAGTGGATGTTTCTCCTATCGGAATTGTAAATCTTGTTTAACCGCAGAAACACGGGATCCACATCCAGCGCAAACACGGTGGTGAAGTGCTGGGACAAAAACCGGGTCGTGTAGCCGATGTAGGTCCCCAGCTCAAAGATGATGGTCTTCACCTTCGCTTCCACGTCCTTCTTTCCTATTGGCCTCGTTCGCTCTTCGTCACTCGCAGAAGTAGGAGAAGTTCCCCGCATCATATTCGCCTGCCCCCGTTTCACGTTTTGGAAAAACTGAACCAGATCCTGGCGGAACTTCGGACTCACTGTCCACTGGTCGTCATACTTTTGTTGCGGGAGCAGTGCGGCTTCTGATGCAGAAGTTGTACTCGTCCCTGGCGGCTCATAATTTGCATCCTGCTTTTTTGCTTCCCCCTCCCCGCTGCCGCTGGTTGCAGGAGAAGAAGTACCGCTGGCATCATCGTGTTCTTCCCTCGCATTCAGGATCGCTTTCAACCGTTTGAGCCATCCTGGTGGGGGCATCCCTTTCGCGAACCACTCAGGATTATCAACTGCAAAAATGTCTGGGTCTGGAAGGATGCAAGGTTTGTCATGCATATTTTGCATGACCCATGATGTCTGTGATGCATGCTCTAGCATCACATATTTTTAGAGGCCTTCCTGATGCCGATCCCGCATGACAAATGCCCTCCCCCCGTAGCACAAACTGGGCTCCTCTTGCTGGTCACGCAATAAAGATTTTTTTAGAATCCAAAGTTAGCATCACAAGTTCCAAACTTCCAGACCCAGACATATTTGCAATGCATAAGGATCATCTCCGTCCTCTGGAAGGGACTGCAACCACGCGAGGTCTTCTTGTTGCTGGTGGAGTAGTTTTAGCTCGTGCTGCGTCTCGACGTCGTGAAGGTCATTTGTATCAGTAGTGCTCGACCTGCTTTTATCGTCGGTCGCTACGTCGTCGTCCTTCTGCAGGGTGTACCCACTGACGAGACGGATCGGTGTTTGCTGGCTGAGTAGGAACAATTGTGGTCCACCGGAGGAGGAGGAGGCAAGAAAACTCACCTCGTGCGGAAGTAGGGAGAATAAACTACCTCCCCATAGTTGTCCGCACAGCAGCAGACGACAGAGAAAAAGAAAATAGCTTCTTGTGAGCATTTTTGTAAAGTGCTGGGCTTCTCCTGAGGATGAAATCGTCTAACTGATCGTGCACCAGCTCGAGTTCAATCGTCGGACGCCAAGCAGCTGGAGCTGCTGGTGCAAGAAAAATTTTAATTACTTAACCAACGTTCAGGCAGTACCACGTAAACGTAGTACAACCACGACATCAGTGGTGCTGATTACTAGATGCAGGTCGTGTTGTACTACATGCAGGTTGTATGGTCTTCGTGATTTATTGAAAAATATCGTCTATGAACTGTTGCGTCCACGGTTCTTGCAACTTCTGTACTACCGGGTTAGAGAAAGATGTTAGTAGTGGTGCAAGAACTTCTGATATTCGTGGTTGCAAGAACTTGAACTAACCAACTGTCAGTTGGTTAGTTCAACGAGAGTCTCTTGCTCAAAGTCGTGGTCTTGAGATCTTGTTCAACATAGTTCTTTACTGAGATCTACTTCCGACAAATCCATCATCCAAAGCTCGCTCAAGAAACAAGTAAATCCGTAAAAACTGCTGCTGCACCAAAGTCTCTGGCACAAGTAGAACACAGAACACTACTAGAAGCCCGCGGGCGACGTGCAGCTGGCTTTAGTAATGCCGTGCATCACTGTCATCCTTCTCCGAAGATCAGTATCTTAATCTTTTTAAAGTTCGACTTCAATAATTTGCAGCCACACAGGTCAAGAAAGAAAACAAATTGCGTGAAGACTTAGAAGATGTTCATCTCTATTCCTGCCAGCAGGAAGCCGCTGAGGATTTACTTTCATCGAGTTGGACTAAAGTTGTAAGTAGTCCAACTAATCACCAATGCGCATTTTCCTTTCAATCGCACCCCCATCGAAAATTGGTTTATTTGCGACTTTCGTCCCACCAGTTTTAGCATTTGTGGTCTCCCGTGACCTTTCACGCTGGCTTCGCGCCCCGCCACCCCCACCTTCTCTAAACCGCATGGTTTCCTCGAACGTCGGGTAATAGTTGTTCTTCGCTTTCAACTTATTCAACGGCGACGTGTAAATTTCCCCCTCCATTTTTCCACTCTTCGAAAATTCCGCAAACAGCGAGCTCAGCCGGTGCCCGCGGCAAATCCGCTGCAGATCGGTGGCGGTCACATTGCCGAGCCTCACCCCGCGGTTGCAGGTGCGCACCGCAGGCTCCAGGGAAAGGACCCACTGCTCGCGATACGTGGGGAAGGTGCCCACTCGGGCGAGAAATTGTTGCTGCAGTTCCTTTTGCAATTTTTCCTGTTTGGATTCCCTCTCAGCCGCTTCTTTGTCGGATTCCGGAATACCCGGATCTACCCCAAACCGCAGGTCAGGCATTTTCAGGAGCAGCATGCCGATATGCATGCCAAAAATATCGTACGTATTGGGCGGTTTGAAGATGAACGAATATCATGCAGTGTTGTCATCATGCTGCAAAAGGTAGTACTAGAGCGAGATAGACCCGTCATCCATATTCAATCAAAATTCATATGATTACAACTACTACGAATACGATATTTTTGCACAGGATAACCGAGCAGCCGAAGCAACTGCGACCCCAGCGCTTCCAGCCGCGACACAATGTTGTCGTTCTTGGTCAACATCGTGAGCGCAGAGCCTCCTCCTGCGCCAGAGAGTCGCTTTGGAGGATTTTTTGGCGTCGTCCAGCACTGCTGATCATGCGGCGCGGCCGCGGCGGCCACAGAACCACCGTGTCGCTTTTGTGGCGTCGGTGTTGTGGTGTTTTGATTCGGTTTATTCAGATTCGGGGTGCTTCTCGCCCCTCTGCGCGTCGGACTCATAGAGGATGTTCCGAGATTCTCGTCGTCCTCCACATTTTCCACATCATATCCCCGTGCGCAAGACGAACTACAACTCCCTACCCTCGCCCTCAACATTTGAAGCATGACACAAAATCAAAATGAACAACTCTCGAATTATATATGGGTTGTGAGTCGTACAACTTAGACTTACTGCTTAGGCACCTCTTTCCGCAACTTGACTCAGCATGGACAGAGTGCCTCAAAGCGAGAAGAAGCCGCGAATTTGGCATTTATTGCACGGGGACATCAAATGAGCAGGGGCAAATGAGACAAAGATTGGAGTTCTTGTGTATTTTCTACTCTGATAGGTGAAACCCGCTGGATAGCCCCTGTCTCTGCGAGATTCGGTGGGCCCGAGGGGATATGGATTGCAAAAGTATCGCACTCGTAGTAATTGCATTTATACATTACAAATCTTTTTCTCAAGTGAGTTTGTAATGCTGAGCGAATTCGATTTGTAATGCTGAGCGAATTTGTAATGCGATTTATACTAGTACGATACTTTTGCATTTCATAGGGGAGGAAAGAGCTTCCCCGAGCGTCAGGGTGTCGTCGGCGACGTAGGACGGTTTTCTAGTACTGCTTCGACTTTGGGGGGCAGCAGCAGCAGGTCCGGAAGTTGATGCGCCACCCATGGCATACAGCTTTTCGTGGATTTTTTCCAGCTCGTCTATAATTTTGTCGATGACCCGATTTTCCGCGAATTCCTCAAACATTCATTATCAAATGTAAAAGTGTCTGGGTCTGGAAAATGTCATGCTTGTCTGGCATGACTCTTAAATCTGTCACGCACGTTACCCAAGAGCTCCGTTTTTCTGTGATGCAGAAGCGCAGTTTGTCATGCAGAATAGGCAACAGCTAGGAGCTCAGAAACTTGTCATGCTGAGCCAGCATTTGTAGCCTCATCATGAGGCGCCACCCAGCATCACAAGTTTCCAGACCCAGACATTTTTACATTTGATATCCATCCGAACGACGCTATTCTCCGCAACGCAATCGCGCCTATTGTGGACTTCAGACAGGTCTGGATTGCGGACTTCTGCAGCAGAAATTTCGCCAGCGAGGCCGCGTCCAGATTATGCAGTGCGAAAGCGTCCTGTCGTAATAGTAGAATTTTTCGCATTACAAATTTTCCCAGAAGGAAGTAATGCTAAAGTAGCTATAGAAACCAGATCTGTCTTCATGCTGTACAACTGCAATTAGTACGAGTAAGACACTTTTGCAGTGGATACAGATTCCGGGCTAGCAAAAGCGTGTCGGCCTCCGGGTCCGAGGTTTTCTCGAGAAAGAGGAACAGAAAGCCTAGGATCTGCTTCCGCAACGGTTCCCACAGTTTTCGATTCTCCTCTTGTTGTTCCTTCTTCGCTTTGTCTGTGACGTCTTCTGCTGCGGCTGCCGCTGCCGCGTCTTGCTTCGGCTTGTTTGATCCACCGGCCGTTGATGTGGTAGTACTACTTCCAACTCCAGCACGACTAGGAGTTTTAGCCGCTCCATCGTCTCTTGTTCCGTTGTCTACTTTATTCATCTCGACGTCCTCGTGGTCCCCAGCTTGATCGCCGTCAAACACCGATTATCGACTGCAAACATGTCTTCTTGGTCTGGAAAGTTGTGATGCGGACAGTGTTAGCGGATAACTACAGTTTCTGTTGTGGTAGCCGCCCAGCATGACAAGTTTTTGGAGCGCTCCTTGAAATTTAATATTCCAGGTCGCGCGCATGACAAGTTGCTTTTTTGCATGACGCGAGAAGCTGCACTCGTCTTGTCGGTTTTGCAATCAATGCAGATTTTTCAGGAGCGAGCGCCAGACACGCATAACCAAGCTCAGCTTTTACTCCAGATCCAAAATACCCAGACATAGTTACATGGGTTACGCATCGCTCTACTGCTAGTTTCAGGAGCTTCAACAAGTTTCGCTTCTCTTCATTCGCTAACTCGTCGACCACGGAGAGGGAATCGGGGGCCTGTGGATAAAAAAAGTCGTAAAATTGATTTCTTTTGGATGTAGTTGAGTACGCTGATTCGGGGTTTACGCTTCGGAGGACGATAAGAACTAGTGTCGTGTGCACAAACATTAACATGCGTTGCTTCTTCATCTTCTACTTCTATCTAGTCTTGAAAAATGCAATTGACAATAGCTGGCAATTATCACTATCACACATCAGAAGAAAGTAGGATTGTTAGTTGATCCTCCAAACTGCATCAATTCCTTGTTTTCTACCGATCCAAAGCTTGCGTTGGCGAGCACGGGGAAGAGGGTGCACAGGATAAACGCTCGCAACGGATTATGCATTGCAAAAGTATAATCGTAGCAGTACAAATTGCATATACAAATTAGCTCAGCACGACAAATGCAGCTTGTAAGGCTGTTGTACCTTTGTCATGCATGTTTGCAATTACAATTAGCATGAGTACGATACTTTTGCAGAGCATACGGATTCGCGTCCTGCGCGAGCCACTTGACGAAGTAGTCCAAGACGTCGAATTTCACCTTCTCCCTGTACAGGAAAGATCGGTGCATCTCGGTCAAAAACCGGGCGCAGGCGTGGATAAGTTCATTCTTATGAACTGCAAAAGTATCGTACTCGTATATTATGAATGCATTACAAATTTCCCCAGCATGAGAAATAAAATTTGTAAATGCAGATTTACCTTAACAAAGGGATTTGTAATGCATGATTGCAAGAATACGAGTACGATACTTTTGCACAGGATAATTCTTCTCTGAGAGGAAGCAGTCCATGACTTTCGGAAAAATCCAATCACAAGAAAAAGTGTTAACATTAACGGCACAGATTACTTATATATTATATTCATGCGAAAAAAGAGGTAGACAGAGGGTAAACAAGAGGTGGCCGAGAGGTCAAAAAGAGGTCAAAAGAGGTAAAAAAGAGGTCGACAGAGGTGGAGAGGTGGCGCGGGACCCCTTTCGAGAGGGTCGGCGAGAGGGTGCGCGAGTATAGCCAGCTGAAGGCCCCACCTTAAGGCGGCGCCTAAGTGCCTCAGAGGGTGCAGAGAGGTCAAAAAGAGGGGGCGCGAGAGGTCGACAGAGGTCGAGAGAGGTGGCGCGAATAAGGGCCAACCTCTCGCGCACCCTCTCGGCCACCTCTGTCGACCTCTACCCGCGAGTATAGCCGGACTATTAGCGGGGACCCCCAAAAGAGGTAAAAAAGAGGGTCTGCGAGAGGTCTGCGAGAGGGTAAAGACACAAAGTGGCGGGCGCGAATCCGCATGGCAGTCCCCATATTTAGCATTGCAGGCTCTTCGCGGACTTGTTTGGTGCGGCGTTTGTCCCTGCCACCCTCTCGCGCACCCTCTCGCGCCACCCTCTCGCGCACCCTCTCGCGCCACCCTCTCGCGCCACCCTCTCGCGTCACCCTCTCGCGCCACCCTCTCGCGCCACCCTCTCGCGCTACCCTCTCGCGCACCCTCTCGCGCCACCCTCTCGCGCTACCCTCTCGCGCCGCCCTCCCACACTGAAGCCATTCATTGAAAAAGTAGCGAAGCCGGGGAATGGGGCGGGGTTCGTGGTTCATCTTGATTAACGAAAGGCATGCGTAGCGGATTGGTGTGGCACCTAGGTGTGTCCTGTTCTGCCCCAGTGCTCGCGGTAGCTCCTCCCTGCGCAGAGCGCCCTTAGGCGCGAGAAGCGCCAGCGCGCAGAGAGTTCTGTGGGGGCATGAGTATGTATGTCGCTGTGGTCCGGTCCGCAAGCAGTTCAGACCCGGCCAAACAGCCTTGCGCTCCGGCGGTAGCCGGAGCATGGCTGGTTGCAGTCATGCATCGCAAATGTAGCCCAATATGCATGCTCTGCATTACAAATTTTGGCATGTCCATGTTTTGTGATGCATTGCTGCGTCACAAATTCCGTTAACGTTTTTAACACTTTTTGCTGTGATAAATCCGGTCGACGTCGAGCGCCGCTGTTGTACTCGCGTAACCTCCGCCTCCGTTTTGGATTGATGATCCGTGGAGGTTCATCATTTCGACGGCCGCGCCTGGTGTAGAAGAATAGTTGTCGTGCAGGCTGGCAGGAGCGGTCGGTGAAAAGGACGCTCTGACGTTGTTATTGTAGCCCCAGGGCAGTTTGCCCTTCCGGGCAGAAGAGGACAATGCGGAGCTAGGCCGTGTGGATTGTTGATGTGTTTTCCTATCACTGTAGTTCGCTGAGGCAACGACGAGTCCCGCTCGTGTCTTTACGGGAGAGGAGGAGTTTTCTCGACTAGCAGCACTGGGACCAGCAGCAGCTCCAGAAGTGCTTGCATGGTCACTATCGTGTGCAAAAGTATGAGTATTGCACGAAAGGCAATCCTACAACACGACATCTCGATCGCGCTGTTCCAAGGGTGAATCTTCAGCATCAACACAAACAAATTTTGCCAGCGTTGTAAAAATGCCACTACAAGAACTCCTAGAAGCACGATACTTTGCAATGCATAATCGCTACCCTGGGACGACAACCGACTGCTTCTTCTCCGCCCGCGTGGTTTTTGACTCGACAAGCTCAGCATCAGGGCTGCAGACGTCTTCTCCGGACTCTGCATCATGCTGGTATTGATTGCAAAAATATCGTCCCCTGGGTCTCGCTCTGGAACGAACAAAATAAAAATGCAAGGCTCATCTACTTTCATCTTGTTGTCGTGTTTGGCTAGCATGCGGCCCAAGTCTGTCATGCGCATAATTTCTACCCAAATCAAATAAAGGACAAGCCTAGAAGACAACATATTTGCCATGAATAACTGGACGTTCTGGATAATCTCGCAGCTATCTGCTCCTCCTTCGCCGTGCTGGTTGCGAGTAACTCGCTGTAGAGCGTTATGGTCGTGAAGGAAAGATGAAGATTTACATCCGGATTGATGAACTTCACCAAAGACCGGAACAACGGATCGTACTGCTGGAAGTTTGCGAAAACGCTTGTTGATGTACCAGCGCCCGGAGCTACTTGTTGTTCAGCACTATTTACTTTCCTAGAAGAAGCTGAAGCTGCTGCGCTGCTCCTGTTGCTCATCATCGTCTCCTTGTGCATGCGGTTTCGGATCTCGGTCAAACCAAAGACGAGCGTTTTCAAACCCAGCGACTCTAGAAACTCGGACCGTTTCAAGCACTGTTGGCGGATCGTCTGCTCGAGTGACAGTTGCTCGTCGATCTCATCTGTTACGTTGATCCCCTCGTCGAGATTCGAAACGATTTGCACATTCTTCGCAGAGGTCGTGGGGGATGAGGAGGGGGACAGTGGCTCCTGATCTTTTTTGTTACCACTTCGAGGCGGATCACCCATAGAAGCCACCTGTGAAGAAGAGGAAATAACTGTTGGCGTCAGAAGTTGCACACCTCCTCCTCCACCCTTGACCGGACTATTTATATCGTTCGCGGCTTGATGTCCACTGGTTACTATTTGATCCCACCCTTCCGCTTTAGAAGTATTGTTCCTGGTGGCTCGGAACAGCGCTGGCGGACTCTTCGCGCCGTCGTCCACGATGACGTGCTATCAAATGCAAAAGTGTCTGGGTCTGGAAGGATGTAACTTGTGATGCTGCCTTTGGATTCTACAAAAATCTGCATTGCATGAACAGCAAAAGAGGCCCAGCTTTTGCGACGGCGAGGGGGTATTTCTCATGCGGTATAGGCATCAGGAAGCCATCACCAAATCTGTGATGCTAGGTCATGCATCACAGACATCATGGGTCATGCCGAATATGCATGACGAACCTGGCAATCTTCCAGACCCAGACATTTTTGCAGTTGATACGTGCCAGAAGAATTTCACGCCGTTGTCAGAGTTCAGCAGGGAGAGTAGCGCCTTCGCGGATTTCTGCAACACGAGCATTATATCCTGTGCAAAAGTATCGCACTCGTACTAATTGCGTTTATGCATTACAAATCTTTTTTTCAAGGCAAATCCGCATTACAAATTGAAATTTGTAGTGCTAAGTCAATTTGTAATGCATAACGAGTACGATGCTTTTGCAGTTCATACATTACTCCGGTGAACAGATCCTCCGTCTCGTCAAATATCGGCGCACAGCAACACAGCGACCCAACGGACGGAAAAATTTCCATGTAGTCCATCTGGACCGCCTCCACGCAGCTGCGGTACAGGTTCAGGCCGAACTGGCGCCAGTTCTTCAGCCGAAAGTGCTATGGAAGCGTCAGGATTGAAATCGTCAAAGTTGAAATAATTTGTGACGCATAAAATGCAACCCACAAAGTACCTGTCTTGCAGAGTAGACAAGGGAGGCAGATTGCAAGCCTGTTGAGGGGTAGAAATAGAGCTGCTAAAGTAGCATGACAAAACGCGTCTTCCTTACCCAAACAGCATGACAAACTGGATTTAGGGACCACCGAAATTTGTCATGCGCCACTTGGAAACTGGGTTCCGACTGGCATCCATTTTATGCATGACAAACAAGGTCCGAGCACGGGGACAGAGTCCCCGTGCGGCGACCTTCCGGCATTTGTCTGGGACGAGTTCGGGGGTTGTGGTGGCTGGCACAGGGCGGGCAGGCCCCTGCAGCTCGGTGCCTCTGTGTGCCCTGCGCTCCCTGATCCGCGACAGACCTACGGACGGAGCTCCTCAGCTTGCCCACACTAGATCCGCTGGCCCACCGCGAACAGTGAAACAAAGAGAAAAGAAAGGAAGAAGCTGGCGCCGGGCCGGGTGCCGATAGCACCGGCGCCGCGTCTGTAGCTGGCCCCTAGGTCATGACGCGGGGACCGAGTCCCCACGCTGACCGAGGGCTTCTGCCCCTGGGCCGTGCGGTTAGTTTCCGGGTGGGAAGGGAAGCGCCAGCAGCTGGCCCCTAGGTCATGACGCGGGGACCGAATCCCCGCGCTGACCCCGGGCTTTTGCCCCTGGGCCGTGTGGTTAGTTTCCGGGAAACGCCCACAACAGCTGGCCCCTAGGTCATGACGCGGGGACCGAGTCCCCACGCTGACCTAGGGCTTTTGCCCCTGGGCCGTGCGATTCGTTTCCGGAAAACGCCCAAAGCTGGCCCCTAGGTCATGACGCGGGGACCGAGTCCCCGCGCTGACCTAGGGCTTCTGCCCCTGGGCCATGCGGTTAGCTTCCGGGAAGCGCCAACAGCTGGCCCCTAGGTCATGACGCGGGGACCGAGTCCCCGCGCTGACCTAGGGCTTTTGCCCCTGGGCCGTGTGGTTAGTTTCCGGGAACGAAGCGCCCGCAGCAGCTGGCCCCTAGGTCATGACGCGGGGACCGAGCTTCCGCGCTGACCTAGGGCTTTTGCCCCTGGGCCGTGCGGTTAGATACTTTCCGGGAAACGCCTAAAGCTGGCCCCTAGGTCATGGCGCGGGGACCGAGTCCCCGCGCTGACCTAGGGCTTTCGCCCCTGGGCTATGCGGTTAGTTTCTGGGAAACGCCCGAAGCTGGCCCCTAGGTCATGACGCGGGGACCGAGTCCCCGCGCTGACCTAGGGCTTTTGCCCCTGGGCCGTGCGAGAGACCCGCTCTGGATACTTGAGCCCGCTCTGGATAGTTATTCGATTCGGATCCAGGTTAGCCTTCTGCTCTGGCTATTCAGTTTCTCTGCCCCCTGCTCTGGATGTGGTAGCCGAGGGCGCGCCGGGGGTTTGTCTGGGGTGTGTCGGGGGTGTCTTCCGGGGGTGCGAGACGGGGGTCTGCCTGGGGTGTGACGGGGGTGTGTGTGTCGGGGGTGTGTCTGGGGTGTGTCTGGGGTGTGTCGGGGGTGTGTCTGGGGTGTGTCCGGGGTGTGTTCGGGGTGTGTGTTGCAAATTGCAAACCACGATGCTACGCAGCCACTTTGCATACCCCAGAACACACCCCAAAGCTTCAGCAGTTCTTGTCGGGGGGGTGTGTCGGGGGTCTGTCTGGGGTGTGCCTGGGGTGTGTCCGGGGTGTGTTCGGGGTGTGGCCTGCAAATTACAAATCACGATGCTACGGACCCACTTTGCATACCCCAGAACACACCCAAAAGCTTCAAAAGTTCTGGCTTGCTGCAGTTTAAATAGTAATTATTTCAACTTTGTCGATTTCAACTCTGACACATCCATAAGTGCGCCTTGGCGTTCAGGAAAAGAATCCGTCCGTGCACACAGCCGGCGCTCTTTATCCACCAAAAAAGATCCATCCCCAACATCCATGAACTTGTCATGCAAGAAATCATAGTCATACATCAAATTTGAATCCGGTTGCTATCTGTGATGCAGAAAATGGATGGAAATGGGTGTAGTTTTTTCCTCGATACACTTCTCCGCGATTCGGTCGCAGTCTCGTGAGCAGGAAAGAAAGTCTTTCATGCGGTACCGAACGATTGCCCGCTGGTACAGCCAGGAGGTGAGCACTTCGATGGACGCGGTGTGGCCCTGCTGTTTCAGAAAGTTGGTGAGAATGGTTTCGTAGTCTCGGTTCGTCTTCTCTCGTGGTTTTTTATGGGTTGACGAGGAGGAGGAACTGCTGGACGGGTTGTGGACGACTTTCTGCGTCTGATGCCGAGCTGCGTCAACAACAACATCTCCGCCGCGCTGTTTTGAAGGGGTCATGATCCCGCCGGGGTAAAAAGAACCAAGTTTCCCCGGGCTGCTCTTTGATGGGGACGAAGTGGTGCTCCTACCGCCCGTTGGCTGCGGGGCGGGCATCTTTATTCGATTCAACACCGGCTCGTGCGTGCGGCGAGAATTTTGTACGTGGTGTTGACAACTCGAGTCTTCCCTCGCTCCCACGGGGCGTGGCGGTTTGGTCGCGTCTCCTCCGGTGCTCAACGATATGAAGCCGCTCCTTCAATGATCTTCACAGGGTGGTCGAGAGCTCGCGTAAATCTCCTCATTAAAAACCATGTTGAATGAAGTTTGTCATCAAGTAGGAGCAGAAATCATTCACCTCCCTTCTGAGTCAACAAAAGAGCAGTTGTGCCGTAATACTTCTCTCTTTCTCGACGTGACTACGTCCGGGCACATTTCTTTCCAGCTATTAATTTGTACCTCTTACACGACTCAAACCTCAAGGAACTCTTCACAGTACGACACCTGCTGCGATGAAGATGTAAAGGCACTGACCCTGCTCCGACCTGCTCACTCCGACTCTCACTCTACAACGGCAAACGCAAAGCATCTATATTATCAAATCCCTCTTCTTTCTACAAAAGAGGAGGACAGGAGGCCAAGAAACACCACGAAGAATTGTGTCTCTACATGCGAAAACGACGACGACGACGACCAGCGCCTAGGTAGCCACCCGTGGAAGAAGCGGAAGCACCACCTCCAGGTACGACGATGGCCAGACCACGAAATGGAAATGCGACGCAACTACTAACTTCCTAATTCTTGTATCCACAGAAGTGACGCCGCGAGTTTCCGACTGAGTTTGATAAATAACACAACCGCCGCAGTAAACTTCTAGTTCATGAACAGTCAACGCAATGAATTGCGGGTTTCAACAGTCTTGTCGTCCCGACTGTTGGTGCTTCGAAAGCAGGACGAGAGGTTTTTTCTCTGTAGTTACGGATGATCTTATGTGCGATTTTCTGCTCTTGCGAATAGTCGTTTTGAACAAAGAAAAATCATCTTGACATCATTTTTGCGCACTCGTACAAATACAGTCCTTTTCGTCTTTTTGAAATTCGTGATTAAAAATTACTTACTTCTCGAAGAAGCAGAAGGCCTGCTCAACTCTTATTCATCTGAAGAGTCGTCACCACGACCTGCAACTTGAAAAAACGAAGCCTCCGCTTCCTCCTCCTCGTCTTCCAAAATCAGCTTTGGCTCGAAAGATTCTGTGCCGCTTTTCGTACTGGTTTCTTTCCGTTGCATCGTCTTCGCCCCCGGGGGAAGCGAAGCTAGCATTGGCGCGGGTGGCGGCGCGGGTGGTTTCAGCAACTTGTTCTGCTGCATCTGGTGGCTCGTGGTCGTTGACGCATTTTTCTCTGCAAGATCTACTCTTGGCGCCTGCACATCGCGCACGAGAACAACCTTCGGAATTTTGACCAACGGAGGAGGAGCTTGTGGGGGCGGGTCGCGTGCTGGAGGGGTTTTAGTTTTTTTACTACTCCCAGACGTTCTACTTCTTGGTCCGGCGACGGGGGCAGCTGGTGCATTGGAGGTGGTCGCTTGAAAATGTGGACCACCACCTCCTACCGGCGACGATCCAGCATCCGTCAAATCTTGCAACGCGCCCATCTCTTCGTTTTCTACTTCTTCGCTGTTCGCTATGTTACCGCTTCTTTTGCTACTTCTCCCCCGCGGCCCTCCGCTCCCACTACCTGCCGATTTGGAACGCTGCTTCTCGATTTTTTCCCTGACGTAGCCGTTTACCTCGGTGAGAATGTTGGTTTTCACGTTTTCCAACATGGATTCGATGACGTGCTTCGTGCACAGCTCGTTCTGTTCTTCGACGGCCTTCCTGGTTGAGTGAAACTGCTTCAGGTTCATCTGTTCTTGCCGGTTTTCGATGCGGAAACTGTATTACAGTGAAAAATGCCCCCACCCCCAAAGTTGCAAAAATTTCTGATGCGAAGTTTCCAAATGAAAACTTTTTGTCATGCATGAAAGGAGTATGAATCTTTCTGATGCAGGGTCTAGGCGTATATCGCATCGCTTGCATGACAAGCGCTGCTCTTGCTTGGATCATTTGCAATACAAATTTTTGCTATTCACGATTGGAAATCTGTGATGCTGATAGATGCAAGAGGGCGAGTGTTTCATTTGGAAAGGTTTGCAGTACAAATGCTCCCAAGTTCGCGGGTGGGGGCATTTTTCATTGTAATAAACTGAAAAAACTGTTCTTCCACTTCTGTTTCAGAATCGCGTAGGAGCGCGACTGCGTGGCGCTCGCCCGATAATTGGTGGAATTACTGCGCAGTTGTTGTGCTTGCTGCTGCGATTGGAAAGTGGACGGATTAGTGTTTGCATCGCCCCCGACGAGGCCTACATCGCCGTTAATATTTTCCCCTGTGCTGTCCCGCAGCTGTTGCTGTTGCTCCTTTTGCAACAGCAGCGACTCTTTCCTGCCCGCCGTGAGCATCATCTGCAGCAACCTCTCTTGCGCCGCGCGCATCAGTGTCCGCTGCACTGCGAGCTGCACCTTGTGGCGGCGGATGCGCGAGGACTGCTCGGGGAATTTCAACAAAACGTCCCTTATGAGAGTGCACAACTCGACGTCTCCCTTTTACGTTTACCCATCATTTGTGTTCTTGCAGGAAGAACACCAACAGCAATAGTACAACAAGCGTCAGCAATAAAATGCAGGCTTTGCATCACAAACTTGCACAGGAGAAGTGCAGTGCAGCTATTCGATGATCTACTAGAACTTGGCATGCTAACTACAGTGCCAAGAGGCTGCAAAGTCGTGTGGAAGTGGATTTCGATTTGGTATTTTGCACGACAAATTATGCGGGGTACGACGAGGGAGACCTCCAATTGTGCATTCATTCTCATATCGTTCAGCTGCTTGCGCGAAATCGCCGACGCTTCCACGTTATGCATTGCAAAAGTATCGCACTCGTATAAATGCATTACAAATTTCCTCAGCATGAGAAATATATAAAATTTGTAATGCTGATTCACCTCAAGAAAAAGATTTGCAATGCATGATTGCAATACGAGTACGATACTTTTGCACAGGATACACGTAGGTCATGGCGAAGCCGGAGTAGAAAGACACCAGATCCGGGTGGTCCAGCAAAATGTCCTCCCCCCAGCAGCTATGCATTGCAAAAGCATCGTACTAGTAGAAATCGCATCACAAATTCGGTCAGCATGACAAATGGAATTTGTCATGCTGTTGATGCCTCGGGATGGAGATTTGTAATGCATGACTGCGATTGCTACGAGCACGATACTTTTGCGCAGGGTAGCAGCCGCCCACCCGGTACACGCAGTTGTTCACCAAGGTCACGCCCGTATGGAGGCGTCAAGATTGAAATCGTCAAAGTTGAAATAGTTTGTGATGCATAAAATGCAACAACACAAGAGTGCCTGTCTTGCAGAGTAGGCAAGGGAGGCAGATTGGAAGGCTGTTGAGGGGTAGAAGTAGAGCTGCTTAAGTAGCATGACAAGAGGCGTCTTCCTTACCCAAACAGCACTACAAACTGGATTTAGAAGGTACCACCGAAATTTGTCATGCGCCACTTGGAATAAACTGGGTTCCGACTGGCAACCATTTTATGCATGGCAAATCATTTCAACTTCGTCGATTTCGATCCTGACAGTTCCATAGCCCGCCCGCATCACGTACAACACCTGGGAATCGCCGATCGGCTCGCCCTGCGCGTAGGTGATGGGCTTCAGCGCCATGCAGATCGCGGCCAGCAAATCGTAGTCGACGTCGGACAGGAACACCACCCGCAGCATGAAGGCCGCGTGCATGGTGATCGCCACCTCGGCTTGCAAAGTCGGGGACATCTTTATCCAGGACAAAACAACCATCCACATCAATTTTATGCATGACAAACGTAGGACTCACTTCGTACATGTTTTGCACGACAAATTGGATGGGGATGGTTGTTTTTTTGTGGATAATCTTCTTGAAAATCTTCTCGTAGCTCTGCTGCGACTCCCCAATGTCCTTGGTGTGCTGGAAGAACTGCCGCAGCCGCTTCCGCAACGACTCGTCCACGTCTTTTTCGCGCATCATGCGATTCAGGTCGTCGATGGTCTCGATGAATTTCCGGTCTTCCGCGGTCCGGTGGGAGATCAGGCCGTGGTATGAAATGCAAAAGTAATATCGGACAGACGCTGTAACTAGAACTACATTAGCATGCTTTGATTTCGATTTGCATAGCATGACAGGCTTCTTAGCTGCAGGTGCAGGTAGAGAGCAGCATTACAAATTTAATTCTTCGATATTTTTTCTACTTGTAGAATAAATTTTTATGCAAGCTGTAGTTGCAGTACACGACGTACTAACACGAACACGATCATGCTTTTGCATTGCATACACACGCGAACCCGACAATAGAAGCCCAGGTGACGCCGGCGATGAACATGATCAGGCAGGCGATAAACCGCTCTCCGGTGTATCAACGGCAAAAACGTCTGGGTCTGGAAACTTGTGATGCAAGACAGTCAATAACAAATGCACTGTAATGCGCCGCCAAGCATAATATGTTTTTTCTTTTCGTGCTTCTGTGCTGCGTATTTCGCATGAGAAACTGTGTTTTTGCATGGCAGGCGAGAGAGGCTGTTTGTGGCCACGCAATACAGATTTAAGGGCCATGCCAGATCAGCATGACAAGTCTCGCAATCTTCCAGACCCAGAAATTTTTGCAGTTGATACGGTGTGCGTCGGCACAATGTCACCGTACCCGATAGAGGTGAGCGTCATCAGGCTGTAGTGAAGCGCCCCGACGTAAATCTGGAACGCGTTGCCCAGACAGCTGTTGCACTGCTGGCACGTTAGCGGCGACGAGCACACCGTGCACTCGCAATACTCCTGCACCCAACTGACCCGGCGCCGCCCCGTCGACGGCAGCGCGTGCGGGGTGGTCTGGAACTCAATCAGGGAACGGAGGTGGCGCCGAAGCTGTTGAGTCGCAAAGGAATCCTCCGAGTTGTCGATCTCGTAGTTCTTGGTGTGGGGGAAACTTCTGGTATCATCTAGCGCAGACGGTCCTCGTGTTCTACTATTGGTATTGCTTCTTGCGGCAGTTGTGGTTGCATCAGGATTCTGTCGAGGAAGATCTCGCCCCGTTCGCAGCTCTTCCTCCTCTTCTCCAACATCTATTTCACTTTCGTCGGCGATGTTGAACGGGAAGTTGTAGAGCCACGACAAAAAACGTGAAACGCCAGTTCTTTCCTCGATTGATGTTTCTGTTTCTCCGCCGCCCGTGTCCGCGAGCAGCTCCGCTTCATCTACCGAAAAAGCTGAAAGCGGATTTTTGCTACTGCTTTCCTCCGGTGCTCCTGCAGAGAAAATGAAACTGTCCCCGACGGATTTTCTCGTGCCCCAAGCCTGGATGTCCAGCGGATTGGTCAGATAAGAAAGCGGGTCGTTGCGGAAATAGTCAAACCATAATGCTGCAGAAGATGCTAGTGCATCTTCATTTGATATTTCAATTTCATCTGGGGGGGATATAATTCCAATCCGGGTCGTGGTGGCTGTTGATCCATTTGCTTGTTTCCCTTCTTGTTGCTCGGAATTTCTATCTTTGTGGGCGGCGGGCGGGAGCCCTGGTAGTATGGAGTCAAATTGAAGATCATCATCGTCGTCCTGTTGCGAAGATCGACGTTGTTCTCGTCGTTCCGATAAAGACCTGGAGCTGCTGCGGTGTGTCGTCGTTTCTGTTCCAGCCCCTGGCTGCGCCTCCGCTCGGACGTAGTAGTCAACATCGGCTGCACGAAAACTATGGTCGTCAGACATGTCCGGCCCCAGCAAGCTCCGGCTCCGGAGCACGCTGCCACCACTGCTAGAAGTACTACCAGTACCACTACTTCCGCTGTAGTTGATATGGAACTGTCAGGTTTGAAATCGTCAAAGTTGAAATAGTTTATTGTCATGCATAAAATGCAACGCAGAAAGTGTCTGTCTTGTAGAGTAGGCAAGGGGGGCAGATTGTAAGCCTGTTTTGGGGTAGAAATAAAGCTGCTGAAGTAGCATGACAAAAGGCGCCTTCCTTACCCAAACAGCATGACAGACTGGATTTCGGATCTACCCAAATTTGTCATGCGCCACTTGGCAACTGGGTTGCAACTTTCATCCATTTTCTGCATTACAAGTTATTTCAACTTTGTCGATTTCAATCCTGACACATCCATAGTTGACGAGGTTTCCATTCACGAAGAAGTCTCCGCCCGCCCGTACGCCGTACGCTGCCCAGACGCAGGCCAGCCAATGCGCCGCGAGAACTAGGACGCAGAGAAACTGGAGCAAGAGGGACAAGCTGTGGCTGATCTGAATGTGGATGGATTTATCGCGCACAAACTTCATGGACTTCATGATTTTGCCCAGCCGCAACAGCCGCAGCGCCCGGAGCAGCCCGGAGCCCTCCCCCGCCTGCGCGGTGAAGGTGTACCCGGCGAGCTCGAAGATCCAGAAGGGGAATACGAGCTATGCATTGCAAATATGTCTGGGTCCTCTGGAAAGAATGTTGGGATTTGTGATGCTAGCTGGCGATCTTCACACAAAAATCTGTATTGCATAAAAGGCAAAAGGCGCTCAGATTGTTGCCACTCAAAGAGGGCACTTCTCATGCAGAATCGGCATGAGCACCAAACCTTTGCGAAAGCTGTGATGCTAGAGAATGCATCGCACTCGCAGGCAAGCGGAGGCCATGCACAATTTGCATGACAAACTCCCCAAATCTTTCAGACCCAGACATATTTACATTTAAATACGGCCAAGAAATCGACGATAAACCAGGTTTTGATGTAGTTCATCGCGATCTTCCCTTGGGTATGCATTGCAAACATGTCTGGGTCTGGAACGTTGAAACTACTTGTGATGCTGTCTTTGGATCTTAAAAAAGAATTGTATTGCATGACCAGGAAGAGGAGTCCAGTTTGTGCTAGTCGGGAAGGGCATTTGTCATGCGGAATAGGCATCAGCAAACCCTTTAAAATCTGTGATGCTAGGTCATGCATTACAAGCATCATGGGTCATGCAAAATATGCATGACAAACCTGGCAATCTTCCAGACGACCCAGACATATTTGCATTTCATATTGTGAAACGATCAGAATTTGCCGGCCCGCAACCGTGTTCACGCGGTACATGAGGAAAAAGTGCATCACCTATCCTGAGTAAAAACGTACCCACACCAGAGTTGTAACGCAGATTTGCAAAGACTGGAAGACTTGTAATGCGCATCCCCATGAGAGCCATTTCCAATCGTGTTTTGGAATTTGTGATGCTGTGAACAGGATCAGCAGGTCGATTTGCGATGCGGCTTTGCTTGCTAACTGGCACTACCTTACAGACTGAGACTTGTCATGCGTGACTCCCAAAACTCCTAGGTTTGTGTTGCAAAATCCCCATCTTGACTCTGGTGTGGGTACGTTTTTACTCAGGATATCACCAGGTCGACAAAAAAGACGAAATCGATGACACGGCTGAACCAAAACGCAAAGCCCCCGATCTCCAGGTCCAGCAGTGCTGCTTCGTAGGGGGTGAAGAAACACACAACGACGAGAAAAATGGCGGATATCGCAAAGAAAAATCCCCCCTCCCCATATCGAAAAGAAAACTTGCGATGCTAATTTGTGAACACAAATCAGCTCTGTCCTGCATACAAGGCCGCAAACGGCACCTCCCATGTGGCCCATTTTACAGCGAGTCTGTCATGCGTTTTTGCCTATGTCGGACCTGTTTCTCATGCTCACCTGCTAGCCGGATGCGTAGTACCCAAACAGGCTTATAATACGCCGGAAAGCTCTTGCAGCAATAGAAAGCCTATCTGTATACACAAATCTAGCAACACAAATTGTCTTTTGAATACTTATGGGGTGGGGGCTTTTTTCACTTTGATAGCGGAGGTGGTTTGCACGGTCGCCGCAAAGCGGCTGTCGTCCTATGCATTGCAAATGTGTCTGGGTCTGGAAAGAATGAATGGGATTTGTGATGCTAGTTGTCGGTCACACAAAAATCTGTATTGCAAGAGAGGAAAAAGAGACGACTCAGATTGTTGCCACCCGGAGGGGGCGTTTCTCATGAAGTTTAGGCATGAGCAAATCTTTGCGGGAGCTGTGACGCTAAAGCATGCATCAGAGGCATCGGATTCGGAAGCCATGTACAATTTGCATGACAAACTCCCCAAACCTTCCAGACCCAGACGTATTTGCATTTGATACGTCCGGGTTGATCACGTACTGGTTGCTCCGCGACTGGAGCGAAATCCGCAACGAGTCCGCCTCCCGAAAAATTGTTTCGCGTCTGGCATTATCCTGTGCAAAAGTATCGCACTCGTAGTAATTGCAGTCATGCATTTACAAATTTTTTTGCTCAAGGTAAATCCGCATGACAAATTTCATTTCTCATGCTGAGGGAATTTGTCATGCATTTATACGAGTACGATGCTTTTGCAATCCATAGGCATCAATGTTGGTCGGCGTTGGCGGCGAAGCGGCTCTAGAAGTACTGGATGTTGGGTGTAGTGGTTGCAGCTCGGTAGACCCCCGGGTTGTAGAAGTAGCACTTATTATTTGCGGATGTTGGTTCTTTGGTGCGCGTGCGGAACTTGTTCCACCTCGACGGCCATGCTGCGCATTCGGATCCGAGCTGTTGTTTGTCACGAACCAACCCATATCCTGTGCAAAAGTATCGCGCTTGTACTAATTGCAGTTATGCATGACAAATTTCCCTTCCAAGGTAAAACAGCATGACAAATTCAATTTTTCATGCTGAGAAAATTTGTAATGCTATTTGTACTAGTACGATGCTTTTGCAATGCATAACCCACACGGGAAACCGTGTTCTCGGAAAAAGTCGGCAGTTTGTTTATAACCTGCTCAGGTGTTACAATCTCAAACGGTACAATAGAATCTGGAATTTGTATTGCATGAAGACAGAGCATGAGGAACGCTGAGAATATTGAGCTTTTCGCAATACAAATTTTGCCGGATTTCAGACGGGTTTGGGGCTCCGAAACTTGTCATGCGCAATCCTATGACAGTTGGCTAGATCATGCACTCCTGCATCACAGATTTCCATATTCTATTGGAACGTTTGAGATTGTAACACCTGAGCGGGTTATATTGTTTGGCCCTTTTCGGAGGTTCATCGACGCTTGTCCAGCGCCCTTGTTCGAAGAAGGAGACGAACCTAGCCCGAGGAGGTTCTGCGTCCCGTGAAAGACTTTACTCGAAGAATTGGAAATCTTGTCGAAGGAAGCGTCCAAAAAACTCTTTTCTTTGCTGTTGGACCGCTCTATGTCGGCTATCTTCTTGTGGTACTTCTCCAAAGCGCCGGCGGTCTATCCTGTGTAAAAACGTCTTCCCCGCCCCAGCAAATGCGTCGTGCTAGTCTGCACACTTAAAATGTAGTTTCTCATGCGGAGCCCCATGAGAAGCATTTTCTAGCAGTTTTTTGGACTTTCTGACGCTCGAATTCGCCTACTGCGCTATGGCTGTGATGCTGCTGAGCTAGCTTAACAGAATCACGATTACGCCGCCAGGGCCAGCTTTGTCATGCGCAAGAACCAGCAAAGCTGGCTGATTTATCTAGCAGATTTTCCATCTTGACTCTGGGGCGGGGTCGTTTTTACGTCGGATATATTCATGGTCGTCTTCATCTTTTTCGCCTGGGCGCGCGTCACACCGACGGAAAGAATGCCTCCAGAGGACGCCATACTGCAGCCGAGCGGACGAGAGTCGACTTTTTCTTCACAGTTCCTAGATAAAGGACACGACGACCTCTAGGTGGTCACGAGCAGAGCCAGAAAAACCTCAACCCAGTTGCTCAATATGACGCCTGATATGTAGAAGGTCCTGTAGCTAAGTACTATGTAGTAGGGTCGCGGAAGCTTTACTTGAGCACGCATTTTTTATGCGCAACGGGGAACGAGCAGTTTGATGACAGACGAGGTACTCACTTTGACTCATGGTAGAAATGGGGGGGACAAAATGTTGTGCCTGTAATCACGTTAATCATGACTGGAAAAATTCAAATTGGACGTCCGAGTTCCGAACTCGTTTGATATGTTGAATCAACGAAGGTGGTAACAAGTAGGTTGGTTCCGGATGTCGACGACATAACAACAATGGAAAATACAAAAATATGAAGCACGACACGATTTGAAAAATGAGAATGACCAAGACAACCTGGACCTGCATGACTCCACGAGCAAAATACTTTACTGCATCCCAGTACTGATTTTTGCACGGTGCGTGACGACCAAGCCAGAGCGAACGTCTCAAGATCAGAAAAAGAACGATATCATGCTCTTGCAGACGTCGAGAAACCGAGAAGGAGCAACGCAGCGGCATTTATGTTTATGGGCGTTGTAACTAAATGTACTGCTATTACCACCGACACATAAGAGACTATTACCACCGACACTAATAGATAGGCACTTCCTCAAACAAGAAGCCGAATGCGCGTTTTCTTTGCTTCCACGAAGATTTGGCGCACCAGAAGGCGCATCTCAGAAATTAAAACAGAAACCAAATGGCAAATAATAATATACTACTCGTGTACAACAACTAGAACTACTTAATATAATGTTAATAAAGATAAAAAACCAACGCTGATGCTCAGTGAACGACCTGCACGACAGCAAAACTAGGCCAGTACGGAAAGTGCGACTAGAAAAAATTGCATGGTGGACACAAAATTTTGTACATGTGCGATTTCGCCATCGCCGTCTCATGTTTTAGTATGTGGAGTACAATAGGGCTAACATTGTCGGACCGCTGTCTGTCGCAGGAACCAAATGAAAAAAAAAAAAACATCGATGACGAAGCCGAATGCACATGGCAGCGATTATGGGACGAACGATCATAACATTGTAACTTAGAAGTGGAGAGCCATAGTTTAGGAAAGCAGAGACAAAGTGAAAAAGCGAAAATATATAGGAAGAAATACGCATACACACACTGTTGCAACGAGCTGATGAGTGTGTCCATTTAGATGATATAGAAAGAAAGATGATCATAGTAGTGATGAAGTTGACAAGTTATTAAGATTAAGAACCTGATACAAAAAATACTTAAAAATGCAAGTGAGTATAGCTTTAGCCATAGCTTTCTTAATGGGGGTGTTCCGCTGTCGTGGATGCGCTCGCAGGGCCGGTCGCAGCGGGGGAGACCGGCAGCGGCAGGGCGAGAAAAGATCGTGCAGCAGCATGCTCATCCTGCACCTTAACTGGCGCAAGCCATAGTGCTCGGCAAGATAGTTGCAGAGTATCGTGTTCATCGAGTAGCCCTTCCACGAAGACCGTGCCGAGATTCATGACCTCGAGCACCATCGTCTCAGCGAAATCATTCAAATGACACACTGGCGCGGGCGGGTCTATCCGCAGCAGCGGCGTCACGCCGTTCGGCTCCATCAAGTGTATCCGGCGGGGATCTTCCTCTCGGGGAGCGGGATCGCAGCCATCCTTGAAATAATAGCTCCCGTCGAGAAACGTCGACTCCGCGACGATAATGACGGTACGACCGTATAAAGTTTCGTCCTGCAAGATTCGGTCCGTAAAACCATAGAAAAAATCGAAACTCCCATTGGCTTCACTTTCAACGAACGACCCGTCATTCATCATGGGAACACCCGCCCACTCATATCCGTCTCTCCAGCTTTTTTTGTCAGATACATCATAAAATTGTGCGAACTCGCCTCCCAAGGTTTGATCGTCTGGATTTGGATTAAAATCAAAATCTTGGATGAGTCGGACACTTTTAAACTTTTCGTGATTTTTCCACTCCGACCAGTCGGTTCCGATGTTTTCGATGACAGGAGGCGCGTGTGGTTCTACTTTTCCATGACGAGAAGTCATTGGCCTCAACTCAGAAATCAGTCTGATTTTATTTTTCGGCAACGCCCCGCCTTTTTGTTTTTTCCTATTTTCGGACGTGAAGTCTGGGACGTCGGCCCCCAGCAAAAAAGAATCCAGAGTCTGCATCGCACGCAACATCGGGGACACGAAAAATATCACATCCTTGAAAAACGTTTCCGGATCCTCATGCAACGTCTTCTGCACGTACTCCGTCACAAAATTTTTCCCGGCTTTCCTGGTCATCGCTTCACCCATGCAACCGGTCATGACTTCGGGCGTTCTCCTCGGCTTTTCGTCCCGTGCGCCCGCGCCCGCGCCCGCCGGGCACGTCTTACTATTCTCGGTGGTCAGTGGCGGATCGGGGACTGCATTTACAGAATTTCTTTCAAATTCCCCAGTACCTATTAGAAGGATGCGCTTCGGCATGAGGGGCCAAAGCGCCTGACAAGTCGGCTTTTCCCTTGTTAGTCCTGCTTGATTCGTGATCTCGAAAACCTCAGAGACGTCGAGCAGGTTGATCTCCTTTCGAGAAAAGGGCGTCCCATCAAAATCCTTCAACTTTATTATGGGAATGAAAAATATTCCCTCGTCCACCCCTGCCACACTGCGACCAAGGCTCTCACTCGAATAGATCCTGTCGCGGGGATGCGATAGATTTTTTACTCATACGGGATGCATATTTATTATTGATGGCCACAGATATAGATAACGGCCAATCTTTCTAATACTGCCATAGCCAAGCTATCTTCCGTCCTGTAAGGATAAGCCGACGTTGTTGCAGCTCTTTGTCAAGCTGATGAAGCAAGGTTTTCGGTTCCTGATTCTGCAAGGGGAAAACATAAAAAAAGGGTAGGTCATTCATTGTATCTATTGACATACTGAGGACCACGCTGGAAGTAGCTGCGCCTGCGGCATAGAAATGCTATTTAGACGAGAACTCTCTCCGAAAAACTCCAGCCTTTACCGGCGTTTCGGCCTGTGAAAGTCCTTCGTGCTTTCGTAGCTCGACATTCACTACGCGCTTCTCTGTGGCATGAAGCTGAGGTAATATAATAGTGTCCTTTCTCTATTGATATCGACTCCGTTTAGATTGTCAAAACCCATGGAACCATCTTTCCAGGTACCACCTTTCGCGTCCAGGAAGACCGGGTCGGTGACGATCAGAATCGTGTGCAAGCCCGATAGCCTGGCTGCGCGCTCGTCGATAGCCTTAGCATCCGTGGTCGCGGGTACTGCCACTAGGTCCCGCAAAAACTGGAAGAATACCCCAGCGTCTTCGCCAATTCTTCCTGCAGCATGTGCCGTCCAGGGATTAGTTTCCAGCGGGCCGTAAAATTCAGCGTATGGATATTTGCCTTGGCGCCAACCCGCCAAGAACCGAATGTTGTGAAAAGGTGATGCATATAAGTTGTACCAATCTCCAAACGGGGTGCCCTTGTTGTTAACAGGGTAAGTGTCGTGACCTATTGGGCGCAGCTCCGGAGCGAAAAATATGCGCGGTATCTTCTTCTTCTTCTCTTCCGCTCGAGGACGCTTTTCGGGAAAAAGCAAGCCTGGCTCCGCGCCCTGCAGGAAAAAGTCCAGAGTTTGCAGAGAGCGAAGCATTGGCGAGCAGATGAAAACAGTCCCGGAATCGACCACGACCTGGCTCGACTCGTGGTGTTCTTTCCTTTTGCTTTGAACGTGCGCAGCGAATCTTTCCCCAGCTGCCTTCGCCTGTTGCTTTCCAAAAGGAGAGAGCGGCGCGTCTTTGGCTGGGCGAAACGGTCTTTCATAACCCGAGCTCCAGGCCGCGTACCGTCGTTCCATAAATGTGGGCTCCTCCGATTCCGTATAATCACCAGTTCCCATTATGTAAATTTTTGGTTGTTCTTGCCCCTGCGGCCGAGATAAGCTGGCACTTTCTACTGCAGCTTCTGCTCCTGGCGAACTTGCTGCTGCTGCAGCAGATCCGTCACCGCCACCACCAACATCGGCTCCGTCGCCTCCACCTGCTGGAGAAGCTGGAGGGCTACCTCCACCTCCTTCTCCTCCAGGCACACTTGTTGAAGGACCCGCAGGCGCACTTGGACTTGCGGCTGCCAATCCTGATGGCAATTTTGAAGCTGTTTTTTGTTCTTGAAAAGTTGGCACTTTTGAAGCTTGCGGCTCTTCCGGTGGCACCTCGTCCCCGGCCGCTGGAAATAAAAAAGGATCATCACCAACACGATCAGCACGAGCTGGAGTAAGGCCGTGGCTCCCGCCGCCATCGCCATCTCCGCCTCCTCCTCCTCCCTGCCCCCCGCCATCTACGTTTATCCTTCCGCTCGGCCGCAGTGTTGCGGGATCTGCAGGAAGACCACCACCTCCTCCTCCTCCTCCAGCGACTTCTTGTGGGGGACGGGTTGCAGCTCCTCCACCCGCACGTCCACCTCCACCTCCTGCATTCGCTCCTGGTCCTGATGCAGATTCTTCTACAATAGGCGCACTGTGGGCCACGGGTGTCGCAGGAGGTCCTCGTCCACCTCCTCCGCCTGGCCCTGCACCTTGTCGACGATCAGCAGGACGAGCGCTTTCTTCGCTGCCTCCGTTTTTGTACCCGCAGCACTGGTCGTTGTCACGGTCAAAATTCTTTGAGCTGGGGGCCACTGGCTGCGTGGTTCTTGCTCCGCCCGCGCCACTGTTGGCACCATCGCCTCCATTGCCACTTCCTGCTGCTTGAGGCGGCGCCAAGGTGTCTTTTTGCAACGCCGAGTTACTTCGAATCGGCTCGTCGTCCGTGCCCGCGCGCGCGCCATTGCTCGGCCGCTCCTGCGCATCATCATCCCCAGGGTGGCTGGCTGCTGGCGGCGCTGAGGGCAAGGTGTCTCGTTTTTGTAGTGCCGAAAAGTTTGCAGTTGCAGGATCATCATCCGCGCTCGAACGCACGGCATCTTTGGATTTTGCACCATCGTTTCCCTGGTTTTGGCTGGTGCTGGCTACTGGCGCCGCCAAGGTGCCTTGTTTTTGCAACGCCGAGTGTGCCGGATCGCCATCCGCGCCCGGACGCTCACCATATTTAGACTTCGCATCATCATTTTGGCTGCCGGCTGCTGGTGGCGCAAGGGTGTCTTGATCTTGTTTTTGCAAAGCCGAGTTTACCGGATCGTCAACATTCACGCCCCCGCGCACACCATTTTTGGACTCTGCATCACCATAATTTCCCTGGTTTGCATTGCTGGCTGCTGGCGAAGCCACGGAGGTGTCTTTTTGTACCGAAGCAATCGGGGCCGCGGGTTCTGGGTAAAACGAAAACTCATCATCGTCAACGTCCGGTTTGCGTTTGCCGCTGTCCTGCTTTTGTAACGCCAAATTCGTGTTAGGTTCACCCGCGCCCCTCGCATCGGTTTTTGACCCGGCATCGCCTCCATGGTAACTTCTGGCCACGGGCGGTGCCATACCGTCTTGTTTTTGTAGCACCGAATTCGCAGTAGCTTCTGCATCGTCCGCGCTTGCTTGCGCACCAGTGGTCGGATCGGCGTCATCGTCTCCATGACTGCCGGCTGCAGGCGGAGCCATGGTGTCTTGCTTTTCTGGTAATGCTGGCTTCGCAGCCTCGTCCGCGCCCGCCCCAGTTTTCGACCCAGCATCATCATCTCCAAAGTTCTTCTTGTTGGCTGTGGGAGGAGCTGCCCCCTCCAAGGCTCTTTTTTGTAACGCCGAATTTCCTGGCTCGACGTCCGCGCTCGCAGCATTTTTCGAACCGGTATCATCGTCTCCATGACTACTGGCTGCGGGCGGAGCCAAGGTCGTGTCTTCTTTTTGTAGTGCGGATTTTGCAGCATTTCTTTGGGCTTCGTCGGCGCTCGCGGCGTGCGTGGCCGTTTTCGGCATGGCATCATCATCTCCATGATCGCTGGCTGCGGGCGGAGGGGAGGAGTCTTGTTTTTCCAACGCCGCACTCGCCGGGCCATCTGCGCTCGCCTCATTTTTCGGCGTGGAATGATCATCTTCATTGTTCTTGCTGTCCGCTGCGGGCAGTAGAGCCAAGGCGTCATCTTCTTGCTTTTGCAGCGCCGCACTCGCCGGGCCATCCGCGCTTGCGCCATTTTTCATCGAATCGACAGCATCATCTACTCCATGAAGACTGCTAACTCCTCCCGAAGGCAAAGTCAAGGCGTCTTTTTCCAGCGCACCAAAAATCGAAGCCACGGTTTCTGGGTCAAACACCGACTGCTCGTCAAGGTCGTCGTCCACCCACTTGTCTATGCAAGACAAAAACTGTGTAAGCGTAAATCTGTGATGCAGAAAATGCAAAACAGTTACACTTGTCATGCTCGACATGCATGATCGGCTTCGGCCCGCTTCCTATGTGTTTTCCCTTCCTATCTGCGCATAAAAAGTTTTCCTGTCATGGCAGACAAACTTGTGATGCTGTTTTCCCAAAAGACTCACACTATATAAGTACAGTTTTTTTCTTGGATACTGTCGCTGCATTTTTCCACGTCCAAGCGCGAACCGTCGCCGCCGAAGCAGCCAAGCTCGAAGCCGGCGTTGCTCTGCTTTTCTTCTACTTCGTCCGCAGTTTGTTTGTAGTTCTTCATCTTGTCCGGCTGCACAGCCTCCACTCCCAGTCTGGTTGTGAAGAACATATCAGTGCTGGCGGGCAGTAGTAGGTGGAGGTAGGTACCACGAACAAAGGGCATCAAAGCGAAAATCTCATCGGAAGTAGATCTTGGAGCTTGTGCAGTAATTAAATCTACTTCGAAAAAGCAGCCTTTCTTTCGTCACGTTGGCTAATTTTTCAAGTCGAGCATTATAATATAGCTTTTCTACGTCCACAACAACATAACCCGCCAGATGAAGCAACTACGGAGTATGCCTTGTAGTAGAGGTCACAGTTTTCTTCGAAAATAAAAGAGGTGGAACAATTCAAATTCTTCACAAGCTGTTACAGGCAGCTTTATTGCATTTATTCCAAGAACTACACGAGCTGCCGTGAAGATTTTCTTGGATAGAGGTCGCGCCACTGAAATTCAGTACCGCTCCAGTAGCGGCGGAAACGAAGTTCATTTTGCGCGAAAACAAGAAGCGCCGGGCGGGGGAGGTTGGCCTGGTTCTCATGCTGGATGTCGTGGACAAACAGGATGTCTTCGTTGATGGCCCCAATAGTGATGAAATCCCGCTGCTCATCCTCATCGCGAAGAACGACGGAGGTCCCCCACGTTGTTCCTCGCTCGGCCGCGTCGGAGCAGTTTGGCCGATAGCTGAGGGGAAAGAGTTGTGTTGTTTTTGACAATTCATTTCGATTTCCTCCTTCATCTTCTTTTTCTTCCTCGCGCTCATCCGCAACGCGGCGCTCGTAGTAGATGGAGTCCAGGACGATCGTGTCTCAGTCGCAGTGGTTGACGCTTCAAAATCGATCCCCTGCTTGTGCTTCGCAATGCAGGAGGATTCTTGTACTTCGCCGAGGCGGGGGGCAAACAAGGGCTCATGTTTCGGTGGTTGATCTCGTCCTTCATCCGGGGCCGACCTAAAGTCAAGTTTTGTCAAATAAGAACCCAAATCCACAGATTTCAAGTCTACATCCGCCTAGAAGAGGATCCGAGGATCCAGCACGAGCACCACAAACAAGATATTTATTAGTAATTATCTGCATTCAACCAATGACCTACTTGCTTCAGTGTTGACTACACATCGTGCTCTGTAAGTCATCAATATCTCGTCGTTTTTGTTTTTTTTCATATGTGTGGAGGCCAGCATTTTGATTTTCTTGCGAAGCTCGGTGAATTCCCCAAAAAAATGCCTCAAAAGTAGAATCTAAATGTACTCAGGAATGAAGGTCGCCTTCCACTTGCAGGACTGGGTCCGCAGCTCCTCGCCGGACATCTCTTCCGGATGAACCCCGGACGGGGTTCCACTTGTTGACATCATTGCTTGCGCGGACTTGGAGCGAGAAAGCTGCCGGGACCGGGTCACCTTCTCGAGCATCAACTTTTTCGCGCCGGAAGACGTTGGTCGTCGAAGTGCTTGCACCGTGGTACAGCAAGCTACTTTTGCTAGTAGTGTCTTTGTAGAAAAAAACACTACTTTGCTTTCGGTAGAAGTCGGTGCTGCTCGTTGGCCGTCACATGCATAGAGGGTTCCTCTTGCGACAGTTGATGGCTGAAGTTGTTGTAGTGATTCTGTATCCCTTGTTCCGTGGAGTTCTTCTAGTTAGTAGAAAACTTCTACGAAAAAGGACGAGGACACTAAGAGAAGTAATTAACACCAGGGGGCGACGTGCTCGCGTAGAAGTCCTGCAAAAGAAGTTCTTGTTGCACAGACGACGACGGTGCTGGAGTCTTGGTGGACCTGGTGCACAACGAAGTGCAGAACCAGAACAAGAAAAAAATTTTTTGCACGTAGTATTTACTGGTCGTAGGTGTAGTAGCTCGTGCTGAACACGTGCAAGACGAAACCTAACAATGTGAATACAACGTAAAAATGGTAAAAGTGGAGACGAGGGCTTCAAGAAGGTTGTGAAAGTGGGGTTGAAATTGTGATTTGAACGAGGATTGGATATCGTGTTCAATATCCTACCTGATGAAGTAGAGTTTGGGAATTTATTTTCGGTCGAAGCCAGCATCAGCTATGTAGAAAGAGGGCAACGGCTTGCTCACGACCACACGATGGCTCTATGTTTGCACGATGAAGACTTCTGGCCACGCACGAGAAAGCCGGCATCTTGTGGCTGTCTTGCGACCGAGAGAGACAAATAGTTGACGGCGTTTTTGTGGCAGTACGATTATAATATTTTCAAACAGAAACACCACGACCACGACTTCCATCGTCCATCACAAAAATTACCGACTGCAAGTTTTTGGCTCACACCTTCATCTCGGACGAAATGATGAAATGGAAATCAGAGCTGTCACACAACAACCAAGCAGCTAAATAAGTAGAACCGAACGACAAATCAGCATTGCGTAGTAGTCACACCGAAGATCAAAACGATCTGCACGAAGCAGAAAACCGATTTTTGTCTTGTTCTTCGGGACAAAACGCACGTAGGGCGAGACCGACACACAACAAGAAGGAGCTACCTAGTGCTTTCAGGTATAGTACTTGCCTATCTGCTGGTCGTCATGGAAGATTCAAGAGGGGTTGATGTGTAGGTCGAAGTTGTAGTACGTGCCTACGCGCGTCTCCAACAGCTGGTAGTGCAGTGCGAGTATAAAAAATATGCGATGTGAAATAAACTAGCACTTCTACAGAAGTCTATTTTCTTTCATCGTCGTTAGATCAACTGCGTCGAAGAAAGCAGGACGAGCATCACAAACAGGGAAGGGCCTATATCAGTTCTTTCGTGGAATATTAGCATTACAAACTGCTTGGACTAACAACTTCTACGTTTGTTTTACACACGACGGACTACAAGAGACCGAGACGTCAGGACCCAACATCTTCACTCGAAATAAACGTTGATCGAAAATCGAAAAAATTCAAGGAAGTAGAATGGCCACGTGGTGCTGGGATCCAGCGGGGAGGTGTCGTGGACCACTGCCTTCTAGCTTTTTTTGCAAATTTTCGTTGGAAAACACTATTTTTATGCGAACTCGAGTTATCCACCGTGCATGCTGGCCTGCGACTTGTACGTATTTTTTTTTCCTGCTCGCTCCACCTGCCTCGGTCGTGTGGCACGTTGTATGTTGTCACCAAGCACCAGTTTGTTCCGCTGTACTTCCAAAACATAAAGCCTGTGTTCTTCTATTACTCGGTCATCATGATCTGGCCGCTGCTCACCCCAACCTGAAGGACCAGGAACGGTAGCGCAGGCGCCGGAAGAAAGTCTTGACCGGTCCTGCAGGTGGTGCAGAGTCCGACCTTTTGAACTCGATTATCACAGCAAAAAGCGTTAACGTTAACGGAACTTGTGATGCAGCAATGGTGCATCACAAAACATGCTAAAATTTGTAATGCACAGCATGCATAATGGGCTACATTTGTGATGCATGACTGCAAAAATCTGTCAAAACCGTTAACGTATAACACTTTTCTTTGTGATATCGATGTCGGCGATCTTCTTCCGGTATTTCGCCAGCGCTATCCCACAGAAAAAAGCTGGCAGGTCAGATTTGTAATGCAAAAATAAATACACAGAAAAATCTGTCATGGGCGAGGCCATAGCATGCTGTTTAGGGCATGCAGTGCAGATTTTTATTTTTTGTCTATTTATTTTTGCATTACAAATATGCCCTGCCAGCTTTTTTCTCTGGGATAAGCGCTCTGGTATGCTACGGAAAATTGATTAACGTCACCAGCAAGACCGTTGCCGTCCTCAATTTGAGTAGTCTCACAGTTACACAAACACATCAAACGCGGACGGTAGAAGAACTACAACTACACTATTTGATGCCATGCACACAACCATGAACATGATCCATGCAAGAAAACATCAATAAGTTGAGGTGGCAACAATCAAGCAGAAGCAAGATCTGCAGGTGACATCAAATCGAATGAGTTACACAGCATACTCGGATATGGATTGTAAAAATGTCTGGGTATGGAAGAATGCAACTTGTCATGCTGATTTTAAATTCTAAAAAAATCTGTATTGCATGGGCAGCAAAGAGAGTCCAAGTTTTGCTACACGGAAAGAGCATTTGTCATTCGGTATAGGCATCAGGAAGCCCTCACAAAATCTGTGATGCTAGGGCATGCGTCACAGATATCAGAAGTCATGCAAAATGTGCATGACAAACCTGGAAATCTTCCAGACCCAGACATTTTTACATTTGATATCGGAATTCAGATTTGACTTCCGATTCTTCGCTTGGGACAGGGTCATCCCGACCGAGAGAATTCCACCGTATATCGTACGAAAAAACTGTTTCACTGTGAACTTGTGATGCAGAAAATGGAACGCAGAACTATTTGTCTTGCTACACCAGCAAGACATTGGATTTTCAAGCGTGTTTTCCCTTGGGAAACGTGCATGGCAAATTTTCTGTGTCATGTGTAACAAACTTGTGATGCGGTTCTTGCAAAATGCTCACAGTGAAACAGTTTTTTCGTTGGATACCGTATTTGCTCCCCATAATGTTTGCTACTGCTCGCTCCTGCGCTTTGCGACCTGGAACGAAATTTAGATTTATCTACATAAACGATGAGGGACGAAACAAGAGGTTGCAAACTTACGAATTTATTATGTTGCTCTTTCGTGAAGGTCAGGATACGATACGGTGATAATGGGACTATGAAAACAACTGCTTGATGAAGAAAATTGAACGGCATGCTAGGGGTGGGGGAATTCTACTTGAGGACTGCTCTACAGAAAAACTTTGCTTTGGACAGACCGGCACAAGGGCTTATGCCTTTATGCTTTAGTATGTAGAAATTGAGCTTCTACTTGCACTTCATCACAAAATCTTCTTTAGGGACGAAACACAAGAAGACCAGCACTACCTGAACGACTGACGGAGGGAAACAAAAGAAAAGATGCCTAAAATCGAACTTGAAGAACGATTTTCAACACGAAAAGCTCCAGCAAATCACGATGCTTCAGTTTCGGACGAAGACGAAGTAACTGTAACTGTCGACGGAAATACGTCAACGTTTCATATCTTCAACAGATGTTGAACGGTGGCCAAAATGAATTTCTATTCAGCTTGTGAACGGAGCAGCAGGACGAGTGCCTACGTCGACACAACTTCAAACTACGGGTGACAACCAAGCAACACGAACAAGAACAGGAGACGTTTCCTGTAGTACATCGCAGTTCGACGTCCGCCCGCGAAAATTTTTCACGTGGCTGTGCTCTTAGTAGAGCTATTTCTAAGATGAATGTATGAAGAAGGTGTTGTAGTGCTATTTGATGAGTTGCGTTCTTCTGCTGGTGGGGCCCGTCCTGTCATCATAAGCAAGAGACGACCACGTATCTATGGGTATGTAGGTGTAGCAGCGCCAACAACGTCGTCGCTAAATCCTGTATGAAATTATGTATGGTGATGTAGTATTTATCGTGACTTACAACTACTTGTTGCAAAACAAAGTCTACTTCCCTAGGTGTCTACGATGCCGCGTGGGATTGATTCGCGCGCGTCGTCGTATGAGAATGACTTCTTTCCGTTGAAGGCAAGCAGGCTGTGCTTCCTATTTTGATAATTTCCGATGTGTTTATTCTTGCATCTTCGTCAAATTTTGTGCGTCGTGCTGGGATGCAGCAAGACCAGAGGGCACTTCCTTCTCTGTAGTTATTCCTTGGCGGGCTCGTTGTGGTCGACCTCGACGCTCTCAATATCGTCAAATAGAAAATATCCGGTCAGGATAGTTTTTGTTTTATTTTTGTTTTGTTCGACCACGTAGCAGTTGTGCGCCGGAGCATGTTCTTCAAATGCTATTTTTTCCGTTCCCGTTGTCGCGTATGCATCAAATACGCTGTGGCTATTTCAAAATTTATTGCAGTCCTCCGCCTCTAAACGCCCAATATCGATACCGCAGGCGATTCAGCAACAATCGAGCCGCCGACTTTGACCGCTCCGCTATGCTGCTAGTTTCAGAAAAGGTCGTCCCAGCTGCACCGGTAGTTGTATTTTTGCTGCCATAGAAATGAGCATAACTTTTGGAGTTGCTGCAAGGTCGTGAAAAGTAGCTATGCCCGCCGCTGTCTGCTAACTTCAGCAGCGGTCTATTGAGTTCCTCGTAGAACTCAATGTCTGCCACTTGCTTGTGGTACTTCGCCAAAGCCTGCGCATTCATGCTGGACTTTCTGCTTTTCGCCTTGCTCCGGGTAACCCCGACAGACAAGATGCCGCCGAAGGGACGCGGCATGGTAGGATTTTTGATGCAAAAGCAACGAATTACAACAACTATGTTGATGATACTGTCGAGAAATTGAAATCGAATCGACAGGTCGAGTTGCCCGAACGCCTCTGGAGTAAACGAATCTAATTCGTATGTAGTGGTGAAAAGAAAAATGCGGTCGTGCTGCTGAGTACAACGAAAAAAAAGGGGGTCTTCTACCACTGGGGAATGTGGCGTTTTTGTTATTCTATCATTTTCCTGAGAGTTTTTGTACTCGTGGTTCTTGGGAGGAGAATTACAGCTCCGCCTTGCCGTCCTGTATATGCAAAATCGAAGATGACACAGGAGCAGCGAGTTCATCTTTCCAACAATTGCTGGCGATGCAATGACATCAACAAACGCATCGTCCAAAAACTACTTTTAGACAATACACGCACGAGGAAACGACGACATTGGACGACAACGAAAAGGAAGATACGAACGGACACGGAGGCTTCTTGCAAGCAGTGGACGACGACGATGCAGCACCGATGTGAGTTTTCATTTATCATCATGGATCCTGGTATAAACACTACTTCTTTCTTCTTGCGCTCTAGCTGTATGAAAGTAGGGCGACGAGCCACGATGTGAAACGCTGACAAGAAGGATACGAGCTTTTTTCGTGCCTGTTCGACATCAGCACGGGCCTAACTTTCGCATGAACCGAGGCCCGCGATGAAAAAGTAGAAGAGGGTCCGACAACCTTCGTTTTTTGGTATTAAGGCGTGCAGCTTGGAAGTAGCGAAACAAGGGAAACATTAACATTCTCGGTAGCGCGCTGTCTTGTTTTAAAGGTGCAACTTCACTCCAGCAGCAGCGGACCTTCAAGTACACAAAACCTGAAGATGACAAAAAGGCAGTGCGTGATGCTGCTCCTCCCCCCACTGGGCATTTTCACGACTACATTTACAATTGTTGCTCATGCTGGTGCAAGGGAAACAATGATGTCTACTGGAAGATACTGGGCAGCCAACTGCTCGATATGCACACGACGCGGCCGCTTATCGATATCATGTGTAGAAGTAGAGGTCGTACTGCAATCGAACATGACGACACGACAGAGAATCTCGGAGACTTCGTTTTGCAAGCTACTGGGGTGCGGTGGGGGCTCATCCTCCAGCTCGTTATTTCCTTTCTTTCCGTCTCCTTCTTCCAGAGGTGCCCGTGCCGCCTTCTCGTCGCCCGTTTTTATCCCGAGAAAGTTCGTGACGAGCTGCCACAGGTTCTGCAGAGTTGCGAACGACAATCGGCTGTACGTCGTGCTTAGGCACAGGGTTGTTCCTTCCTGCCCCGCACACGACGACCACGCCGAGCCTTGCTGTAATACGAGTTGCTGCGCACACTGATACAACGCGACCGCGAGGCCTTGCTTGCAGGTCCTCGGCGTGCTTCTGCTTCGAAGGGCTGGAAGTGTCTGCGTCCTCTGTGCGTCGTCTTTTTCAGTTGTAGTGGAAGATTTCGTCACGACCGTTGAGGAATGTGGACCGCTTATCAGATGACCAACATTTCCGGGCTTTGATGCCTCTACCACCCGGGAAGACAACGCCAGCCACTGAAGCCAAAACATGTTGCTCGAAGATCGGGCTCTGTTCTGCATCGAAAGAAATGCCTCTTGTTCTTCGTGCAACGGCAATAACACCGCTGCATACCCAATCCTTTGCACAAGATCGAGCCCGATTTTGAGGGGCTGTTTTCCTTTGGATGTGCTTTTCAAGTAGTAGCCTTGCCGGTCGTTCTCCATGCTCCTCGTGCGAGATGGTGGAGCACCAGGACCTACCAGCGCGGAGGTTCGCGTTACCACACTCGATGAACAAGTCGCTAAACACTGCTGCAACAGACCCACTGCAGCGCCGGGTGATGTGGTCCCTCGTGTTGGTCGTCGTGCTGCCGTGTTTTTAGAGAATAAACATAAAGCATCTTCCGCTGCACTTCTCGTCATGGCGTCTTGCTCTACTGGGTACTGAAGCTCCTCCTGCCACTCAACAACATGAACATTCTTTGGTTCGTTAGAACGAGCAGCAGTGATTAGCTCGCTAGAGCAGGTAGAGCCGAAAGAGGACGAAGGTGTGATGTTCTCGTCTGACACTCTGCTCGCCGCTAGAGTCCCCTGGTGAAGCGCCTCTCGATGCTGTTGAAGCCGCTTGTTCCCCTGAGGTGAAGCACCACCTACACCTGCTCCCGACGCACGACCGAAGTCCAAATTAGCTATGCTCCAGCACAGCCAGGTTGCGGTGTCGAGTAATTTCGGTCGAGTATCTTCTACTTCATCGTGCTTTATTTCCGATAATGCTCCTGCACAACTTCTAGCCTGTGCCTGTGACGCGCTGCGGCGCAGCGTCTCCTGCGCCAGCGCTTTTGTACAGCCCTCGACTTGTCGTTCCAGCAAGATCGCCAGGTCAGGTAGCGGTACTGGGGCAAGAGCATGGTGACTTATTGCTGACCCAGGAACAGAGCAAGCTCCGTCCTCTGAGCTACCTACTTCCACCAAGCTCGGCCACCGCCGGACCGACAACTGCGCGTCCACGGCAAGGGTTACAGCCTGCTTGAAATCCGACCATTCCGCGCTCATACTTTCGTCCTCGCGGGGACACTCACTTGAGAAAAGGCCGAAAGAGCTCGTTGGGCTGAAGCTGCAGTTCCGCAGATTCCAACCACTGTTCAACCTCAATATCCTTGAACAAACAGCATCAATCACTGCTGCTAGCTCCTCTGGGTGCCTATTTTTCAAACCGGAAGCTATGCTCAGCGCGTCGCGGCTGCGGAGCTGCTGTTGCTGCTGGGGGTAATGGTAGCATGGTACTTGTTCTAAAGCGCGGGTGGACAAAGGCTCAGCAGCACCCGAGTTAGCGCCGGCCAGATTGAAGTAGATATCGCCTTCGCTATCATGCTGCCCCGTCGTACTACTGGCACCAGTAGCTTTTCCCAGGTTCAAAGTCCGTAGAAACAGTTCGTCCAACTGTTCTCGCGTTGTCTTATTCGATGATGACGCCGTGTATACTAGCTGTCGTCCAGTTTCAGGCGAAAGCCTTGTCGAAAGAGTCGTCCCTGCTTCCACCTGCGGAACCCGAACCTGTTCTTCCAAAGCCGCACTGATTCTGGCCAATAACGAGACTTGTCGAACGTCCCTCCGCAAAAATGGGCACTGGACTGCGTCACGCAAGAATTTTTCCACAATTTGTGCTGACGAGTCACTTCCGTGGCTCCAGTGGTGCTGTTCGATGCGCTTGTACTGGGCATTAGCAGTTGCACCGCAACTTCTACCGTTGATCTTACCGTCACTGCCCCAAGCTTCCAGCTCCAACCCTTGTAAAATTCCGGTGAGCAGATTCAAACGACAGTGGGTCCCCACAAACTTCTGCAAATCAACTGCAGCTAGGACCTTGTAGACTGAGGGGAGATAGTAGCCATAGGGTGCGTGGAGAAGCAAGCGATCGCGATCCTTCGCCTTGTCGCTGCTATCACTTTTTTCTCCATCAATCACGACCGTTGTCGCACCGTAATAGGCCTCTGCAAACAGTGCCGGCTTTCCAAGCAGGGTCGGAAACCATTCGACAATCGGCAACACCTTCTCGAGCGCGAAACTTCGCAGCGCAGCGTGGTGCGGCAGCTTTGCGGCAGCCCACAGGATTTGCGGCAGCCTGGTTTGCTTGAACTCAAGATAATTTTTAGTTTGTGGAAATAAAGCATGATCTTCAGCAGCGGTGCCCCTCGTACTTCCAGTGCCTCTATCGTCGTCTCCACGACTTCTACCTTGTTCTCTCAAAATCCTAGCCGGCCACCGCTTCCTGGCTTCCTGACAGAGCCTTTCAATCAGAAAATCCACATGCTCGTCCGAGAACGTGAAGGGCTATCCTGTGCAAAAGTATCGTACTCGTAGTAATTGCATTTATGCATTACAAATCTCTTTTTCAAGCTAAATCAGCATTACAAATTTAATTTGTAATGCTGGGGTAATTTGTAACGCAAATCTATACGACTACGATCCTTTTGCGGTCCATACGGGCCGGAGTTTCGCGAACCCGAAAAAGCAATCGACAACGTCGTCAGCATTCATCGTGGAGATAAAACGTAGAGGATCTTGATCTTCCATTTCTGGGGTGTAGTTCCTCGGTCTCTCGGTAGAAGTAGTTTCACCCCCGCGTTCTTGTTCAGTAGCTCCCGCATTGTCCTCCTCCAGCGCCATGCTCTTGATCCCATCTGTCGATGGTGTTTTTGTTGTGTCTGTGGAGTCGGTGGTGTCGAAGTGTGGTCCGACAAGACCTTCATTTATTTCCGGTGCAGACGGTGGAAAAAATTTCGCTAACAGTACGTCCGCAACGATTGGGTTCTCCTTTGCGAGCAATCCGCAGGCAAATACGATTCTCGCCACATCCCTGGCGTTCCATTCGGTTAAACAGACACTGTCAATGTCCAGCGAGAGCTTGCGGAGCACAAGGTCGAATAGTTTTTTGTTGGTGTAGGTCCGGGGAGGCGGAGGGCGTTCTGATAGTATGGTGTTAATGTTATCCAAAGCTGTACTTCTCATCGCTGCGGACGAGCTGCCCCGCCCGGGGGCATGATTTGTTGTTCTCGAAGAATTCGCTGCAGTTGCAGTTGTAGAAGTTGTTGCCCCACTGCAACTTGCAGGTGTACTAGTACATGCTGAAGTGCCGGAAACTGCAAGCTTGACGACCTCAGAGAACAGGTTTGCCAGGTCCCGCGTCTTGCGCCAAATATTTTTGCGTTCTTGGGGTGGTGGTTGCTCCTCGCTTAGAGCTTTCACACCCGTTAGCATGAGAAGTGGCGAATTTGTAGTGAATTTTGCATGACAAAGTGCAGATGAGTCCGCCGGGACGTTGTCCCTCTTGCCCTTCTGGGAAGTGGGTTCTGCACACCGACCGCGGAACCCACTTCTAGACATGGCCTGGGCGTCGTTCTTTGCCCATATCTTTTCGTCTCCCTGTGCTCGCATAAGGGCACAACACTGCAACAGCCACAGCAAAGACGCCAAACATAAGGGCTCCGGAGCACATACAATTAGGCAAGACGAAGGCGCGAAAGCAAGGGCGAAAGGACCAGGCCGAGGGCTTTGACGCATCTATCCGGCAGGCGCGTGAACTCTCCCGGTCTTTTCGGCAGAATATAGGCGGGCTGAGGGCAGCAGAGGGCGCTTGTCTTTTCCCCTCGGCGCCAATTCCTAGGGCCTATTTGCGGACTTTTTTGGGCACTTTTCTGCGCTAAAGTTTGCCTATCGCGGTCGAAAAGGGGCGCCCGGTGAATTTTGGGGTGAATTTTGAAAAGGGCGCCAGTGAATTTTGAAATCCGGCTCCTGTTCAAAATTCGCTAGCGCATGGGAAACTCCGGGTTTTGCGGCTTCAGAAAAGTGTCCCAAAAACAACAACCTTCAAAATTCACCAAGAGAATTCTTGACCTGGGAGCCACGTCGAAAAAGAGTTTCTCCGGAGGCAAAAACACACCTGGGGAGTTGTAAGCCGAGCACAGCAGGCGAAGCAAGCCAGTGCCCGTGGCCGAGTCGTGCCTTCCCTTTCACCCGAGGCTACTCCCAGATATCCAATTCCAAGCCACGACCGCAACTCATGAGAGCGCACGCGTTGAACTAGTGCCCCTGTGTTCAGGCGTCGCCCTCCGTCCCTTTCGACCATTCCGGAGAGGCACTTCTGAGGCAGACGCGCAGAAGAATAAGAGCCCCCCGATCCACCTTCTCTGGTCGTTAAATACGCACTACACAGCCCGGCGGGCCCTCGAAAGACCACTTCTCTCGGTCCCGCAAGCGCCACCACGCGATGAGCAGCCCTCCGCGCTGTGTGGGATGCTTGGGCTCGTGTCCATACGCAGCGCACTTCTCTTTTAACTAAATGTAAATGCAAGCCATGCAATACAAATTCACTGCAAATTCACCCTTATGTACGCTATCGACCGTTGAAGACATAAACATAGGTCCCGCGTCTTGCGCCAAATATTTTTGCGTCGTTCTTGGGCTGGTGGCTCCTCCTCGCTAGGCTGCGGTTCCGAAACTGCATGCGTTTTATCTGCATGTCCAGGTGGACCGCAAGCACTGCTGCTCCACCAGCATGAAGACAATTCTGGCTGCCGGTAGTAGGTACTTAGCACGTCCACCAGCAGGCGTTTTCTCCGGTTGCGGTCGGCAGTGGCGTTAGTCTTCGGTATCTTCCGCAACGTGTTTCGCAAAGCGTGCAAACACTCCGCTGCGGTGGCGTAGCTGGGGACTTCTACACGACCATGGCCGCTGGTGCTAGTGGTAGACGCGAATTTGCTCGTCGTGCAATAGACCGCGCTGGATGTAGTTGCAGTCCCTGTCCCTCCGCCTGTGCTGGTGCGAACAGGGTTAACCAGGCTCTTCATGGTGGAAAAGATCGAGGAAACCCCCTTCAACTTCTTGTTTCTCGTCGCAGTAGAAAGTCGTGGCTGTTCTTTCTGTTAGACTTTTCCAGGCACAAGGCATCCCGCGGGCCACGACAAGTCCTAACTTTCACCACCAGCAGCGAGAACAAGCTGTAAAACTTTTATGACTGTTGATGAGAAAATAAAAAGTAAAAGTCAATCATCTAGCTATGCCTTTAGCTTTACGCTTGCTCGTGCATGTGCAAGGACAAGTACTTAAAGTGATCGGCTCGCGGTCGGTGAATTCAACTTATTTTTTTTTGCTTTGCGGTTCTAGATCTTGAGCACCTAGTGCTCAAAGACGATCGTCATGATGTTCATACAGTGGGAAGACTTCGTCCGCTGGTGAAGGAACACGAACACGTCCTCTAATGCGGAAAAAAAAAGTCTTCGTCACAAAAGAAATCAAAGCAGGAGGCACCACCTCCCCAAGTGAAGTTATTCCTTTCTGTACTTTTTCCAAAATTAGTTCCAAAAAGAAGCACCCAAATACTTCTTTGCAAACTTCGTTCTTGAAGTTGTTTATTCGGTGTGATAAGGTACTATTCTGTTCTGTATTCTCGGAAGTTGTAACATGTTCTTGAACAAAATCAAAATGGAAGTTGTTCTCACTCAGATATTCTCAAAGAGAAAGACAAGTTGGTTCGTGAGAACTTGTGCGAAGAACTTAATTCCCGTCTCTGTCACGCTTTCATGGCCGGATCCATATCCAGCATTTTCATCGCCTCCGCCAACGCAAAATCTGCTTCTTGCGACACCCGTTCCAGGGATTTACCCTCAAAATCCGCCTCGTATTCTATCACACCAAAAAGTGTTAACGTTAACGGAATTTGTGATGCAGCAGTGCATCACCAAACATGCCAAAATTTGTAATGCATAGCATGCATATTGGGCTACATTTGTGATGCTTGACTGCAATCTGTGAAAACCGTTAACGTTAACGCTTTTGCTTGTGATATATTCCTCGTCAGTCGTATACTCGGACGAGGAATCGGACCTGTAAATAGTATGTGATTGGACTTGGAATAAATTTGGTTTTCATGATCGTACTTTTGTTTGTAATAGTAATATCTAGTTGTGCTATACTGGCATACAAGGAGCATCGGCAACATGGCTGAAGATGAAGCAAGTCGAGTCCACTGTCATGCGCGAACTGCAAGACAAAAACCGGCCAAAACAACATCGACAGCTACCCGGCTCCGTTCAGCTTCATGTTAGCCAGGACCTCTTTAAATTTCGCCTCCCTTTCTTCCCTTGTCAGCTCCCGCTTGCTTTCTCCACCCGAACCGTTCCCGCCACAGAAATCTTGCACCGACTGGTCTTCATCTCCGGGTGAGCAGGTGCTGTTATTAGAAAAGCAAGGTGTGGAAAAAACAAGGCACAGTAGGTGTAGTTCCGTATGCATATGCATTTTAAGATTTTGCCTTACTCGAACTCTGAATAAACAATGCAAATCAAATTACGCATCAACATTTTTCTTGCTACTATCCGTATGAAAATCGGCAACTTCATGCACGTTTGAGGATATGATCATGAACAAACCATCGGCACCTGTAGCAAAATATCGTATAAATATTTTTTACCTCCCTCCTCCTCCACCAACTGTGCTGCTTTCCATCTTTTCCTGCTCGCTCTTGCTCTTGTTCTCCGCCAGTAAGTTCTTTAAATCGTCCAAGACGGTTGTCTATGCATTGCAAATATGTCTGGGTCTGGAAACTTGTGATGCAAGGGAGGGAATAGTGAAAGCACTGTAATGCGCTGCCCAGCATGAAAAGTTTTGCCGTGGTTCTGAGTTGCGTACTCCGCATGAGAAGCTGCGTTTTTGCATGACAGGCAAGAAGAGGAGGTCTTCGCGGCCACGCAATACAGAGCTCAGTGTCATGCCAGACTAGCATGACAAATCTCGCAATCTCCCACAGCCAGACCCAGATACATTTGCAGTTGATATAGTCTTCGGGTCTATCTCCCCCGCCTTCTTTCTGTCCGCGTAGGCTTGCGCGGATTTTGGGGAAATGGTGGGCTGTAACACCGATGCGCCAGACCGGTATTGGAGAATTAGCTCCTCTTGCTGGATGAGCAAGAGGTCTAAGAACTCACCCTGTTGTTCCTGCGAAAGCTGGCTAATGAGTTCGCGGAAGACTTCGGAGTCCGAGATTTGGAGGCACCCTGGTTTAAAGTTCGATTGGTGGAGGTTTCTCATGCAGAAAACACAATTGAGCAATCATCTGTCATGCAAGTAGTTCCGATAAAGAAATTGAAATTTCGGGCATCTTCGTGAGTCATACCTTCGTCTATCTTTTCCTCTATTTCCTCCACACTGTAGGCTGGCTTCTTTTTCTTCTTCTTTGGCGGGTCGCCTGGTCGTCTCTTTCTCTTTTTCTTTCCATCTATCACAAGGAAAAGCGCTAAGGTTAACGATTACAGTCATGCATCACAAATGTAGCCCAATATGCATGATATGCATGACAAATTCTGGCACGTCAGTCTTGTGATGCATTTCTGCATCACAAATTCCGTTAAAGTTAACACTTTTTCCTGTGATACCATCCCGTGTACGCCTAGACTCCTCGTCCGGGCGCGGTCGGGCTTTGCTCTGGGCTTCGCCCATAATAATCCTGGGTAGAAGAAAGGACGAAAATAAAGGGTAAGGCAGGGTGTCGAAACAAAATTTAGAAATGTAGTCTCGCTTTTTTAGTACAACTTCCGGAGCGGTGTTGCTTAGCTGGACAACGCTAGCGCGGTGGCCGCATCGGCCTTGTTGATCAGGTGCGTTTGAAGAAATTCGAGTTTCAAAATCGCAAAAAAGTCGGAAAAACGACGCACGGTCCTCGCAAACACGTGAAAATAATGAATCGGCTTCCTCATGATCATGGTTGTCGCACTCATCGGAATCATGTGAAACAAAGCACGGATCATCTTCGCGGCGCCCGTTGTTGATGTTGTTCCTTGTACAAGACAGCAGGGATGATCCACAAGTATGATCGTCATCGGCCGCCACTAGGTTGTACCACCTATTGAACATATTTTCTTCATAAGGACGACGAGCGGGAAACGTGCATTGCGTTGCAGCCGCACAAGGATGCAGAAGAAGTTCTGTTCTTGTCGGAGCAACTCTACTCGTCTAACGCCAAAACACCACTGCCTGAAGTTTAGACGGAAACTCCATCAGTTACCATCAACAAGGAACAAGATACACAAATTCATAGTGCTGTATTCTCAATAAATTGTGTACCGTAATGAATGATCATCCGCCGCCGGACTCGTGGTCCATCTGGGAAGTGCCTCTTCATCCCATGGTAGCAACATAAATTTTTCAAATAAATTTGTCAGCACTCAACAAGCTAGAGCTAAAACTTCTTTGACAACTTGTTTATCTTTTCAAAGCTGGCTCTGTATAGCACCACTACTACTTCGCAGCTACGACCAGATCGTGAAGGGAGAAATGCAACCGATGCATGATTGTTGCGCCGGCGTTCTTGCTGACCTCGTCTCGTGCGTATTATCGTACTCTTCTTGTTTGTACCCGCACCAGTGCCAGTGGTCCTCTCTTCAAAGAGGAAGGTGGTGCTAACGTCGGTTTGTAGGCCTCCTCATAGCTGTTGCTGTCGTCCCATGTTGACACCAGACTGCGTCATTGATCCCCCCTCCAGCAACGGGAGCAGCAGCTAAGTAACCACAAGTTGTACGTCCTCCAGCTCCAATGCTTCGCCCTGGCGCTGCATTAAACAACAAGTCGAGAATGCTATATTTCAACAACATACGACACAGACACTTAAACCTATACGACGGTGCAACACTCCAGACTGAATACGTGTAGTGGGCTCCTACCCTGGGGGTCGTTTCCTTAAGTTCGTACAGTTCGTGGCTCAGTTTTTTCATATCTCTACTTACGGAAGTGTCAAAGGGCAACATGTTTGCCGGATTTTTAGAAAATCAAACCGAGCCAAACTTTGCAGCTTTCTGTAATTGAAACGCACTGAAAATGCGTATACTACTAAGCGATCAAGAGCAGCATCGCGACTGCCTCTGCTAGGGCAAGCAGTGGATATTACTAGAAGGTGTGTGGTATAGTCCTCGTGGCCGCTAGTAATAGCAATAGCATTATCTTTTCGCCTGCTTAATGGCTTTTCTTTTCAAATTTATAAGTAATTTCTTTCTAACGTAAATCAAAATCTGTACTGAATCATCCTAGTAGTAGTTCTACGAGGATGTAGATGATGTCGATACAGTGCGTGGAATTCTTCCTAGAACTCCCCGCGGTAAAAACAAGTGTTAAAAGTCGCTCGCTGAAACTAATTTGGATATACAACTGTGTTGACTTTCACTTTCTGTACTGTTCCAGAAGCGCAGCATTGCTTCTCAAGAACATTCATCGGTAGTTGCTTGCATGAGTACATGCAAGTATAATAAAATCATCATCATGGTCATCTCTGATACTTACTTCCACCAACTTCGGCCCACAAATCCACGATTGCAGATTCTGCGTGTAGATAAATCGTGCCCAGTCTTCAAGTCCTCCTCCTGGTGGTCCTGTCCGTATTCACGTTGTTCGTCGTCTTCCAGTTCCAACTCGTTACTCGTTATCGCTCTCATGAATGGCAGTCAACTGCTCGCCATTCAGCATGTCCTCGCTTTTTGACATGATCGACGTCGTCCCGTGATAATTACAGCTGTTCCCGGCTAGCATCTGCTCTACAGAAGTTCCAGTCGAAGCTGTTGTAGTTGTCACCTGCAACTCTAGCAACGAGTGCTCACTCCCGAGAATTCCGCCTGGACTGGAGCTGGGGGTCGCGGCGGTCTCTCCCGCAGACACATCCACCGCCGGAATGACGTATCAAATGCAAACATCCCTGGATGTCTGGAAACTTCCACTTGTGATGCAAGGAAGGGAATAGGGCGCGCACTGTAATGCGCAGTCAAGCATGGCAAGTTTTTCCATGGTTCTGCGTTGCGTACCCCGCATGAGAAATAGCTGTGTTTTTGCATGACAGGCAAGAGGAGCTCTACTTTGTGGCCACGCAACACAGATTTCAGAGTCAGGCCGGGCTAGCATGACAAATCTCGTCGCAATCTCCCAGACGTCCAGGGATATTTGCATTTGATACGACGGCTTTTTCGTTGAGAGTGCTGTCGTGGGTGTAGTTCATCAACAAATTATTGTCCCGGTTGTGCAATTATCCTGTGCAAAAGTATCGCACTCGTAGTAATTGCAAACATGCATTACAAATCCAGTTCCTAAGGCAAATCCGCATTACAAATTTGAATTGCAATTTATATTGCAATTCAATACTAGGCATGCTGAGCCAATTTGTATTGCAATTTATACTAGTACGATGCTTTTGCATTTGATAGCAATTCATCGGCCAAGCAAGTGAGCCCCGCGACCGCCGTATCGTAATCCGAATAGCTCCTGGGCGGTCCGACGATTGGGTCGGAGCCGAAGGAATCCACCTCGTCTCGGTCCTCGTCAAGCGGGGAAAGCAGCAAATCGTCCGCGGAGAGCGTTCCATGAAACAAGTCTCCATGCTGTCTTTCCGCCGGGGAGCGACAGGCCGCCGGGGAGCTACTCGAGGAGCACTTGGGGGGAGGGAAAGAAGACGAACAACCATGATCTGCTGTCATGATTGTGGGACAAGCAGGGCGCAACAGCTCCTGCATATCATCGTCAGTGGCGACATGATCTTCAACACCAGCAGCAAACGACCCGGACGACGACCGGGGTCCCGCTCCCGTACTAGGGCCAAAGGAGTTATTGTCATGCTGCATTAAACCTCCAAAGTCGGCATCAATTTCGTCGCCAACGTCCTCCATGATCTGTTGGTCCATGATCTCCATTTCCAGTTCGTCTTTCGGATTTTGTTCTCGGCAGTATGAGAGTGCACAACTCGACGTCCCCCGTCGTCCCGCTCATTTGTCATGCAAAATACCAAATCCACGACCCTTTGCCTCTTGGCACTTTTCGCATGACAAATTCTGGAAGCTCCTTAAACTACAGCACTATATTCCAGGGTGGATTTGTCATGGCAAACCTGCATTCTTGCCGCCGCTTGTGTTGCTGTTTGTGCAAATAAAATGCAAACGAGGGCCGCGAGAGGGAGTTGTGCACTCATCTCATAGGCAGTGCTGAATGTCCATCTCGATGTCCTCCATCCGTCGGTCGAGTTCCTCGTTTTCGTCGCCCTGAAGGAAATCAAGGAAATCGTGGCTGGTCGTGGGAAGTTGTGATTTGGACTCTCGAGGTAGACAAGTCCTCAGGTTCGCGTTGCTCGTGTTTCGACGCAGCTGCGGCTCTCCATCGAGGTGTTGTAGTTCGTTCCCAGACGACGTGCGCAATTTACTGGACGTGTTGATGCAGCTTGTCCCTGATGGTGTAACATTTATTTCCCCATCTTGAAGATCTTCCCCTCCCGCTCCACCAGCACCATCCGCCCTCCCTCCCTCGCTATTTCGCTGGCTGATCTCCATTATGCATTGCGAAAGTATCGCACTCGTATAAATGCATTACAAATTTTCTCAGCATGAGAAAGAAAATTTGTAATGCTGATTTGCCTGGAGCTGGACAAAGAAATTTGTAATGCAAGACCTGCATTTATACGAGTACGATACTTTGCAATCCATATCCATCAACCGCTCGAGTTGCTGCTCCGGTGTGGAGAACTTGCTACTGTCCACGTCATATGCAATGCAAAAGCGTCGCACTCGTAGTAATTGGAATTGCAGTGTAAGTATGCATGACAAATCTCCGTTCCAAGGTAAAACTGCATGACAAATGTAATTTTTCATGCTGAGCAAATTTGTAATGCAATTCATACTAGTACGCTGCTTTTGCAATCCATACGTGAGGAAGCTTCTGTCCTGGGGAACTTCCAGAATCTTTCCTCTTCATCGGGGTTGCGCTGTTCGTGGTAGAAGTCGCAAGAGCATTTACATTTGTACTGTTCTGTGGCGTGGAGGTCTGGACGTTATTATTATTACCCCTTTGTGGTCCATTGTTCCCATTCACAGAAAAGGTTCCAGGCAACGGTGGGGGCAGGGGGTGGACGCGAGACTTTCCGTCCGTCGCCCCGTACTTCTCGCGAAGCTCCAGTTTCATGACGCAGTGGAGGATGTACTTCCCGTAGGGAAACCGTTTCAAAATGTGGGTGTGTTCGCTATGGCGTTCTCAACTGTTACATTCTCAACCGTTACATGGATTTGTGATGCAAGAATGGGAAAAGTGAAAGGGAGGAGATTGCGCCTGTAGCATTACAAAATCCGTGCGGATTTAGGCGCTGTTTAGCCCTAGGCAAATTTGTCATGCCAAGCAGCTTGATCGAGTGGATGATGATGGTGCTTCTGCATGACATCGGTGGTCTACGGGCAGGCTGTCCCGGTGGCGCTTTGGCCAATCGTACAGAGAAAAAACAAAAAATACAAGTTAGGTAGGAATACAATTGAAGGTTATGAATGAAGTCAAAAGTCGTAGAGACAGTATTAAAGTAGTTCCTACGGGCATGGTCACGATTGGGCAACAGAGGGTAGAGTCACGATTGGGCAACAGAGGGTAGAGCAACGAATTGTTACGCATCTATCCGCTGGTCAAGTACGAGGAAAACGAGAGCAGCATCGAAGAAGGGAAAGGCGCGCAAGCAGGGCAGCCCAGCAGCAGCAAAAATATCAAGACAAGAAGCAGACTACCGCCACCCGGGGTCCTACCCGACCGAGAACTGTACTGGTATGGGCCAACATACCATAAAAGGTACAGAAGAAGGGTAGGTGCTCGCGTAAAGAGAAAGATGACCAAACCTGGGTGCTTCTGCATGACAAATTCATGTAACAGTTGAGAATGTAACGTTTGAGAGTCTCATATTCGCGGAGTTTGGCAATCAGCTTCTTTCGCTCGTCGCCCTCCTATATCAAATGTAAAAGTGTCTGGGTCTGGAAACTTGTGATGCTGGGTGGCGTCTCATGATGAGGCCACAAATGCTGGCTCAGCATGGCAAGTTTCTGAGCTTCTAGGTGTTGCCTATTCTGCATGACAAATAACTGCGTTCCTGCATCACAGAAAAATGGAGCTCTTGGGTAACGTGCGTGACAGATTTGAGAGTCATGCCAGACAAGCATGACAAACATGCACTCTTCCAGACCCAGACATTTTTGCAATCCATATCCGAGATCAGGAGGAGACGCTGGGCCACGAAGTTACCTGTAGGAGGTTGTGGTTGAGGTTGTGCAGATGATGCAGCGCACTTAGACTTTTTCATCCCCATGCATCTTCACAAAAAGTTGTACTATCATGCTGACAAATTATCACTTTATGCAGCAAAAATTCCAGCACAGATCATCCCTCATCATGTCCCCGTAGTCGTATTAAATACCGAACTTATCCTTCATGATTGTCAGTAGCGGGATCTTGTGAACTGCAAAAGTATCGTACTCGTATAAATGCAATACAAATTATTTTCTCAGCATGAAGAGAAATGAAGTTTGTAATGCGGATTTACCTATAACGAAAAGATTTGTAATGCATGACTGCAGTACGAGTACGATACTTTTGCACAGCGTAAATCTTGTGCACATCCCGATAAGCCTGCAGCGTCGACCAGGTGCTGACCCGTCCTATCAAGTACAAATATGTCTGGGTCTGGAAATTTCTGATGCTAAAAGGTGGATCAAGAAAACCCTTCCTTATGCAGGAAAGCATGACAAGGCTGCAGAACGCTTTCTCATGCGCAGTCCGCATGAGAAGACTGCGTTTTTGTATGACAAGAGGGGCTCCTGCGACTTTTGTTGGTCATGCAATACAGATTTCACAGGAAAAATGTAAGAGCAGCAATACAAGTCCCAACTTTCCAGACCCAGACACTTTTGCAATCCATACGTCCGTTCGGCGTGCAAGTCGAAATTCGAGCGCTCATGTTCATCACACAGCTGGATGCTGGGCTGCCGCTTGTCCTGTTCATAAGGTCGAGATTGCTTTGCCGCAGACCACTGACCTGGTCGACCGCATGATCGCCAGAAGGAGTCAACTCCCGGCGCCCGTTGTTCGGCGTGCACCGGCTGCTGGGAGGGAGATTTTGGTGCGGACCGGCGTCTAAATCAACATCATCACAACTTTGCTGCGCCGAGTGAGCATCAACTCCACGACCGTCTTCGTTATTGTCGGGAACAAGCTGGTGCAGCTGTCGGTCGTGCGTAGAACCAGGGACGAGTTGTCCACCCGTAGAACAATTTTTCATGTCGTCACTGCCCAACAAGGCGGAGATTAGCTGCTTCTTGTGCCCGGAGTCGCCCTATGCATTGCAAATATGTCTGGGTCTGGAAGAGTGCAAGGCTTGTCATGCACATTTTGCATGACTCCTGATGTCTGTGATGCATGCTCTAGCATCGCAGATTTTGGGAGGGCTTCCTGATGCCTATACTGCATGAGAAACGCCCCCTCGCCGTGGCAAAAACTGGACCTCTTCTGCTGATGTTCAACATGCAATACAGATTTATTGTGGAATCCAAATCCAGCATGACAAGTTCCAACCTTCCAGACCCAGAGGACATATTTGCAGTTGATACTCCCTCCATCAGTGCCCGCTCCAGCGTGTTCGATCCGCAGCGGTGGGTTGCCATTTCCAGAACGTTATCGGCCAACGTGCTGATAATTGCGTCGCGATCCGAGGGTCGCCCGCGGTATCCTGAGCGAAAACGTCCCCACCCCATAGTCAAGATGGGAAACCTGCTACACAAATCAGCCAGCTTTTGTTGTTGCGCATGACAAGTTCTTTATTGGCGTCGTGGTGTAAAAATCCTGCTTAGCTTGTTTAGCAGCATCACAGATCTAGCCTCATTTTCTGATTGGAGCACTACAAATTCCAAACCACGACTAGAAAACGCTTGTCAATGGGGCTCCGCATGAGAAACATTTTGAGCATGCAGATTTGCATGACAAGAACTATGGAGTGGGGACGTTTTTACGTGGGATACGCGAGTCAGCATGTTTTGGACGACGTAGTTCCCGTACTGATCTATATCCACAGTAAATTTCCCGCACACGTACAAATGCAGTCTCTGCATGACAAAACTTGCCTTCAATCCTAGTCCAGCATGACAAGTTGGACTCTGCAAGGTAACGAAATTTGTCATGCATTTTGTACATGTACAGGAAATTTACATTGCATAATCTAGAATCAGCTCGTAAACCTTGTCCTTCACGTAGTCCATAATCGGGAACTTTTGCTCGTCCGCCCCGTGCTCGAAAATCCGCTGGACCACACGGCAGCCAAAGCAGTGCGTGATGAAGCGGTCGGTGTTATTCCGTGTAAAAACGTCCCCGCCCCATAGTCAAGATGGGGACTCGGCTAGACAAATCCACAAGCTTTGGCTGTTTTGCATGACAAATTTCGACTCGTAGTGTAGTGCTGTTTGAGCTATCTGAGCAGCATCACAGATCTAGTATATCATGCTGATTGGAGCATGACAAATTCCAAAAGACGATTGGAAAATGCTTCTCATCGGGCTCCGCATGACAAACAATTTCAGCATGCAGACTTGCATGACAACTCTGGGGTGGGGACGTTTTTAAATACGATAGGTGTTGCGGAGCACTGTGTCGACGAGGAACTGGAACTTTTCCACCGGCTTCGTAAACTCGATCAGTTTCTGCAAAACGTGGTTCCCGTATGACAATGCACAACTCCCCCTCGCCCGCATTTGTATTGGTATTGCATGAGCAGCAATACAAACGCCAGCGCCACGACTGGAGCCTGTGCATGACAAATTTACGTATGTGCCTGCTGTAGTACTGTTTGGGCTTTCGAAATTCTTCATGCAAACAGTGCCACAGTGCAACGACTGGGACTCTGGATTTGGGATTTTGCATGACAAATGAGGGGGAGCGGCGGGAGTTGTGCACTGTCATATCCCGTGCTGGTCCTCCATTAACACCGCCTCGTGCCCCTTCAATTCCGCAGCCAGGAGGCACTGCTGGTCAGACTGCGACACCTCGAAGGCCTTTTGAATCACGCGGCAGCCGTGGCTGTTGTGTCGTGAAAGGGAGGTTTTGAGTCAATAATTGTTTCGCATTCTTCATGCACATGCGGCCGACGTTGTGCCTCGGCTCTTGCAAAATGTAGCGAACGCGGTTAGGCCCCTCGGTCATGATGCGCACTATCGGAAATTATAGCGAAGAAGAGCCCAAAGAATCAAAGACTGATTTAGACCCATCTGCATGGGAGATCTAGCGGTAAGACAGCACTTCTCACCACGAGGAGATGGTCACAAAGTAAAGTCAGTGTCAGAATTATGTCAAACATATAGAAAATGATTTGAGAAACAATTTTATGCTAAGAAAAAAAGTCGCTATTCATCAGTACGCGTGCAGCGAGAGTTTCAAACAGCTTCCCACGAGGTGCTCCGCCAGCGTTCGTTTCTGGTGGTTCAGCCCGACGTCGAAAAAAGCGATGATCACTTTCCCCGCAAATTTGTCCTTGCAATGCTCCACCAACTTTGGCAGCATCTGCATCATGCAGTTCTGCAGGTCCGCGGGCTCGGATCTTTCGACAGAAGTTGAAGTCGTCGTGTGTTTAGAAGTATTCAAATTTATCTTGTTCTCTCTACTGTTGATGCTTCTAGTAGTACAAGAACCATCGTCGTCTTTATTATTCTTGACCACGCCATCAACATAATTGTCATTCGTTATTTCCAAAGTAGTTGTAGCAGCGGACAATGAATTTTCGTCCTCTGTCGCCGCTTTCAGCCGGTACAGGCACTCGAGAATCAAGTGCACCCCCATTGCGTCCTTGGCGAACTGCAGAAAAGGGCTGGTCCGGAGGCGGTCCTGCAGCAGCTCCTTCAGCGTGCAAGCCTTCCCCTGCTCTCGATAAGCGCGAAGCTGCGGACAGGCGTTGATGGGCAGCGGCGGAATCTTCGCCATGGTTTCCAAAGACTGCTGGTACAATTGGGCGTTCACTGCGTTGTTACGCCGGTGGTACTCCGCCTGCGCGGCCGTTTGGTCCTGTCTCAGTCTCGTGTTGCGGTGCTCCTTATCGGTTTTCTGCTGGTACGAAGCCATCTTGTTCTGCAAAACTTTTTGCCCCAGCTGGTTTTGTATGCATTTTTGCAAAAGTACTATCGTATTATTTTAGAAGTGGAATTGGAAATTGCATTGCTCAGCATGATGTTGACAAATCGATGGATTTGCCATGGTGATCTTTTACTACATTTGAATTTGTAGTAATGCCATACTACCACGTAGGTACGATAGTACTTTTGCAATGCGTATCCTGGTATGCCTGGATCTGCTTGTAGTACTTGATGTAACTGTAGTTGCGGTGATCATGGTAGTTGTCTGGGCCGCGTTGATGGTTGTTGTTGTTGTTGGCGTACTGCTGGTGCATGTGCATCATATACTGCATATACTGAAATCGGTTGCAACTGTTGCTCATCGCCTCCATGTGACGTTGCATCATCGTGGTCCCCGCCGAGTGCATGCGGTGCATCAAAGAACCGCTCATCGCGCACGCAGGAGCGACCCCGTGCATGTTGGGAAACCGGGTCATATGAAGCGGGTTGCACATGCTCGTGGTCGCCATGTTGGACATCATGCTCATGCTGTGGCTGGGTCCGCCACCTGCTCCGGGTGGTCCATTGTGGTGCCTGGTATTGTTTCCAGCGCCCCCGTTGTTCATCATTGTTCCCATATAAGTGCGACCCTGTTGTTGGAAATTGTCGCGGTTGTTGCTGAATCTGTTCGTGCCAGTATTGCTTCCAGCACCACCTCCTCCGTACATGCTATTCATCCTCTCATATGCGCTCTGCATCCGGCTGTAAGAGCCCGCCCCGGATGTCGATGACCCCCCACTCGCACCAGCTGCGGCACCGTGGCCATCGTTCATATTGTAGTTGCCACTCATGTTGAAATTGCCGCTCTGATGCTGAGCCCCACGATTTCCGTAGCCGTTATTGTAGTTCAAATTACCCCCGCGGTTCAACAAGTTATCATGATTGTTTCCTCCTCTGTTTTGGTAGTTGGCATGATGAAGATCTTGCGAGCAGTTATTATTTTTGAATCTGGAGGTTTGGTAGTTATTGAAAGCATTTGATGTTCCGATGTTGTTGTGCATCTTACCTCCCCCATTGCCGTAAAAGCTGCCATGATTTTGATTGTTGCCGCCGCGGTTATTGTAGCCACAACCAGTATGGAACTGTCAGGATTGAAATTGACAAAGTTGAAATGATTTGTCATGCATAAAATGGATGCCAGTCGGAAGCCCACTCATCAAGCGGCGCATGGCAAGTTTTCGTAGCACCGGAATCCAGTTTGTCATGCTGTTTGGTCACAGAAAACTGCTTTTGTCATGCTACTTTAGCAGCTCTATTTCAAACCCTAAACAGGCTCACAATCGGCCTCCCTTGCCTACTCTGCAAGACAGGCACTTTGTGGGTTGCATTTTATGCATCGCAAACTATGTCAACTTTGACGATTTCAATCCTGACGCCTCCATAACCAGAACCACCGCCATCTTCTCCGGCTCCGTTGTCGAGCCCCGGCGGGGTAAGCGGTCGGCCGCTGTTGTAACTAGCGCAGCTCATCGGGTTGTTGTTATTCATTGTTCCAGCACCACCGTGGCTGTAGTCGCAGTTCTGGTTGTGGTTATTGTACTGCTGCTGGCTGTTGTAATTGTTCATCCCGTTACCATTGCCGCGCTGACTGTAGTTGTAGTTATTGTTTCCCATTCCCCCCTGCTGCTGCTGCTGCGGGTGGCCACTTTGGTGAAAGCTACCGCCTCCATAGTTGCTATAATTTCCGCGACTGCCCCCGCCGCCACTCGTCATGCGATCGAACGAGTGGTGGTTGGGGTTGCTGCCACCGCGGCCCATGTTGTACTGATTCATCTTCATCTGGTGCTTATTTCCACCACCCCCGTTCAACATGTAGGACGAGTTGACCCCGCCGCTGTTCACGATCATCGTATTGGTGCTCAAGCCACGCTGTTGTAGCTGCGAGTTACTCATAGCGGAAGCTGCGCCAGAACTGGTTTGCGCGATGTGCGAAATCGCCGGCCGGGTCCACTGCTTTGTCGGGTTTGATGTTCCAGTGCCGCTGTTCTGATGAAGCCCTCGTCCAGCATTCGAAGAGGTTGAGTAGCTGCTGTTCATCATCATGCTGTAGTTGTGGTTACCGGCCCTTTCGCTGTCTGTCCAGTTGCTTGAGTTCCCGGTGGTGTTGCGATTCAGCGCCTGCTGCTGCGGCCCTTGTTGTTGATCATGATCTACCAATTGCCCATACTGGAGCGGCTTTGACATAGTACCAGACGTCTTGCTATTATAGACGCAACCAAGCGTCGTGGCCGTGTTATGATGTTCCTCCTGGTTCATCATTGCATTCGCTTGTTCCGCAACACCTCCACATGAAATATCATCCGCACCACTGTTGTTCGACGACAACCCGACCTTGGTGGTCGTCTTGATCACTTCACTGGCGTGGCTTTTCCATTTCTGATCTTGATCAGGAAGATTCATCTCGGAAGATGAATTTGTGGTTCTCGAGGCATCGGCACCAGTCGTGCTCTTGGTAGTCGTGGTCGCGCTACCTGTTCCACTGTTGCGGAGGGACGAGGAAAATGTGCCCACCTGGAAATCAATATGATTGCCGCTCTGTCTCGGAGAAAGATGAAACTACGATGAAGTCGCATTTTTCCACTGGTGCAGCAATTATCTATCGCATGATCTACTAGAACAACGAACCCATGTAAAGAAACGTTTCTTTTTTGTACCTGTTCTCCGGTCGTGTACAACGAAGATCCGTGATCCGCATAGTTCATCTGCCCTGGCGCCGTCCACATCAACTGGTGCCCATGAAGATCTTCACCCTTTTGCCCATTGTTCCCATAATTCATCCCGTCTGGGACCTCCGAGCCGTGCATCTGGTGCAGCGCTCCGTGCTGTTCCGGGGTGTTCATAGCGGAGTGATACGCCGCTAACCGCTCAGCCGTCGCTTGGTCCACCACTGGCAAGTTCGCATTGTGTATTGGTGTGTCAGGATCGAAATCGTCAAAGTTGTAATGCATAGAACCGATATCACTTGGGAGCCCACTTATCAACCGGCGCATGACAAATCTTCCGAGAACCGGACTCCAATTAGTCATGCTATTTGGGCACAGCAGACTGCTTTTGTCATGCTAGTTCAGTAGCTCTATTGCAAAGAAGAAGAACCCTAAACAGGCTCACAATCGGCCTCGCTTGCCATCCCAGCAAGACAGGCACCTCATGCCTTGCATTTTATGCATGCCAAATCGTTTCAACTTTGTCGATTTCTAACCTGACACGTCCATATTATGTTGAGCAGTTGTACTACTGTTGCGCATCATCATCCCGCCCCCTATTCAAGAAAAAAACACCATCGCAATCACTATTGCACATTTTTGCAATACAAAAATTTTTGTTATGCGCAAAAATGCATCACAGTCAAGAGTTATTGGCGATTTCCCTTTGTGTTTTTGCAATACAAGAAAAATTTGGCATGCGAGAGAAATTTCTGATGCAAAACCTCCTACATGTGATTGTGATGGTGTTTTTTTCTTGGATACCCCCAGACGAGCTGTTAGTGTTACCCCGCTGCAGATAATGTTGGCCAGCCCCGCTGTTTCTACTGTTGTACTGGCTTTGCCGGTGCGAGGATTGGTGGACCAGAGATTGCGGGATTCCGGTCCTGGCCTGTTCCATAGCCGCTTGCTGCAGTCGCTGGTTGTGCAAGATCGCCGCCTGCGAAGCTGCGGTCGTTGCGGAAGAGGTTGTAGTTGTGATCGGTTGATGGGGGCCCGAACCAGCAGGACCCCCTGCTGTAGTTGTACCTCCTCCGAAATGAGAAGCTGCAAACGAGCCTGCTGCATGGTGTTGGTGGGCCGCTGCCGCGGCGGAGACGAAGCCGGCGGTAGCGGTCCCTGCAGCAGCAGCCCCAGTAGTACTAGGAGCTCCCGCTACAAGCTGGTGACAACTCGGGTCGTGATAAATCATAGTAGCGGGCTGGTATTGGTACGCCAAAGTGGGGACGGCCCCGGTCGCCGCAGTTCCGGCGGTAGGGGTGGTTCCCGTTGCGCCGGCCGTGGTAACGTAAGCCGGGTAGATCAATCTTGGCTGGCTGTCAGCCGTCGCCAGGGCAGCGGTGGTGCCGGCGGTGCCCGGGTGGAGAATGGTCGTCGCCGCAGGGTACTGAAGTCGAAGCGGAAGCGTATATGTAATTGGTCACGTGGTCATTCCAAAAGAAAATGCTCTTGTTTGTTGAAAAGAACTTTTGTTCGTGCAGCTAATGCTATGCTTTACTTTTAGAACTACAATCACAAGAGTCTTCCCTACTACTTCATCACGACCTGTAAAATCCTATCATACCAACAGCGTCGCCCCAGCAGCTCCTGCGGCCGTCGCTCCGATCGGATTCCCGGCCGCATCCACGGCCTGCTCGTAACCGACAACATGCTCTGCGCCCGCCATCGCCAGCTGCGAGGGGTGCACCAGGTGGTAAGCAGCAGTGGCTGCACCAGTCGACGGGTCTACATGGACCAAATGCGCACCAGCGGCGGCCGCGCCCATCTGGCTGGCGTCGAGGTGCACGGCGGCGTGCTGGTACCCGGCCAGTGGCATTGCGGTCAGCATCTGGTGCTGACCGTGGTCGAGGTAGGTAGCCGCCGGCTGGTGCAGATGATGGGCCACTGCGCCGGGGTGGCTATCTGTGTTGTAACCGTGGTGGTCCATTGTCGCCGCAGATGTAGCAGATGTGGTGCAAGAACTACTACCTGATGCTGCTAGCAGGAGGTTATGCTTGTTGTACTGCTGTTGTTGCTCTATCAATAGCTGCTGATCCGCGTCCGCAATGTCCGGAGAACTGGTTCTGGTACTTACGAAGGCTTCCGCGTCCGGGTTTAGGTTCATTTTTCTATGCGGGAGTTACTACCTAGTAGAAGAATAACAGGTCGACGTGCTGAAGTACGGTGGTGTTCTGTTGCTGCTTGTCTGGTTCTGTGGTTGTCCAGAAATAGATGCTGAAAGAATGAGAAAATCCAAATTGCGTACGTTATCTCCGGCCGCGATAAGATTAAGATGTCTGGCTTTGTTTGGATAGTGCTTTTGGAATAATCATGCCGATTTGATATTAGGAGTCCTTGAGTCGGTTCGGCAGGCGTTGTGCTTCGCCGCCGGTCTTGGAAGAGGAGTTCTTTTTGTGGTACAAATCATATTCTTTTCAAGTGGTTCTTTCTCTTGCTGTTTTTAGAAATTCAATTTGTCAAGGTTCAGCTTCTCTGTTCCACTGAAGTACTACTGGTCCGAAAAGTTCTGTGCAGGAGGGTCTTTGTAATTGGTGTGCGTGCTGTTGTAGTTGTGGTTGGAAAACGTTTTTGTCCGTGCGACCGCAGGCCTCGCCGTTCCCGATGTGTTGAATGATGGGCAGATAGACAGGAGTGGTTATCTGGATTTTTCTGTTGTATCCGCACGGCAACCCCAAACTCAGCGGAAAGACGTTCGGCTTACTCTGTGCTGTTCTGTATTCTCAAATTGTCAGATCCAGAAGATCCACAAAAGAAAAAGTGATGCTGTATCTTCTTGTTGGTACCTCTAAACTATTCAGGAAAAATTCGAATACCTTTAATCTTTTCATCAAAAAAACTGTAAAAACTTCTATCTTAGTACTTCATAGATACCAGCACGACGGTGAAGCAAATGATGTGATGTGCGGTATTACTTACCTTCTCGCTCTCGTCTGCTTTGCTCGTTTGCCTTTTTCCTAAATTTTTTTGACTGACTTCTTTCGAGAGTGTAAAGTGTAAACTAATCTGTGACACGACGTCTAGGGTAGTGATAACGTTGCACCTTACCCAATGTCGGAGAAGAAACATGTAAGAAAGTTGTTGGTGTGAATAGATGGCGTAAACTTGTAGTTCTTGAATGTGGTGAAAAATAGATAAGTACACGATCACGATGTCATAAAAGATCGCATCACAATAAATCCGCGACAAAAAAGAACTGACTGCCGTGTCGTTGTGAAGCAGAAGCACATCCTGGTGAAGATCTATCTTCGCGTTGACCATAAAAAAAAACGCAAATAAATATAAAAGTGTTGAATCAGGTGCACTCACAGTACATCGAAAACACGTCGTGATCTTCAACAGACCTCCGCACGCTGCAATCATCATCTTGCGAGAATCTTCGTACTGGTGATGGAAAGAGTTGTAAGAGAGCGGACAGAACGAGATGAGCCAGAATCTATCACACACCTTCGAAGCTTCAGCTTTGTTGATCTTCGCGCTCGTTGCAGCGAATAAAGGTCTTTATTGAGCGAAGAACTCTGACCCCGACTCCTGCGCCTGACTGAAGAGCAGAGCGTCAGTCTGTTGTGGGCCACCGCTTTCTAAGCTGCGAAACCACCCCCGTGCTCCCTGTGGTCAGAGCCAGGTTCTGTCTGGAGCTCTTTTTCTGTTGCATCGTCTGCGTCTTTGTTGTTATCCTAACATCACTGTACAGTCTCTATCAAGGATATTCGCATCGGTCGTCGCGCACTAATTGTACATTTTTTTCCCGAATGAGGTGCGACGTATTTTCGTTTCTATATTTTTCGCTGCAACATTATCATTGCTAGTGGTGCTCCACGACCTCCTAAGATGATTGTACAAAGCCACTCTTTGCCCAGGCGCTCTGTACTTTTTGTTTTTTCCTAATTTTGAGCCGCTTTAAAATTCAACTTCTATCGCTAAAAATCACTTCATTGTAATTCATTATACAGTCGCTTGTCACGGCGTTGTCTGTGCCAGGGCACAGGCACAATCTAAATTCACGTCGGGATTCGACATGACAGGAATCTAGAGGGTCAAGCGTAGGGACAACAAAGGTAAAACTTGTCAAATTGTACAATACAGAAGCTAATTTCATTTCCTAGAGAATAACGCTCGTCAAATCTGCTACAAATACATTATTTCAAAGACAATTCAGAATGGTAGTCTGTAATCAAGCAAACAAGATGAGATGTCTGGTTTGTTTCTTGGAATTTCTCCTGCCGTTAATACAGTATACCGTATCAACATCTAATGAATTCGATTTTAATATTGGCTCTAGTAACGGTACACGTCTGATAAGTCTTCAATGTGAAAGCTACATTTCTCTTGCGTGTTTGTTTATCGTCTGCTAGTAAAGGTCTGGATAGTCTGTCAATCTGCGTAAATTCATCAAAGCTAAGTTTGTTTTTGTCTGAGTAGGCGTACTAAGATTTTTCAGGCTGATGTTCATCGCCTGATGTCTTCTTCAAAGCCCCCCCCTTTTCGCCGGAAAACTTCTCCGAACGCCCTCGGGGGACGCAATTCATGCCAAGTCGATCGGTTTGGCGCGCTGGTGTAGTTCTTTTGAAGCTTAGCAAACATCTGCAGCAGCACGAAGATCGGCGGCACAAAACAAATCTCCCTAGGCGGGCAATCAAAACCGGCTGACTTTGCGCGCTGTCAACAAAAGCGAAAACTCGTTGACTTTGCGCTTCGGGCTCGCCCCTCAGGAAGCAAATAAAAAGCCCGCGCCTTTTCGCTCCGTTTTACGAATAGGCTGGAAAAGTGGGGGAGTGAAACTCCACCAACTTTTCGCACGCAGCGAGCTTTCAGTCTGCCTCCAGAAGACACTCAAAAAACCAAGTGAAAGCTCAGCGGTGTTTTCACTCGGAGTGACAAGTCATTACACATTCCGAAAGGCTTAGGGTGGGAAAAGAAGTGAGAAGTCAGTGATTTCTCACTCTCGCGAAATCCTGACGGCTCGAAGGTCTTCGGGGCTCGAAGTACCTTCGAGAAAAGTAGTGAGAAATCACTGATTTCTCACTTTTGAAAAATTCTCACTCTGGAAAGAGTGAACGCGACTCCGACTCCGGAGTGAGAATTTTTCACAAGTGAGAAATCACTGATTTCTCACTCCGTTTCTCGAAGGTATTCGAGAAACAGAGCGAGAAACCAGTGATTTCTCACTTTTCCCAAATGAAAATTTTTCAGAAGTGAGAAGTCAGTGACTTCTCACTTTTTCAAAATGGAAACTTTTGAGAAGTGAGAAATCAGTGATTTCTCACTTTTCCAGAATGAAAATGCTTCAGAAGCGGGAGGTCGCTGACCTCTCACTCCGCTGTTCGAAGACCTGCGGGAAACGGACCGGAGTGAGAAGTCTTCCAAAATGAAAACTCTTCCGAAGTCAGAAAGCGCGTTCTTCTCGTCCCGTTTCTGGACGGAATGTAGGCCCCTTATTTCTCAAAAAGAAACAGCTTCAGAATGAAGGCGGGCCCTTTGTGGCCCACGCGTCCACGCGCGCCCCGTTTGCGAAATTCTTGCGCTGCTACCCCTCGAAAGTCTTCGGGGAAGTTTTCCGGCTATCAATTCTATTAGAGGGTTGCGAGTCATGGATTTTTCAGGCTGATGTTCATCGCCTGATATCTTCTTTGGAGCACGAGATCGTGCAATGAATTTATTTCGTCGAGTCAAGTCAAGATTAATTTTCGCGTAAAAGTTTTGGCTTTCATGGCAAACAGTTACTTCGACAAGGTTCTCTTTCCGATAACAACAAATCGTGGACAACAACTTCAAGTGTGACAAGTTTTCAAATTGTGAGTTTCAAAGCAAGAAAGTCTCTACTACAACGACAGTTAAGCAAGTTTCTCCAATGATCTGTGAAGATGCGCATTTGAGACCATGATCTTCATGCTCATACCAAGTTTCATTTCTCTGCCACCACACATCTTCCTCCTCCTCTTCTTCACACCGACTGCGTCTTCGGTCTTTGCATCATCATCGGTCTCTCCTCATCTTCGTCGTCCGTATCTGACTCGTCGTGTTTGTCAACGATTCCCGCCGCACCTACCTCCTGTCGAATCACGTTGACGCCTGATGTTCCTTCCCCCGAAAGAACCGGACTAATTTTCGCGTCCTTATTTCCGATCACTGCACCCAGCCGCTTTTCCCACTGCTTCATGAGGACGATCTGCAACCACTTGAGCGCTAGCACAATCAACAGGATTCCGAGGACGTAGATGCTGAAGACCTTCGCGTACTGAAGCTTCTGCTATAAGAGTGCACAACTCCCCCTCTCCCTCATTTGCCATGCAAAACCCCATCAAATCCAGTCGCTGCCCTGTGGCTCTGTTTGCGTGACAAATTTCGAAAGCCCAAACAGTACTACAATCAATGTAAGTATACATAAAATTTGCCATGCACAGGCCACAGGGTCGCTGGCGTTTGCATTGCTGTTTATGCAAGACAAATGAGGGCGAGGGGGAGTTGTGCACTGTCATATCTGCCCGAGCTCGATCCACGGCGTGGGCTGGGACCAGTGGATTATAACGCGCTCAGGTGTTACAATCTCAAACGTTCCAATAGAATATCGCAATTTGTGATGCAAGCGCGCATGATCCAGCTTACTCCACCCACAGGATTGCGCATGACAAGTTTTCGAGTCCCAAACCGCACTAGAATCATCTGGCGAAATTTGTCTTGCAGAAAGTGGAGCGCCCTGTGAGTCTGTCATGTTCATCACGCCATACAAAATCCAGATTCTATTGTAACGCTTCAGATTGTAACATCTGAGCAAGCCATATGGAGAGGTGATTTTTTCTGCTTCTTCAGATTCGTTTTTACCTGCTTTGTCGTGGCTGCAGTAGTAGATTTCGTTCTTGCTGTTCTAGCTTTGTTGGTTTTTTGCGCAAAGGAGGATTGTTTTTCCCCAGTCGCAGCTTCATCCGCAGTCGTGGGAGCAGCCGCTGGTGCAGCCTCCTGCTCGTTGTTTTCGTGGCTAACTTCGGCAACTTCCGTGGCTGGTTGCTCCACTTCCACGGCCGCTGCTTGGGATTCGGTCGCGGCTTCCGGCGCCTGAGGCACGACCTCCTCCTCGTAAACCTCCGTTGGAGCTTATGCAAGAGAAATTTATTTACAGTCCATGCACAAAAGGCATCACAAACTTCGGCTTTCTTCCAGTACGTACCAGCCGGCGCCATTGATTTGCAATGCGGAGGACACGACAAAACCTGTCATGGTGGCAGACCATTTGCATTTCTACGTGTACTGTATGGTAAATTTCTCCTCGATAGCGTTGGAACTTCCTTTCCGTACGTGACATCCTCCGGGGTGGTGGGCACGTCCTTATGCAGTGCAAATACATCTAGTTCTGGGCTCTTCGGAAAGTTGTGACGCAAGTTGTCAGTGAACAATAAGAATACTGTGAGAAGTGTGTACATACACCGATAAGCATGACAGGTTTATTCTTCTTCACTCTGTGTTGCGAATTTCAAATGCAGACAGACACAGACTTCAGAGTCATGTCAGACTAGCATGACAAACCTCGCAACCTTCCAGAAGATGGCCCAGAAATGATATTCGCCGTGGATATTCTTCCAGGTATCCGTTTTTCAAATCCGACAAAACCTTCTCGCCGCTCCCCAAGTAGCTTCCCGTCTGCGCATTGACCTCCTTCTTCACCTCCACGATTAGTTGACTCGCCTTCCCAGTCGCTCGCGCCACAGTATGCATTGCAAATATGTCTGCGTCTGGAAACTTGTGATGCAAGTCAGTAAACAAAAGTGAACTGTAATGCGCAGCCGAGCATGACAAGTTTTTTCGTTCTTCTGTACTGCGTATTCCGCATGAGAGACTGCGTTTTTGCATGACGGGCGAGAGAGGCTGTTTGTGGCCACGCAATACAGAGTGCAGAGTCATGCCAGACTAGCATGACAAGTCTTGCAATCTTCCAGACCCAGACATCATATTTGCGGTTGATACACAGCCGATTCTTGCAACCCGTTGTTGCAGAAAAAATCTCGCATCCGAAACGCGCCCGCATTTATGGAACGGCATCAGGACCGAAATTGATGACAAAGTTGTAATGCATAAAATGCAATGCACAAGATCCCTGTCTTGCGAGGGTGGCAAGCGAGGCCGATTGTGAGGAGCCTGTTTGGGGTTCTTGATAACGGAGCTGCTCAAGTAGCATAACAAAAGATGCCCTCTTTCCCTAAACAGCATCACAAATTGGATTTACATGAGGCTGAAATTTGTCATGCGCCGGTTTGAAACTGGGCTTCCAAGTCGTATCGATTTTATGCATGGCAAATCATTTCAAGACCTATGTCGGAAATTTCGGTCCTGACGCGTCCATAGCATTCCGGTCCTCGTTCACGTTGGCGTAACTTGGGTACACAAACGTGGTCTTCAGCTTCACAATGCTCGGCACTTCCTCTTCTTCGTCCGACCAGGCGGGCTTCTCTTTCTTGTCGGTGGTTTTCTGAAAGAAGGAAGAGGAGGCCTCCTCCTTGCTTGTTGCAGCTTCTGCATCTTCTGCTGCTGGTGTAGCGACCTCCGACGTGGTGCTGGCCGGAGCTTCTTCCCCAGCCGAAGGACCTTCTCCACTTGGAGGTGGAGCAACATCGTCAGTACCGCCGATCGGAGCAGCCGTAGCGGCATCGTACACGTCCGAGAGGTCGGTTTCTGCAGCGCCGTCGTCCAGGTGCTTCACCGCCTCGCTGAACAAGCCGCACAACATGTCGTTGGCAAAATCGTGCTCCAGTGCTTGGTGGTACAGCAGTTCCCCTGCGGAGGCTCGGGTCCGGTTCAGCGCGTCTTCGGCCAGCACTGCCTCCCGCCCGGCGAACAGATTCAACTCCTGAAAATCGGTCCACAGGTCGGAGTAGGCTTCGTGCAGGCTGAGGCCCCTTTTGTGGAATTCGTCCGCGATTTCCTGCGCGCTTTGTCCCTTTTCCACGTACAGTTCCGGATCCTTCTATGCATTGCAAATATGTAGTCTGGGTCTGAAGGAAGGATGTGAACCTGTGCTGCGCATGTCACAACACAGACAAATCTGTCATGCATAGGCAGAAAAAGATGCCCATTTCCTGTCACCTCCAAAGTGGGGGACTTGTCATGCGGATTAAGCAATGCGGAAGCTTCTCGAACTCTGTGATGCTAGGGCTTCCATGACAGACATTCTGTTTTATGCAAAAACAGTATGGCAAAAATCTGCACTGCTCCAGACCACCCAGACATATTTGCATTTGATACCTTCACAGTTTCCACAATCTGCCCCATCGCGTTCTCGATCGAAATTTCGGCGGCGTCCTCGTCCTATCATGTGCAAAAGTTTACTACATACTAGTACGTGTAGTTGCAGTTGTAGTAACTCTGGCAAGACAGATTATTTTTTTTTCAATTTCTATTTCAGCACCTGCAGCACAGCAAGTTCATTTATTTTTGGATGGGGGAAACATCAAGATTTTCAAGATATTCATCATATTAATATTTCAACATTTACAACTGCTATGCAACTCGTCACACTAGTAGCACGATCCACCTTTTGCTCTGCATACTGCCATTTTCTGCTGTTTCCTCTCTAGCGCCTCAGCGTGCGCGTTTCCACAAGAAAAGCATCTTTGCTTATGCATTGCAAAAGTATCGTACTAGTAGAAATCGCATGACAAATTTGCGTAGCATGACAAATGAAATTTGTAATGCAGATTTATCTTAGGAAGCAGATTTGTGTTGCATGATTGCAATTAGTGCGAGTGCGATACTTTTGCAAAGCATATTGCTTCATTTTGTTCAATTTCATTTTCTTCTGGAGAAACGACTGCTCGTCCGCCTCGATAAGCTCCTGTCTCGTTTTCGGACTGGCCATCTCGTACAGCATCTGCTGAATCTATGCAATACAAATTTCCCGCCGCACATGTACAAAATGCATCACAAATTTCACCAATTATTGGAGGATAACGCTTGTTATGCTAAACTAGGATCGGACGCAAGTTTTGTCATGCCGAGACTGCATGTGTAGTACGTGTACGGCTACGGGAAATTTACTGTGGATAGCATCTTCCGGCTGTGTTCGGCCTCTTGAAGTACCGCAGCGTCGGATTTGGCGGCGGTGTCAGGAGTGAGCAAGTCGTAGCTTCGCTTCGCCATCTGCTGCAGCGCTTTCACCGCGCGCTCAGTCTGCTTCCGCATCTGGATAAACGATCCTGACCCTTCGAGCGACATCCTCAACTTATCGCCGCCCTCACCCGCCTTGCCCTGACCCAGGTTGACCGGAAGCGCTTTCACAGCGGACACCATGGCGGCCCGCCGCTCGGCATCTGTTTGGAAGAGGAATTGCGATAATTTCGAACATTCTAGCTTCTAATACTTCTTGCACGACTTTTGCATAAAAAAGTGCGCGATGGTTCTCGTGCGCAGCTGCTTTTCAAATCTGCACAACTATCGACGACGACTTGTGCAAGAAGACTCCATAGTCCGGTCCTCGGAACAACTACATGAATCCTAATCCATTTTCTTAGACATCAAGGGGGCTGCAGCTGCAACGAACGACCTCCAGCAGCATCGCTCCTGAAAAGAATTTATAATTATCAGCAAAAAATTTCTTCTATACGCTGCGCGTCCACGGTTCTGCAGGCAACGATCTCTCCCTTCTCGTTGGCATATGAAGTGCAAATGAATCGTCTTCGTCTAAATGCATTACAAATTTCCTCAGCGTGAGAAATAAAATTTGTAATGCTGATTTACCTCAAGATAAAGATTTGTAATGCATGATTGCAATACGAGTACGATACTTTTGCACAGGATATGGCAACCCGTTCGACCAAGTTGAGATGTAAGTCAACCGCTATCAAAGTGAAAAAACCCCCCTCCCCCTATTGAAGCGGAAATTTCTGTTGCTGGATTTGTGTACACAAATCAGCGCTATAGTGCAGCGAGCGCTTGCAGGCATTTGCTGTGCCTGATTAGGTATGCAAAAGGCTAGCACTCAGGCATGACAGACAGCTCTGCAGTAGGCAAAAGCGCATTACAGATTGGCTGTGGAATGCGCCACACGGCTCCAGTTGCCTCATATACAAGACAGAGCTGATTTGTGGTCACAAATCAGCATCACAAATTTCATTGTGAGTATGGGGAGGGGGGCTTTTTCCTTACGATAACCGTGTCGAAGGTACGCTGGACGGTCTGCAACGCCTTCTTCCCAAGCTTCCGGAAGTTACTCAGCGTTCGCTCCGTGCTCTCTTGGTAGCGCTGTTTGATGGACAAATTCTAACGTGTACGTAGAAATCTGTCATGCTACTATAGACATCTGTTGCACTGCGTGTCATGCAAAATAGAGCGGCATAAAAATATGGACGCCTGTTCTTGCTCCGTGTCTACTTGTACTTTACCTGAATCGTCATGGTCATTTCACGGGCGATGGTCTGCGCCAGAAGTGGGTCGTTCAAGTTCAACGGCGTCCGAAGCATGAAGAAGGACAGTTCCGTCATGATCCGCGTTGCGTCAGCCGCACTCGCTGTGACCGCCCGGAGCATGCCCTGCACCATCTTGCGGCCCATCACCGCAACCTCGAGCAAGCGGTCGAACATGTTCACCCGGAGCTCCGGATCCACCAACGTCGGGTTCATGCGCTTGGTGAGCCCGAGTTCCTGGGCTTGCTTCGTGCGTTCAGCTGTTTTTTATGGGAAGTTGTATGTTTGTAAATACATTAGTACTCCTCTACTGCACTTCTCCACCTCCAACTCCAAGGTCATAAGCATGATCGTACTGAATGAAAAATGCCAGGACAAAGATTTCATTTCGAGAGAAGAAATAAGGAAAAGTAGTACTCAAAGTCGAATCCTGCCAATCCCAGAAGTCCGCTCGCTTCACATTTTGGAAATCGATCGCGTACATGCGCAGCGCGATGATCATTTCACGCATGCCAAATGTCTGGTGAAACAGCACCGCGCATCCTGAGCAAAAACGTCGCCGCCCCAGGGTTGTAACTAATGCCAATCTGCATGCTGAGAATGTTTCTCATGCGGAGACCCATGGGAAAGGGAAGCAGTTCCCGTTGGTGTTGTGCGATTTGTGATGCTCAAATCCAAATGGTGTGCTAGATCTGTGATGCTGCTGAACTACCTAAAGAGGACGACACTACTAGGAGAAACTTTTCATGCGAAACAACCAAAGCTGGCCGATTTGTCTAGCAGATTTCCCATCGACTGTGGTGTGGAGACGTTTTTACTCAGGATACCGCGTCCGTGTCCAGAATGTCGGTGACCAGATCCCGTTGGTAAGTCATCAGCTGCGTGGCCAAGTTCGCCAACTACTATGCACTGCAAATATATGTTGTGTCTCGGTCTGGTGGAGAGACGCAGCGAATTTGTGCTCTTGCTCCTGAGTCATGCATGGCACAGCGATCATGTAGTTTTGTACGGCGCCTAGTACGCATCACAAATTTTTCGCTTGGTGTTGCGAGTTCTAATACTGTGTTTCATCGCGGCGTGACCTGACAACCTGAGTGCTTTCACAGCATGACAAAGAAAATACCCAATCGTGATTACGCTTCACAAATGAATCCTCGCTGCATCACAAATCAAGAGGACCCAGATCGATATAATTATTTGCAATGCATAAATACAGGCGATTGCTGATGTCGTGCCAGATGTTGTCGACTTCGGAGGAAACACCGTCCCAGCTGGTTCTGATCAGGGTCGGAAACTCAACTTGCAGAAATTCCTCGTACTTGCCCAGCTCGACCTGGAACTCAGATTTCCTGTAGAAATTTTGTTTTTTTACGGATACAGCTCTGCAATGCATGACCAGCATGATAGACAGAATCAACTTGCATGTTGCGCATGACAATAAAGCTACAGCAGACAAAAGCGACGTAGTATTAAAATCGAATTCGTACATGTGATCCATGACTTGGTCCTTGGTGTCCCAAATGTAGGAGTATGCAATACAAAATTCCCGCACATGTACAAAATGCAAGACAAACTTCGCTCACTTTGAATGTCAAACTTGTCATGCTGGCTAGGATTGAAGGCGCATTTTGTCAACACGCAGAGACAGCATTTGTACGCGTACGGAAAATTTACTGTGGATAAGGAGACCGTGCTGTCCAGTTCCGTTGTGTAGTTTCCCACGTTGTGCTTCAGATTCACGTGCGTCTCGTGCACGCGGCGCAGGGCTCGCTCCACGTTGTTCTCTGTAATGTCTTCGTAGATCAGCTCTTTGCAGGTCTCCAACTCCGAAATCGACTTCTGGATCGCGTCGCGCATCCGGCCGCGGGACTCCTTCAGAAACTCGGCGCGGAGGACCATGGACCGCAGGTTCACTACGAGCTGGTCAAAGATTTTCTATCAAATGCAAAAGTGTCTGGGTCTGGAAGAGTCATGCTATTTTTGCATGACAGAGAAGGTCTGGCATGGAAGCTCTAGCATCGCAGGTTTCGAGAAGCTTCCGCAATGCCAAATCCGCATGACAAATCCCCCAGTTTGGTGACAGAAACTGGGCAGCCTTTGCTACCTATGCATGAGAGATTTTTCATCTGTGTTCTGAAATGCGCATCACAAGTTACATCCTTCCAGACCCAGACACTTTTGCATTTGATATTTTCCGCACCCGGTCGATAAACGCGACGGTCTCGGTATGCAAGAAAAAAACCGTGTAAGTGTAAATCTGTGATGGAAAAAATGCAAAACAGTTACGATTGTCATGCTGGAAGTGCGTGATAGACGTGTTTCGTACGTCTTTTCACGTACTATCCGCGCATGACAGGTTTTTTCTGTAACGCAAAACGAGTTTGTGATGCTGCTCTTCCTACAAAGTTACACTTACACAGTTTTTGTCCTGGATATTCGGGGACGACCTGCCACAGCTTTCCCTCACCTTTCAGGTACAGCTCCTCCAGCCACTTCAGCAGCAAACGCTGCATCAGAGAAGTCGTATGCAATGCAAAGATGTCTGGGTCTGGGAGATTCTGAGACTTGTCAGGCACGTCTTGCGTGAGCCATGATGTCTGTGATGCATGCCCTAGCCTCACAGATGTTCTGAGGGCTTCTTGATGCCTCGTCCGCATGACAAATGCCATCTCCGCGTAGCAAAAATTAGATTGCTTTTGCTGCTCATGCAATACAGCTTTTTTTTGACATCCCAATGCAGCATCACAATTTGCATTCTTCAAGACCCAGCCATATTTGCAATTGGTAAGTCTTCTGGACCAGCAGGGGGACGACGGACTCGGTCACTTGCTGGGTTGAGAGGTAAAAGAGTATATAAAGGTCCACATAGTGCAATCATGAGTTTGTCATGCGCTGCAAGGATGCTGGTAAAAAAAGTTGTAGTGCAAAAGCCCTATTATACCAGGTATCGCGCAGGCGTCTCGACGTGAAAGTAGTCGCTGTCAAGGTACGCAACGACGCCTTGGAACATGTATCACAGAGAAATAAAGTGCTAGTAGAGGTAAAAGTAGCTCGAAACTTGTTCTTGTCTCGCTATCCGGCAAGAAGAACGCATCAAAATGTTCCTGCTTTGAATTGCGTAGCACAACATGCCTCGTCGCGACAGTCGGTTTCGCAGGAGGAACCAATGCAAAAATCCAGTGCAGTTCGTGGACAAGAATTATCGCTATCTTCAAAACTGAACACTCTTTATTTCTGGATAACATTTCGTGCACTTTTCTGATGAGGTCCTCTCCGAAGATTTTCGCCAACTCCGCCATGCCCGAGTTCAAGGCCGCGTAGATTTGTATGAAATGCAAAAGCACCTTTCTCGTATGAATTGCAGTCATGCATGATAAATCAAACTTTCGTACCTTACCCAGCATGACAAATTGCATTTTTCTTCTTAGCGAAATTTGTAAATGCAATTCATACTATTACTAGGAGTACGATGCTTTTGCGATTCATAATTTCTTTTGCCCGCTGATTGTAGGCCAGAATCGAGGCGGTGACCTGTTTGTCCATATCGTTCTCCTTCACTTCCTCGACGGTCTTTACCAGTTCTTGAAACTTCGCCTTCTCCAGGAAGTGCGCGCCTTGCAGAACCTGGTGTAGAACAGTGCTCTTGTAGTTTATTCATCTCGAGGACGTGCACGTGACGTGCGTCAACAAGTGCAGAAATTTTTGGTACTCATTTTGATTTTATGCTATAGTACAACTGCAACGAAAAAAAAAGCTGTTTCGATCTTCATTGATGTACTTATAGAATGAACAAGAAGCTTTTAACAACTTCTATACCGTGAGAACGTTCTGCGCATTTTCGCGCAGTTTCTCCCACCGTTCCGCGGGCTGTCCCTCCGATATCAAACAAAAAAAAGTTCGTCGCGATCACTCATGCGCATTTTTGCAATACAAAACTGGCTGTCATGCGTAAAAATGCACGACAGCCAAGCTTCGTAGGGGATTTTCCTAGTGTTTCTGCAATACAAGGAAAACTTGCGATGCTAAAAAAACTTGTAATGCAAAACCTGCAAGTTAGTGACTGTGACAAACTTTCTTCTTTCCATATCCGAGCCCTTCAGCGTAATCTGCACCAGCTTCGCTTCAATTTCCAGCAGATTGTCCGTGTAGGTTTTGAAGGACCGCAGCTCGCCCCGGCAGTCCTGTTCCGCATCGTCCGTGCGGCGCTTCGTGTAGTCGATCCGCTCCATCAGCTCCTGTATGCATGGCAAATGTGTCTGGGTCTGAGAGATTGCGAGATTTGTCATGCTTGTCTGGCATGACTGAAGAGTTTGTGATGCGTGTCCAAGAAGAGAGCCTTTCGCTTGGAATGCAAAACGCAGTTTGTTTTTCATGCGGAAAGCGCAACACTAAGCCGCGCAGATATTTCTCATGCTTGGCTGTGCATTACAGAGAATCAACTATTCACAACACAGCATTACAAGTTTCCAGACTCAGACATATTTGCAATGCATATCCTGCAGTTTCTGGTGAATCTCCCCGGCCGCGTCGATCTGGTAGTCCGCAAACCGCACCATGGCCCGCGACTTGGCGATGTCACGCCGCGAGTAAACGGCCACGGAAAAGAAGTCTCGGGTGATCCCCTTCAACTCGGTGCGCAGGATCCGCTTCGTGGAGAGCATACCCTTCAACATCTCATGCATCGGCAAGCTGTACTCATTGTAGACCTCGTTGCGCTGCTATGCATTGCAAAAGTATTAACATCTTGCTCGTAGTGGTAGTGCTACTTGCATAGATTGCATCACAGGAGATCTTTCTTTCGGAAAATCACCAGTACAAACTTTTTCTCCCAATGCAGCTAGTACATCTTCTACCAACATGATATTAGTATTACTTTTGCAATTCCTACGTGCCACGCGGAGGCGATCTGCCACTTCTCCCAGGCGACCAGCTTTTCGATGGGGGAATACGGCGGGTAGGGAAACCGAAACCAGTACTCGATCTCGTAGTTGTATGGAGAGAAAAAAGTTTGTCACAGTCACTAACTTGCAGGTTTTGCAATACAAATTTTCTCAGCACCACAAACTTTCCTTGTATTGCAGAAACACTAGGGAAATCCCTAATGAAGTTTGGCTGTGATGCACTCTTACGCATGACAAACAATTTTGTATTGCAAAAATACGCATGAGTGATCGTGACAAACTTTTTTTCTTTGATAAGTTGCGCTGGCGCTGCAAGTGCGTGTCCTGCCACATGATCTTTTATCCTGAGTAAAAACGTGCCCCCCCCAGAGTTGTTATGCAAATGCGCAAAGACAGGTAATGCGCAGCTTCACGGGAGGCATTACCAATCGCGTTTTTGGAATTTGTAATGCTGTAAACAGGATGAGAAAATGGCTCTATCGTGCGGCTTCCCTTACCAACCAGCACTACACTGCAGAGGAAAACTTGTCATGCGCAGCTCCCAACTTGGAGATTTCTTTGTGTTGCTAGTTTCCCAACTTGACTATGGGGTCGGGACGTTTTTGCTTGGGATATCTTTACCGAGTGAATCATGGCGTTGTGGGCGGAGTAGAGCTCGCGACTGATGATTTCTTGGATCATCAGAGCCCGAACGTGCATATGCATTGCAAAAGTCTTGTATCGTGCTAGAGCTAGTTGTAAAATTCTTGCATTACAAATTGAAATTGAAATTTCCTCTTCAGCATAAGAAATGGAGCTTGTTTTATTGTGATGCGGATTTACCTGCAGAAAAAGATTTTTAATGCGTTGACTGCAATTACAACTACCACTACAAGCACGATACTCTTTTGCACAGGATAGTGCAGCTTCGAGTTCACGTAGTCCTGCATCTCGACGATAATGCGCGCGCGCTCGAGCATTTTGAGCTGGACGTGGACACGGATTTTCGCGGAAATTTTCTTCTCGACTTCCGTGCGGGCCGCATCGTCGGCGAAAATCTCGTGGAGCTTTGTCTGTGATGATGAAAAACAAAAAAATTGAAGGTTTTCATCTACCTAACAGCTGTTTTTTGTTCTTGCGCAAGAAACCAATCAGTTCGTGTCTTCTCATCTCATGACGCGGATAAATGTTCTTTACTGTACAAGTACGTGTTTTAGTTTTTTGTTTTAGTTTTTTTTTAAAAAACGTGCGCTTGTTCTTGTAGTTTCGCGATCGATTGACATCCGAATCCGAGTTTTTGTGCTGGTGTCACTATCAAGTAAGTGATTCTATACTAAGCCCTGCTGCAATTTGCCGACAATTTTCGGAATCGAGAGCATCTTGTCCTCGTTCCCTGGTCGCGCGTCGTATTTCTCGTCGTCGGCCTGGGAAAATTTCCGCTGAAAAAAGTTGACCTCGATGGTTGCCACCCTTGTGGAACGCAAAATGTCCTTCGCGGCGGCAATGTGGGCGTGGATGGTAGGCAGCATCAATCCCGGAATCGCGTCGACCAGGGGGTGGAGGTTCGCGGCCTTGCCTTCCTCGTGTTTCGTCGGATTGTACAGCTGCGCTTCGACCCGGCCCGCGCGGACGGCCATGACGGTGGAGGTCTGGGCGAGATCCATGAACTGTTGTACTACGGGGAAAAGTTCAAGAATAAGAATTTTTGCAAAAATAGCTAGGCGGGTTCGATGAGGGCGCAGAAGCAGATGGCGAAATGGACTCCGCGCTGCAGGTCGGGGAGGTACATCTCCAGCTGGAAAACCGCGGAGGGTGGCTCGTGAGGGTGGCCCAGAAGCATTGCGCGCGCCCGCTTTCGGATCGGTCTGAAGGAGACACTCCTTACAAAAATGCGGCAGCCTCAAAACTCGCGCCCCTTTTTGCTTATAGGTCGTGATTAGCATGAAAATAGGCAATTACTAATCGGTGCTGAGTTTTCAAGAATGGACAGGGTGGGGGGTTCCGAAAAGGGCCCGGAAACGGCCAATTGGCGCCCCCCCTCTGAGCCCCCAAATCGGCACCATAGCATGGGTGCTGAGTTTTCAAGAATAGAAAGATCGACCCCCCTGAAGACCCCCCCGCGAACGCCCCCGCGGAGGCCCCCCCCTTGAGATTTTTTGGCCCTCCGAAAGGGCCACAGAATTGGGCTCCGGCTCCCTTTGGGTTCCCCGGCCAACAAAAGCATCGGGCGAGGGCGGGGCCGGGGCGGTGGCCGGGCCGTAGAAGCGCCGGGCCGCAGCCTGGGGGTGGGGCCGCAGCCGGCCTTTTGTATTTTCCCCTTTTTCTTCCGTGTTTGGCATATTTCTTGTACCTACTACAAAAAAACTACAACAACACGACCCAGCACCTACCGTCGCTGGGCCCCCTAGTCAATTTTTGCTCGGATTCTTATTCTTGAACTTTTCCCCTTAGTATGTTGGGAGGTTACTTCATCCAGCTCAATGAAGTACTGCTGGCACTTCACAAGCGCGAGCTTGTTCATCTTGACCAGGTCGGTGCTCATGTCGCTCATGCACTGGTTGGCCTGCGCAAACTCTTCCACGCGGAGACACTTCTATGCATTGCAAAAGTATCGTACTCGTATAAATGCAATACGCATTTCCTCAGCATAAGAGCTGGGATTTGTCATGCTGTTTTACCTTAGGGACATCAACGTTTCTTGTCATGCATAATTGCAGTTAGTACGAGTACGATACTTTTGCTCAGGATAACTTCTGGTTGTAGCTGATCCAATCCATCTTCTCGAATTTCATGCGCATCGCCATGGACCTGATTTTTTACATACATCAGGGATGAATTACGTAAGTGGAAGTAAGGATTGCACGAGGTGGAGAAAATGTTGTCTAACGTAAACTTACTTTCCTCTATAATTCTAATTTTTCCTATGAACGAGGAAAAATGATGCAATTGCAATAAAATCAAACTGTTTACTGAAATCCCCGATAGGCCGCGTCTGTTGGCTGTTGCAGGTGCTGGCTCGCGTGCATCCAGCGGTTGCGTTCTATCACGATGTGGTGCAGCTTAAACGCTTCCTGCGCCCCAATCATGTCCAGTTGCAGGGGCGTCATTTCCGGCGCTCCGTGTTCCTCGATCTCCTCCTGCAGCTGCTTTTCGGCTATGCATTGCAAACATGTCTGGGACTGAAACTTGAACTTGTCATGCGAACACTGAATCACGCATAGGTCTGTGTTGTATGATTGCCAAAAGTTGTAGCTGTCCAATTTTGACCAAGTCAAGAGAGAGTTTCTCATGCAGGAGAGGCATGATTGAGAGAACAAGATCTCTCGTCAGGGTATTTGTCCTCATGCGGCGGGGCCGTGCATTCCCTACCCCATGGGTCACGGTCATGGAAAACCTGCATGAAAAGGCTTGCAATCTTCCAGTGACCCAGCAGACATATTTGCAGTGGATATCGGCCTGCGCTTTGTCGCCCGACAGGTTCACGGCGTCCTCGCCGGGCAGCACCTCGGCGTGCTCGGGATCCTTCAGGACAAAGACCGGCTCCGGGTTGGCATCGTCGTTTGCCGGCGCCGTGGCGTCAGCATTCCAGAACGGAAGTCGTTTGACATCCTCCAGGGTCTCCGGAAGCGGGACCACTGGCATCGGCAGGACGTTGGTCGACAAATCTTCAAAAATGTGCGCGGCATTCTCGTCCTGCGAAGGTTGTACAACTTCTGGAGCACCTTCTTTCGAAGTCGAGAGATCTTCGAGCGGTGGCGCTTCTGATTCAGGCTCTTCGTAGTTCCCGTCCGGAATAGGATCTCCTTCTGGCACGATGGGCTTGCTCGTCTTTACCGAAGCCACGACGCCGGTCGTGATTGATGGGCAAGAAAGGTCGTTGCAGCCGAACAGAAGCAAGGACATCATCCCGCTAGCTGCTGTGTTTCTCATCTTGTTTCTGGTTGTCATGCTGGTGCTAGAAGCCGTTCTCGTTCTGTTTGTCGTGCTGCTTTTGCTAGAAAATAAGGCTGCACTTCTAGAAGACGAACTGCTGCTCGAGGCGGTTGTACTAGTTTGGGAGAAATAAACCATTTTCTCCACTGCTAGTACCAACGAATCGCGGATGATGAGTTATTGTTCCAAAGAACAAGAAGAACTCCGTGGTCGTCGTGCGTGGCACTGTACTAAGTCCTTGACTTCGACGCTTTATCGCTTGCTTCACGAAGATCTTCGAAAAGTTCGTAGTTTGCTCGGCTTCAGAAGATGCTGTTGCTGACAAGAGGTCGCTGCCGCCATGCTCCTCTTGTTGAGCTTGAATTTACGTAGGTTTTTTTCAGAGGACGCTAACGCTGTGTGATGTCAAAAGCCCCCACGAGGACTACACAACAGCAGCAACTCGTCCCTGCGTTCCTTCTGCTAGGTTTTTGAAAAAAATTCCTGCGTTTGGTAGTTTCGGTATCGAAAGATTAAGGTTTCTCTTTCTTTTTCTTAGTTAGTACCACGACTGCTCGTGTAGTAAGTACTTGTTTATTCAGGCTGAAGCTTATCGTGATACGAAACGAAATTATCGACGAAGAGGACGAGGGTCGTGTTGTGTTCTATTTGCAAACTACCTTCAGATTCGCGATGATGCGCTCGTCGCTCTTTTTACCTTTCCTTACAACCTTTTCGCTCCTCTTGCAATAAATAATCCCGGAGGACGAGATCATCTTCCGCACAAGAGCTGCCTTGTCGTCGATCATACAAGCTGCTCTGCGACGATACGAAAGCGAAACGCGTTTTACGATGTATTACAGGGGCTGTCGCTGGTGTAACAGCAAGTGCAAGAGATGCAATCATAAATAATTTGAATTCGTCCTGCTAGCTGTACGTGCTATCGCTATGTTGAGTCCTCCTCGACCACGTTTCTAGCGCCTTGCTTCTACGAATAGTACAGACGACCCTGGTGACCCAACGCTGTTACTGTTTAACTGACGTCCCCTCTTGTAATGAAAGCCAATAACGTACGAATTAGAAAGCGTATCCAGGAGCAAGAGCATCTACACGCTGCACGAACAGACTCACTTTCTCTATGTAGGCGCGCATCCGTAGAGCAGCACTTGTATTGCTGACTGTGCAACAGGTTATTTGCGTGAAAAAAAATCTTCTTCCACTTAGTTCGAGATCTTCTCATCTCGACCCTGGTACTCCCTTCCACACGTGCGTATCTTCTGCACGTGAAGGTGGGAGGACATCGCTTTGACTATTGAGACTACTTACAACACGGCAAGACGACCACACGTTCATCTCGACGTCGACTGTGTGTGTTTATTTTACTATTCAGGTTCTTTTATTTCTCATTGGAGGATTTTTATCCGATGATGTTGGTACAAGTTAGTTCAGGCTCTTCAGGCTGAAGTAGTGAATCCACCACCGACGTCAGCAGCTGCAAGAAAACAACTCGCTCCTAGTTTCCAAATAACAGCGTCGTCTGTATCCAGGCGGAGAGCGGCTCCCGTCGGTTTTTCAAGTTCGTGGAAGTGACCCGGTACTCGTGCAGCAACGCGTACAACTATGAGAGTGCACAACTCCCCCTTCCCCTCATTTGCATGGCGTGAAGTGCAATACAAACATCAGTACAGCTACAGCTACAGGTGGACCCTGTGCATGACAAGTTCATCATGCGCCGAGTGTTGAAGCACTGTTTGGAATTTCGGCATTTTTTATCATGCATGCAGTGCTACGTGGGAGCAACTGGATTTGGTTTTTTGCATGACAAATAAGGGGGAGGGGGGGTAGCCGTGCACTCTCGTAACAACAAACCCGCGCGGATGTTTTTCGTCCGGACGAGTTCCACGATCGACTCGAGCGATTCGGTCTATGGGACTCTCAAACGTTACATGCTCAACTGCTACATGGATTTGTCATGCAAAACTACCTTAAGCCGCCAGATAATCAAGCTGCTTCGCATGACAAATTTCCGAAGGACTAAATAGCATCTAAATCTGTGCCAAATCTGTGATGCGAGGGCAGCAAGCTTGCCCCCTTGGCTGTTGCTCTTCTTGCATTGCAAATTCATGTAACTACAGCTGAGAATGTAACTACAGATGAGAACGCCATATGGTTACCGATTGCCGTCCCTCCATCCCCTTCGCTTCACCCGACATGGGGCCCTTTATCATTTTCCCCGCGTCCAGCTGGCATTTCGCTGTGGACACCCGGAGTTCCTGCACGCCGACTTGGGCGCAAACAATCCACCTGTGTAGTTTGATGAGTCTTTTGTTCAGATCAGAGTGACAATACGAATTAAAATATCTGATAGACGAGGTGTGATGTCTCGAGGGCAGGCTGTAGTTGTGATGCTCTCTAGTATCGTCACCGGGGAGGGATGAGGCATGCTGTGTAAGTACAACGCAGATGAAAGCTTTAGGAGGCTTGTATGCAAATCCAAATCCAACTACAAGTGAAATTCAGCAGGACAACATATTGGAAAAACGAAGTTTATACCATAGCAGCACCCACGCCATCTGGTTGTCTATGTTCGTTCCCCCCAAGTGGGTTAGAAAGGAATATGGCAGCACCACCACCCGCTTTGTCTTTTCGGGGAAAAATGCGTCGACGGGCTCCTTTGGAGCGGCCTAGAATTTGTATAAATTCAAATGTATAGTTGCAAGCTAGTTTATTTGTGAGACAATCGCGTTAATAGCATAAGCTGCATGGGTGCGCAATACAAAAAAAAATGCACTTCTTACCTCCACCGCTGGGGCGGGGTTATCGGTGTCTTCCTCCTCGTCTGGCTCTTCCTTCTCTTTCACTTCGGGCACAAAGGACCTCTATCGCACGAAAAAAACGACTTTTCATTTTCACTGTACACTTGTATTGCACAGCATGGACCATGGAGGTATTTGTTCTCTTGTTGTACATGCAAGGCACGACTTCTGCATTTCTGCAAGCCGGTTTTATTTCCACCCTTGGGCGACACGCATCGCAAATGTACTTTTGTTGTCGTGTAGAACTACATCAAATTTGCGAAGTAGGTGCAAACGTTGCAAATTCGTTACAGTGAAGCCCTTTTCATTTTTTCCTGCGATAATCTCGGCTTCAGCGCTATTCTTATGGCGTCGAGTGTCTCCGGTGTCGTTTTTTTCGAAGAGAAAGCGCAGGAAACTACTTCACAGGGAGACTCGCCAAGCGGACCTGATCATGATTCGTTCATGTACGTGGTTCAATTTGATCATTCGTTGGTCGTGGTGGAGACTTTATCACTTGTTAATACAGACCTGAATCATGCTACGTCCTGCTATGCGAGATGAAAGGAAGCAAACGCAGCTGCTGCGTGCACAATTTTTTTCTTCACAAGTTGTACACTACAAGAAGTCTCATCATCAATCTGTAGTAATAAACAACTTCTCTTCCTCTACCTTCAGAGAAAGCCGGGTCCGCTGCTGTTCTCCCGTCTGAATACCCCTCTTCCCGCGGTATACACCGAAAGTCCTCCCCCATTTCGCAGGTTTTGCGGGCCGATCGGACCGACAGCCACTCCTTCGATAAGTATGGCAGTGCACTACAACTCCCCCTCCCTCTCATTTGTCATGCAAAATCCCAAATCCAGTCGCTGTCGCTTCCACCCTGTGGCGCTGTTTGCATGGAAAATTTCGAAAGCCAGAACAGTACTACAGTAGGCGCATAAAAAATTTCTCATGCACACGCTCCAGGGTCGCTGGCGTTTGTATTGCCGTTCATGCTATAAGTACAAATGAGGGGGATAGGGAGTAGTTGTGCACTGTCATAATAGGTCCGCCTTCTCGATGAACGGCAAAAACGCCATGGCCTGGACGTGGGAGGCAAAAAAGGCCTCAACCGCATCATAGGACTGCCCGAGAAAATCGCCGCCATACCTTTATTTTTGTTTCGTCGTAAAATTTTTGCACCATCAAAACCCGAAATTGTACTAACGAACGGTCATGCACATGTTCTCGATTTGCGTGGCAGGCTCTATGATGCGCACGCACGACATCATCGTGCATGATATAAGGAACAACAGCACTCACCTTTATTCGTGAAGACCGCAGGCAAGCCTGCTATGCATAGTAATAGATCTACCTGCTCGACTGCAGTTCCATCACCCGAACCAGTTCCTCACTCGTCCTTGGGGCGAGCGCGTCCCCGGATTCTTCCAAAACAAGCTCGCACGTATCCATCAAGAAAAGACTGTCGGTGTAAGAAGAAGTAGCTCTGTGATCATGCGCCGCAACATGCAAGATGATTGCGTTTGTGTTTGTCATGCTGCAGGTCATGATGCATGCGTTGTTGTAGCGTCATAATCCAAGCTGCGCGTCTTCACGTACAATTAGAATTACCTGGGTGTGAAGACGAGCTATTAATTGCTGTGATGATGCAAGCCAAATGTGTTCTATCTTCCAAACAAGTTCAGCACACCTGCAATCTTTTTTTCTTGGATAGCACTTGTCCAGCGAGCATTCTGTCGCGGACCAGAAGGACATGTCAACTCCCACATGAGGCTCGACGAAGGACCGCCTGGTTGTTACAAGATTGAGGCTCATCGAACTATAGCTAAAGAAATCCGGAGGGTTTTCATGCAGGTCATGCAGCATGACAAACTGCACATCAAGAACTACCTTCTCTTCCCCGGAGACTGGCTTGCGCTTTTGCCACCGCCACCGCCGCCCTCCGCGTCCTCATGCTGGCCCCGGATCAGTGTGAGTGACCTCGAGCCCCACTTGGCGTACACATTTTGCCGAAACTCCTTTTGTCTTTCCTTGAAGCCTATGCATCACAAAACCGACCGTACTCGTATAAATGCATTACAAATTTCCTCAGCATGAGAAATAAAATTTGCAATGCGGATTTGCCTCAAGAAAAATATTTGTAATGCAAGACTTGCATTTATACGAATACGATACTTTTGTACAGGATAAAAGCTTCCAGCTCCTCATCTTCCTCTCTTTCAAACGACGGCTTGAGTTGAGAGATATGATGCTCGAAATACCTGGTTTGGGTTTTGATCGCACCAGTCCCTTTGACTTTTGCTTTTGCATGCGCACACTGCATACGAAACTCCTTCTGTCATGCCCTGCTCATGAATGCTGCATCACGACCGCAGATAATAAAAGTATCAATTTCATATATACCTCAGCACCGCGCACAGCTTCTGCGCTTGCTTGTGGTCGTTTGCACGGAAAAATTTTCGAAAATTCAAACTCTGAATCGCATCGGTGAGTGGTTTATCCAATGCAAAAATATCGCACTCGTGCTAATTCTTGCGAATATGCACTACAAATTTGATTTGTCATGCTGCGCTAATTTATCGTAATGCAAATTGAATTTGTACTAGTACGATGCTTTCGCAATGCATATGGTTCGGGAAGGATGCAGAAGAACGCCCCTGCTAATAGGTAGACACACTGCTTTTCTGTTAGCGTCACCTGTTGTGATGAAATGTTGCTGTTTATTGCGGATTCAACATGATCCAAAGGAGGTGTCATGATACAGTACGACCGATGTACTTACTACAGTAGTAGTTCCATGACCGCATTTTTTCTTCTTGTAGTTCTTTCTGCAAATCAATCTAGGCGCCTGTGCAAGAAGTAGTCCAACTTCTGTAGAACTCCCAATCGTGTTCTTGTACCTTCCCCGACTTCCCCGCTCGCAGGATTGGCACCGGGTCGGGGAAATGAGTGGGAAACTGCCTGGCCCATTCTTGTATCTTTGGCAAGATGTTGGTGTAAAATTTTTCGTGCAGTTTCGGGTCGATTTCGGACATATCCTGTGCAAAAGTATCGTACTCGTAGTTATTGCATTGATGCATTACAAATCTGCTTGGTTTCTCAAGGTAAATCAGCATCACAAATTCAATTTGTAATGTTGGGGGAATTTGTAATGCGATTTACACGAGTACGATGCTTTTGCATTGCATAGGACACCTGCTGCAGCAACGCCGGGATCTGCTCAAATTGGTCCGCTTTTTTCAGCGATCCCGCTACCTCGGCCAAGAGGACGAGCGTGTCGCGCAGCGCTTCGGGCGTTTTCAACGTGGCTTTCTCCAAGCCCTCGCGAATGGTCTTCCATACCTCCTTCTTTCTGCCCCCGAACTTGAAATCGATCACGTTCGGATTGGGGGGCGGCTCGCCACGAGGCATGATTTCGGTTTGCGTGGTCAGTTCTTGATCTTGAGGCCTCTTGTGAACAAGCTGTCGGACAACTTCTTTTAACGTCTACTGGTGTTTGTGAAGAGGCTAATAAACGACCTTCCTCTTGTCCACCCCACTGGTCGCTCGTACTAACTTCAACAATCCTGATTTATCGATATATGTTGTGGTTTACTTGTTCTTGGTTATACAAAACCGGCTAGTTTTTGATTTTTCTCTGCGCAGCACCAGGGCCGACAAACTACTTTTTACGAAAGGGTACAAACGCGTCGAGAAGACTGGTACTTCTACCCACACAAGAACGACGAACGATGAAGCAACGATAGCGATAACCTATAAGAAGGTAGCGAAAATAAAGAAGGAACCCAATCCTAACAGGTCGTCTCAGTCCCTCGATCTATTCGCTCCTGAATCACTTAAAAAACCAAGACCAACCTTGGACCGTCGTAACAACAGAAAGTACTATGCAGTTAACCGCTGCACGACTCACGACGAGGAGTTCTTTCAGCTACAAGAACACACGACGTCGCTTTATTGCACCACACCTCCAAAGAGCTAAGGGCCGCGTGGAGATCGAATGAGTTTCTTGACAGAGATGAGGTTATTTGAAGAAAGCGACTTATGCACTTAACGATTGTTGTAAGTAACTATCCGTCGAAATTTCTATAACGCTGAATTTCGTAACCCGCTGCACCACCAGCAGCCTGAATAGGTGTCGGAAGAAGTACTTAGACTGATGTTCCCGTGGTTCCCTTGCAGCATTTAGAAGTCCAACACGCTCCGCCTCATCAACAAATGTGTTTCCACTCACCACCAAGCTGCAATTCTCGGGACCAAAATGATCACCGATCGTGGTGCTTCTCCACGACCTATCCTGCTCCTTACAAGAACATTTTCTTCCGGCTGACTTGCGAGTCGGGTCGCCACTGGTACTCGTATTCTCCGTTTTTTGAGTCGAAAGTCCCGTTCTGTAGGTACCGGAGCTTCAGCGTAAACCGGGGTCCGATCTCTTTTAGGCCCGCGCGGACAAGTTTCTCCCCGCTGTCGTTTACATACCCGTCTTCATCTTCTGAATTCGCTTCACCCGCGTTTTATCGTATGTAAAAACGACCCCACCACATAGAAGTTGTAATGTAAATCTGCATGCTGAGAATGTTTCTCATGCGGATCCGCCCCATGAAAAGCATTTTCTACAGTTGTGCTTTGGAATGTGTCATGCTCCAATTATCACCATGGTATGCTAGATCTGTGATGCCCAGCATCGCGGCGCGCTCCTTTTGAGCTAGTTCAGCGGCAATTGCTGAACTAGCTCAAAAGGATTGCACTACGAGAACCAGCTTGTCATGCGCAACATACAACCAAAGTTTGTTGATTTCGCGTAGCAGATTTCCCATCCTGAGTAAGTAACTATGCAAAGGTGGGGACGTCGTTTTTAAACAGGATACCTTCTTGCTTTTCTTCTTTCTCTTCTCTAGCGCTTTCTTCCGCAGGGCTGCCGCGTCATCCAGGTCGGAATCTTCGGAATCATTCATGTCTATCGAAAGGAAAGATCCCCCCTCCCGCCCCATATCAAAACAAAACTTCTGATGCTGGATTTGTGTACACAGATCCGACCTGTCTTGCTGGAGAGCACTGCAGGCCCATACCAAGCGTGAGTAGAGAGGTTTTGGCCTAGGCGCTTAGCATGAAAAACGTCCGTGCTGTAGGCCCAGCAGCATGACAAACCGCCCGCATAATGCGGCGGAGCCTGCGGAGTTGCCTTCTTGCAAGACAGACGCGATTTGTGATCACAAATCAGCATCACAAATTTCCAAAAATATACCTTTTGAGTATGGGGAAGGGGAATTTTTTCTTTTGATAATGTCCTCGTCCTCGTCCATATCGTCGTCAGAACCTTCCTCGTCCTCACTGTCGCTGTCCTTCTTTTTCTTCTGTTTTGCCCCGGTCCTCTTCGACCCCTTAAATTCGTACCGGTAGTGCCGGAAAAAGATGAAGTCCCGCTGGTTGTGGAAGGTGACCGACCTTCTCCCGTTGAAGTCCGGCTTCTGCGGAAACGCCGTGGCGAGCTGGCGCGCGACTCTGCGGCCTAAGCGGGTGGAAAAGTTGTTCAACAGCAGCTCCGGATTCGCGTCGGAATTGCAGTACGTCGACTGATATCAACTGCAAAAATGTCTGGGTCTGGAAACTTGTAATGCTAAAAGAGAATGATAGACGCGCCGCAGTACGCAGCTATGCATGACAAATTTTGTGGCTGCCATGTCTTACGTATTCCGCATGGCAAACTGCCTTTTCGCGTCACAGTTAAGAGGGCTCTTTCGTGCCTATGCAACACAGATTCTTGAGTCATGCCAGACAAGCATGACAAACTTGCACTCTTCCAGACCCAGACACTTTTGCATTTGATAACTGATTTCTGCGCATTTCCTGGCCGAGTTTGAGTTTTGTCAATTTGAAGAACGCGGTGGGGCCCTCCGGCAGGTTGCAGATGTACATGCCGTTCACCTTTTTCTTGTTCTCGGTGACCACCATGAGCATGGTGAAGTCCCGTTTCTTCGCGTACTCGATGATTTGCTTCAACGATAAGCCCTTCCGCTTGTAGTACTTCGTATTCGGAATGACCTCGACAAGCTCCTTTAAAAAGTCGAACATTTTTGTGCTCGGCTTCAGGTTCGTGGTCAGCATGATCTTCGGCTCCGTTTCGAAGTTGAAATGGGGCGAAAATTCGTCGTTTTCCTCGTCATTTGCGATCTCTTCGTCCAGAGCGGTGGTTTGGTCGATAATCGTTTCGTTCTCCTCCCGCATCATATCCACGGTGACAGCGCCCGCGCCCTTTTTCGGAAAACCGAGGGCCTGATAATTCATTTTGATGAGACGCAGATAATGATAATCCTCGATACAGAGATTTACGATTCAGTTTCTTTCAAAAAATCGATTCTGAAGCAGGAGGGTTGTAAGCAGGAATAGTACAAACTGTAACTGAGGCTGCTGTTACTATATAATATCTGAAAATACCTCTGGATCCTCGCCATTTTCCTCCGCCTCCTTCCTGCCTTTTCTGATTTTTTGTTTTTTCAGCTTTTTCGCCCTTTTGTCCTTGTCGTGCAGTTCGGATCGCATGATTTTGTCTTTCACATGTTTGAAACTGTTATCCTCCTGCTTGCCGCAAGCCGGCTTGGTGTTCCGTCGCTTCTTTGCCAGTTCGATGGCCAGCTTGCGCTGTTCCTTCTTTACGGCCTTCTTCACCATTGTTTTTTTTTGTAAAGTAATATTACAGATTACTTCTAACGAAGAGGAAAGATGATGAGAAAAAAAGACAGGAGAGACGAGAAGTGTTGTTGCGTGGTGGTCGAAATGGGAGATCAAGTAGCTGCAATACTCAATTAGGGGTACAACAACTCGTAGCAAGAATGTCTGTCCGTCGATTGTACTGATCTACAGATCTGAAAAACTTGTCGCATTCACGATACTGTGCACGACCTTTCATCAAGATGAAACTACATGAAGATAAAGCTATCTTGATGTCTCGCAGCTGGTGATGTTGTACAGGGTCTATTCCAAGAAGGGAGGTTTCTTTTCTTTCTCATCGACGAAGCAATCGCGTCTATATTATTTTGCCTCCAACTCTCTCGTCGGGGCAACTGCTAATGCTATCAAAAGAACTTGCAACTTCTACTTGCAAACTCCTTCGCGCCATATTTTCATCAATGTAAGGGGCTAGATGAAGGAAATTACACACACTACAATCCACCGAACGGAATGAACCAAAACCAAAAGCGCCGTCGTGATCCAAGAGCATTTGCACTAGCGCTGTCATCCCATGACTTTTCCACCATCATCCAATTTTCATCTCTGGTGATCTAGATCTCCTTTCTCTATATTTCGATCAGAAGGTCAACACAGAGATTCTCCTGGTGAATTAGTGCGCACTTATTTTCAAGACCATGATCATTGTCTTTGTCAGCATCATTAATTTTCATTGTGTCTTTCGCTAAGATTTGATCTGTCGATCATGAAGCACATTTCGACCACCGCTCAGCACATCTAAAAACTTGCTTCCAAAAATTCCAGAAGTTTTCTACATCTTTTCGTACCTCCGAAACAGGCAGAGAAGAGCAAATCAGTGTGACTAAGCGAGCAAGAACAACGTGATTTTCGATCTTCTTGAGCAACATCAAGGATTATATAACATTCATTGAGCAACGTACAAGGAGTAAAAACAGTGCGGCTTTTCAAGAGTCGCTACAGCAAAACTTATTTGCTTTGACTGCAAGCGCAGTAGTAGTTCATCTTCCACCCGATGCTAACGAAATAGGGGTAGTAGAGGAGTTGATGCTACAAAATCATGCGTAAGCTAAGGTGGATAACAATACCCACGCAAGAGCATCAAGAGCACAACATCTTTTACAGGAGGGTTCCAGCAGGAGTCCGCACAGTATTCTTTCCACGCAGAAATCATGCGCTGGGCTGCGACTGTCTAAGTTAGTAGTGTAAGATCAGTAACTTGCTAAAAAAGAAGTTGTCCCTCCTGCTTCAAGAGCTGAAATACCGACGAATTTGAGCCCACGCTAGAATTGCAACAACATAATTATAATAATAGTGAAACGAACTTGGCCTCCCCCTTTGCTATAATCTATAGGAGGCACTTAGAAAAATAATTCTAAACGAATGTGCTTAGAAGGTCTCATCTAGAAGCTTCGTGTAACAGATTGAACGCGTTCCCGTTATCTGTACCCCGTACCGTCGTGCAAAGTGTTATCCTGCACGCCCTGGCGAGCATGTGAATGCCAGCACCAGAATGGCCAGAGTGGCCGAATCATGTGAATGAATGATGGCCGGAAGCTCCTTGCCCAGCCGGGCGGGGCAAAAGTGACGGCGAGCGGCTCCTTGGCCATCACCTCCGCTCGAGCAAAGTTGAAACTTTTGGCCATCACTTTCCGGCCGGGCAACAGTGGTGGCCAAGAGCTCGTCGGCCACCACTTTCCGCTGGCTCGGACATAAGTCATGGCCGAGAGCCCCTTGGCCATGACTTTCCGGCCGGGCAAAAATGATGGCTAACTAAGGGCCCCCGCCGGCCTGGCCATCAATTTTGGCCATCACCTTCCGGCCCGCCGGGCAAAAGAGACGGCCAAGGGCAGGAGCTCCTGGGCCATCACTTTCCGCTTCCGGTCGGGCCCTTGGTCACTCCTTTGACTTTCCAGCCGGGCAAAAATGGTGGGCAAGAGCTCCTCGGGTGCCATCATTTTCCGGCGGGCCGGGTAAAGTGGTGGCCAGGGGCTCCTGAGCCTTCACTTCCCGGCCGGGCAAAAGTGATGGCCGAGAGCTCCCTGGCCATCGCCTTCCGCCCGGGCAAAAGTCCTCGCCAAGAGCCCGCTGGCCATCGTTTCCCGGCGGGCCGCTGGCTCGGGCTGAAGTAATGGCCTAGAGCCCCAGGGCTATCACTTTGGGCGGGCAAATTGTGAAAACCGACTTCAAGTCCGAATCCCCCTGCTGTCGTCGGGATGTTTGTTGTCGCGAAAGCCTTCGCGACGGCATCCGGGCGACAATAGGGGGACTCGGACCTGAGAGCGGTTTTCACAACTTGCAGCCCAAGCGTGAGAGCCATTCCCAACCTCGAGCCCCCCTGTTGTCGTCAGGATACTGTCGCGAAGGGCTTCGCGACAGTATCCTGACGACAGCAGGGGGACTCGGACTGGAAAAATGGGAAAGCCATTTTCTCGAGTCCGAATCCCCCTGCTATCGTCAGGATACTGTCGCGAAGCGTATCCTGACGACAGCGCGGGGCCTCAAGCAGCTTGAAGCTGGTTTCTTTCGATAAAAAAACCCTTTTCAAGCGCTGGCAAAAGTGATGGCGAAGAGCTCCCTTCCTGGGCATCGCCTTTCGGCCGGGCGCAAGTGATGGCCAAGAGCCCCCTGGCCGCCAACGTGGCCATCGCTTCTCGGCCGGGCCAACGTGATGGCCAAGAGCCCCGCGGCCATCGCTTTTCGTTCGAGCAAAAGCGATCGTGGCCATCGCTTTCCGGTCCGGCAAGAGTGGTGGCCGAGAACTCCGCGGCCATAACTTTTTGCCATCGCTTTCCGGTCGGGCAAAAGTAACGGCCAGAAGCTCCCTGGCCATCACTTTTCGGCCGGGCAGAGAAAAACGGTGGCGACAGCTCCTTGGCCATTACCTTTGCCCAGCGCTTTACTGTCGGGCAAAAGTGATGGCCAGTAGTTCC